CTCCCATGGCGCGATGGGCAGCCCGTTTTTTACCGGGGAAAATTCAAAAAGTTTCGAGACACGCGAAACGTTCATCTATATTTATGATGAGGGCTGAGGGGCGCTTAAATATTTACGAGCCCCGGAAAAAATATCGCGCCAGCCAGGACGAGTCGTTCCTGCCCCGAGGCGGGTCCATCGAATGGGGTTCGTCCCCGGGATCTCACCGGCAGTCGGTCCTTTTCTTTCTCCCCATTTCCTCGCGATTGATGAAAAATTTCGGGGAATAACTCGAGAGCGGAGGAAATCCGGCTCGGAGGTGCCCCTGAGCTCGAATCGTCCCAATGGAATTCCAATCCGAATCGGCCTTCTCGGCTCCCCTCGAGGGTGGAGAGGAGCACCGATTCCTCGGAAGCTTCGATCGCGTTTCCGCCTCATTAAGCAGGGTTTCGCCTCGTTAACGTTTGCAGGTCGGACAAAGAGGAATTAAATATTAAGCGCGAGTCTGAGTGCCGGCAGAAGAGCTCCAAGGAGCGTGGAGGACGGTATCCTTATAAATGGAATGCATTTCCCTCCGAAGGACCTCGGCGAGACTTCTCGAAGGGGATAGACATTCGGCGGATTCCAATTAACCTGCTCCTTCCTTGGTTAATTATCCTATTCCTAGGCGGATGCTAATCACGATGAAAGGAACCTGTCCCGAGATCGTCTCGCAATGTTAAATGCTCCGCAAGTTCCCAAGAACCTCGTATGCAACTTCCCGAATTTGGGCAAGCCTCGGCGTTAGCCCCGCGTCAAAGCTTCGCATCTCCTCGTGATAAGGGTGGTTTAGAGCCAGCGATCGCGTTTGCCGACGAGATTCCGGAGCTTTGCCGAAGTCATCAGGGGATGAACCCTGAAAAGGGGCCCGCCAGCCAGAAGGGACAAGATGGACGGAGGCTCCGAGGCGGCCTTTCCAATTAACATCGAATTCCGCCCGACGTGGGCCCGCGAGCTTAATAAATGTTTCGTCCCGAGGTCGAGGAGCCGGAAAATTGAATCGGCCACGTCCAGGGAGGGAAAAGTAAGGCCGAGGGGTGCGGCTGCACTTTTTCCAGCCCGAGGGAACTTTCGCCCGGCATAAACGCAGAAGTCGGAGGAACGACCGAGAGGGCGAGGCGCGGCCCCGGGAGGGAGAGAGACTTATCGGGCGCAAGGATAACTACAAGAGTTTCCACTTTCCCAGGAGGAGAAAGAGACGAGGAAACAATCGAGGCGGCTTATAAACCGCGGCGTTTTGTTATTACGGCGAGATGAAAAGCCGCGGGATGTCCGCAATCGTCGAAACGTTTCCGCCCTCGTCGGCTGGCCGGGGCGTCGGCCGGAGGGACGACTCCTTAAAGAAGTGCCGAGCAAAGGACCTCCCCGGAAAGTACGCTCGAAGAAATTTAATCTCGTCGTTTAATATAATTATTATATTCCGAGATCCCGAGAAATTTCACGTGGATTCTAAAGGAAAATTTTTCATCGAGCTCACCTCGTCTCGCGAATTTATCGCTCCTGTCGTAATCCTCGGGGTCGCAAGGACCTCGAGGCGATCGGCTACGTAAAACGCGGCCGTTTCCTCCGGCTCTAAAATCGATCGGCCTTGAACTTGTGAACTTCGCAAAGTTCAATGTCGAGGACGCGTGTCGGCGTTTTTGTGTCCTGGCCAAATTAGAGCGGCATTTCGGCATCGATCCTGGGGGGTGTCTTAGCGCGGCGTGGCCACTCGCGCCGGACATGGACGCGGGAAGAGCGAGACGGGGCACCCACTGGAAAAGGGCAAGGAGAGAGAGAGGGGGGCAGATAAAGCTCCTGGGAATATAGCACGGTAAGTTCGTCCTGGCTTCGTCCTAGCTCGCGTATTGATCGGCCAGGTGTATGCATGCGGCCCGCTACAGGTTTGCTCCCTCGGAGAATCCTCCCACTTCGAGCCTAATTTTACACCGGGCGGAAATCGCTCCTTCCTGGATCCTGCGACGTAATTTCAATGCGGAGTATCGATTCGAGAAAGAGAGACGTTAATTAACGCGAGATCACGTCGTCGGATCCCGCGGAAGGATCGGCGGGGGTGCAGGCATGTCCCGGAAAAGCGAGAAAATTGAATTTTTCAAACCGCTCGGCACCGTCGCCTCGTATAATTCTGGTCGTTTCCGCCGATGAACGGCCGCGCGGCCGAGCGGGCGGCAGATATCCTTCGGTGTATATCCTTTGGTTTAGATCGTCCTGGAAAATCCAATTTCCTCCGCGGCCGTAGCGCGCCTAGGCCGGCCTTCGCGTTACGGCCGCATAAGTTCCCGCTAAACGGAATTTTCCTCGGATCGGGGGAAATTCAAACGAGACGAGCGCCGAATAAAATTCCGCGCGGCGGAACGGAGCTTCCTGAAATAACGAGAGTCGTGCCCGAAACGTCGGCGTCCTCGTTTGGCCGCAGTTTGCGGCTCCCTCGTCGTCGCGGAAAACGCTGCCGCCAGACGACGCTCGTGCAGGAAGCTCATTGTCGATTTACCGGCCACAAAAGGGACTGCGACTCCCCCGATCGGTCGCAGCCAATATTCGCCAACTCGAGAACCTGCCTGTCGCGTTCGCCGCGCGGAGATGAGTTCGACTTAAACGAATCTCCAATGTAAATCAATGGCTGTGTCTCGACAAAGGCTAATCGTAAGTTTGCCGAACTAGGCGACGTCGACGCCGCGTTAGAGGAACGGCGTCGAGGAACTCCGGGAAACGGGCGAGTGCCCAACTTAGTAGACAACGATAGATCGGAAGAGAAATGCCCAGAAAAGTGGCAGTCTAGGTGGATCTTGTCAGCTTTTTCGAGAGATCCACGAGGAAGCCTTCCACCGAGTCTCTTTGCCGGAAGAGCCGCCCTCGGCGGCGGGGGGGAGGGAATAAAAATTTCAATAAGAGGATCCCGCGGGAAAAGGTATCCGCGCCGACGAGGAGAGGGAATTTATGGGAGATTGGCGAACCGCGGCCAGGGATTCCATTTCGGAATTATTCCCGCCGGTTTTTTCGGAGGTGGCGAGATATCGATCGCGATCGGTCCGATTAATCGGGTAGCCGACGCGGAGGCCGTTAACGCGACATCGGGGATTGGAGAGAGATCCAGCTAAGGTAATCCGGCTCGGAGGGGGTGGTTTTTTATTTCCGCCTCCCGCGAGACCGCTCGCCGGGATTAAACCTGCGGAGAATCCGCGTTAATCCGTCGCGATGTGAATTGCGCTGTTTCCCGCGGATAAAAGTGTCCCTCGGGGGTCGGGCCGCCGCGGCAATTATCCCGGAATTAACTCGAGAGGCATATTTTCGATTTTTCCGGGACAAGCGAAACGGACATGCCTCGTTCGCTAAGAGAGACCGTTGCCCTCGCGTCGAGGTGGCCGTCTCATCGGCCCTTAGTAATTTCCGGGTCTCGATAAAACTCAAGGTACGGCTTTCTCCACAAAAGGGCACTTTCTGATATCGGATAATGATGGAACGGGGGTTAATGCGACCGCCATTAACCGGCACACACGCACCGTGGCTGTAATCAAATCATTAAAGGTTAGTCGTAAAGCGAATCGGCCGATCGGGCGGACTCGCCTCTCGGGACTTCAGAGCCGAGACGACGGCGAGCGGGAAAGCGTGCTCGCATAATCACTTCGACGGAACGATCCTTCAAGGAATCTAGAGAGAATACCCGGCTCGAGGGAAGAGCGGCCCGAATCGTAAAGGCGTCGAAAACTGCCGGCAGGGAGGAGAAAGAGTATTCCGCGTCGCGATATTCCGCGTCTCTCGAGTGGAGTCGTGCGCGTCTTCGCCATGAAATTCCCTTCTTTAGCGTCCTCGGAGAGCCGAGAAAGGGCGAAGGGAAAGGAACGCGAAAGCTTTCCTCGAGGCTTAAACGCCGCGGCCCCTTTTTCGCGGATTCCGAATCTCGGAAGGGGATCTCGGGGCCCTTTGCCCCTTGCCCGAAGCGAATCGCCCCTGGAAGGCGTTCGACATTTTCTACGGTTCCTGCTCTTCCCCGCGTGTTGTTCTTATCAAGAGCCGACGTTTAATCCTTGGCTCGAACCGAACGAAACCCGAGAGCGAGGTGGATCATCGATTCCCCTATCTCCGGGGCACGCATATCGCGTACTATCGTGGATGGTCGAAGTGCACCCTTACGCGAGATAATGCTCTGCCACTTCCGTTATAGCGATTCGCACTAACGCGTCATTAAGTTGCCGGCATGCATGGCAATTCGATTCACTTACGAGACTATATACCACTCCCGTTGTTCGCCGGCGTAATTGCGACTGCCTCGGATTTTACGAGGAGTTCCACGAAAATGGCCGGGGACAAGTTTACGAGCTTCATCGGCGATAGGGCGGATTGAATGAACGGGCCGATAGCAGCGGACGGTGGCTCTGTCTTTATGCAACGATTGCCCTGAGCTTCGTAAAAAGAAATGGAGATATTAAGTCGGGCACCGTAAAACCGCTTTCATCGCGGGCGTTGGATGTAAATCCGACGAAGCATCCTCTTCCAACCGGAGCCGATTGATCGCGAAAATATTTCCGAAGACGAAGTCGAAAGTTATCGGGAATATCGGCTCGAGCCTGCGGGGGTCCCTGGAACGAATATTCACCCCGGCCTCACCGGGGAATCGAAAAGTGGACCGTGTTTTCCGAAGCGGGCGAAGAACCGATATGCTTGCGGATATGTAGGGCGAGGGCAAATATTTAAGGGTAGAAGGGTGAAAGGAGGGGCAGGCGGGGGGTGAAACAGAGGGATGCTTCGGCAAACAAGCGTTGCTCCCGGATTTTCGCCGCCCTGTCCCACGAGGCCGTCCTTTATATCGTATAAAAGATCCTCGAGGCATTTGCCATTCAGCGAATCATCGCCCCCCTTTCCCGATCTTCCACTTCGTGGAGTTTCACGCCCGCCCGGAGTCTCGCGAAGCGTCAACGAGATCGTCGGAGGTTTCCTCGAAAACCGAAGTTATTAAAGTCGTACCTCACCGGTTTATGTTTCAGAGGCAATATGGCGCACCGACCTGGACTGGGTGGTGATACACCGCGATCGTCTGGTGGTGCTCGGTTTTATGAACCCCCCGGGCAACCTGAGCACCATTTCCGGGTTCATAACTCCCCAGCCGTTCGTGACGTCGACCCCGTACCCCGTCGACGAAAGCGTCGAGGACGAGGTCGGCAGCATCCTGGGCTCGACATCGGGCCCGGGGAGCACCACCTACGGACTCGTCACGGAAAGAGCGAACAAGACCGACAGAACCGAGGGAACCGTGCTCGCCACCCCCACCAAACTCTCCGCCGTGTTAAGACCCTTTGCCGGATCCGCCATTTTGTCGCCAGCTAAACCGCCGACCTCCTCCACCGTCGGCTCCACCAGCTCGACCACGAGAAGCACAAAAAGGGCGGCCACCACCCCGCCAACCCCCACGGTGGGTACGAGGAATTATTCCAAGCTCACCACTACCCCGAAGCGTCCCACCGTGAAGACCCTGACCAAGAACGGCGCGGCCAAGGCCAAGGCCAAGCCGAAGAGTCCTCCGAAGACCAACGCCACGAGGTCCTCGCTCTCGGCTGGGAACATGACCGCGCAGAGCCTTCCACTGACCATGACCAGCCTTTCGGACTTGGACCACCCGGAAAACCTGAACCTCGAACTCCAGCCCGGTGAGGATGATAGCGCGCTTTTCTTTCTCCTTAAGAAATCATTGGAGGGAAGCGAAGAGCGAGCGTGGAGACGTTATCGTGCAATCTTTTCAGCGGAGGAATCCTACGGGCCGATTACTCTGGAGTACCTGAACTACGCCATGGCGCTGGGTGTCTACTCCGTGAGGTACCCCGCGGTCTTCTGGTCGTGTAACAAGGCTCTGGGGACCATCTTCAGCCTCCAGCTGGTCGCAAATTCTGCTCAGAGTCTGTTGGCTTATGCCGGGATGTCGGTCCTGTACAAGGTGAGTGTCCTCGCATCGATGCGGTACTCTCTGCAATTGAATGGGAGACATTCAAGATTCCCTTCGTTTGCTGCTTTCAGGTGCAGGTCGTCGGACCCCTCAAGGTCCTCCCTTTGCTGCGGCACCGCACCGTTTCCACCGCCAGCACGATCTCGACGTTCTTTGGAGACTCCTATTTTTTGCTGAACCCTCACGTAACTCTGGCCCTCTTCGCCCTATCCTCCCTTTTGGTGCTCTGCTCGAGCATGGTGATGTACCTCTACGCCCATGGCAGGTAAATATCCCTAACGAGTTCCAGGACGTTTCTTCGAGATCCCGTAATCTTCGGTCCCAATATCCAATCGTCTCCCTGCAATTAAGGGGGAAACGTTTCGCCTCCCTTCCGAGGCGCAAACACCTCTCGCTCGTCCGTTTGACTTGCGAATATGTAAGTTCGTTCGAGTGGAAGTTCTAGGTCCCCCGACCAAACTCTTCGAAGCGTGGGGACGTCCGAACGCTTCGCGACGACTTCGCAACACAAACACGGTCCCTCAAAGGGATCACCCGAAGTAACCCAAAGTGCACCTAGTCCGATGCCATGCTTCCCTCCTCGTTCCGTCTTAGCCCCGTCCTCTAAACTCATTCATACCCGAAATGGCGCGACGATGCGCATAAATCCTCTCAAGTTATGGAATTAATAAATTCCACGATAAATTTCCAAGCGTAACATCCTTTAATGATTTTCCGCAGGTTCATGGCGTTTCTGAACCAGGAACGCGAACGCCGCGTGATTCTTCCCAAGGAGGGACGTGGTGGTTCCGGATGGGGCTACTTCACCCACTGCACGGCCCTCTGCGTCTTCTTGGCAATCGCGATATGCAGTGCTCCTCTGCTGTACGACTACACGGTGGTCTACAGAGGCAGCTTGGACGGTGCGATTCTGGCGTGCATAGTCGGCACGGTTCTCCATCTGTTCCTCTGGCTGGTGCTCTGGGTCTTCCTGACCATCAAGCAGAAATGGATCTTCAAGCTGAGAGTCACCATCGGACGGGCTGCGGTGAGGTCTGCCAGATCCGTCAAGCTGGTCACCGACGTGGACCTTCTGTCGGCCAGAGACGACGACGAGGGCACCAACGCCCCACTCCTGGTGGTCGGCAATGGCAGGACGTACACCATCGCCGACACCTCGCCCAAGAAGGCCATCATGAGCGTCATTCAAAAGGCAGCCATGGAACGCAAAGCTCGATCGCAAGGTAGTTTCCTCGGCACGAAATACTTGTCCCGTGGCATTGGTCGTTCCTTCAAACTCGCACGGCTCTTTCTCCTTCAGGTGGCAACGTGGACGCGGTCGACGGCGACTCCACCGCCGATGGAGACGAGCAGATCTACTGGCTGCGACCAAAGTTGAGACCATCGCCGGCGCAATCACCAGGCGAAAGCTCGGCCGTGCCGAGTGGCGATAAGGGCTGGCTAAACAAGAAGCTCAAGCCCAAAGTCACCTTTAACGACCTGCCTAGTACGTCAGGCTCGCGGTAACTACCCTCCTCCTCCCTCTTGGTGTCTTTGTGGCTATCCGTCTGCCTGTGTCTGTCGTTCTCCCCGCTTCTCCGCGTTTCCCGACGTTTCGCCTTAATTCCGAATCGAGCTTCTGCTCGCCTCCTCGTGGCACCTTTGATCGTTAAAGCATGGACCGCTACCCCCCCGGTCGTCCTTTTAAATAGCGTGAGATGTACATACCCTGCATAAAGTCCTGTAATAATTTGAGCGCGAACCGATGAGATAAAAAGTGAAGCGCATACGTAAAAGGCGTGTAGTAGACCCAAGCCCCACGTTTGCACGCGAAGTGCATAATGAATTTATTAATATGCATTTGTAGCTCGGGGTGAATACGAGTCTATCAAGGAAATCTTTCGTCCTCGAGGCGTCCCGTTGCTTGTCGCGCCCCGAGCCATCTTGGCATAATTTCGTCCTGCTCGTTCTACCCCAAAGAGAATCTAGAAGGAAATCTGCTTTGAGGCGACTCGATCAACGCTCCGTCAAGGTGGAATAAATTATTAACGTTCGCTCGAGCGTCTAGGTCGAGTCGTGAGCCGTTAAACTCCAGACCGAGGAAGTTAAGCCACAGAAGTCAATTACGAATATATCGACGCCCCTGCCTTGCATGTATACCTGTAGAATCTCTCCTGTAGAGACAGATCCCCGTTTGATCAGACGCGTAATCGACTTCGTTATCCTCGAGGAGGCCCTGTCGCCTGAATTACTAAAGTGTGCTTAACTCGGTCTCGGCTGTGTTATCGGAAGTCTAACCTCCTTATCGAATAATTGTGCCGGTGCGAATTTCTGTGATTGATCGATGTTGGGTTTGGGCTTCTTCTTGTGGAAATCTTCACCCTCGGCTCTTGTGCCTTCCCTCGCAGCTTCGAGTTCGAGTTCTTCCTCGAAATTTGTTATGGGAAACCGGGGTAGAGGGTCTAATGCGGTTTCTTGTCTTGTGTTCAGTAATAAGGGAAAAGCCCGACGAGGCATCGCTGACGGCGGGCCTGACGATGACGGGGATTACGCCACGTTACGTGAATTACCGCTGATGACGTCTCTCGACCCTGCCGACGACTCCATTTCCGAGGAAAATAAGGTAAGTTTCCCCCGAGCTTAATTTCTTGGTTCTCCAACCATTTGAATTCACACCACGAGGGAACGGGACGAAACATGAAAAATTATTTCACGGCAATGCCCGGATTCTCTCGAGGCAGAATAATCCTTTAGAAATTCTATCGCAAAGGCGAAGTAATTGGACCTTATTTCTCTCTTTTCTCCCACATTCGACTGATAGTTTTGATTTGCCTTTAACAGTGGGGAAGATGGCTGGTAGCTCGTAGAGACGGTATTCCTAAATTTGCAGATGTAAGAAACACCTCAGGTTTTTTTTCTTATGTTTTTTGATTTGACTCACCGACTAATCATGGTTACTAACACTTGCGCTTTCGGGGGGGTACGAACCCTGTCTAAACGTATCGGTACCAACGCTGCACCGCTCGTTCGAAGAATTATGGGATAAATCATCCAGAGGCTAAACGCTTTGTGGACAATAATTGGAAGTAAGAGATAATTTTTCGATCGAACCCTGGCACTGGTTGAGGGATAAATTAACAATCGATAGGCTGTGTGTAGAGTGTGACGTAGATGAGTGCAGTGTGATTATTTAGGTAGATGTTCTTAGACGCACAAAAGTAATTTATCATTTGTGACTATCGAGCCGTAGCTACGTTCGAATATTAAGACATCGTTTCTTAGTTTTCCCTTTAACGTTGGGACGTTTGAATTTTTAGAGGAGTAATGTCGTGCGATATTTAAAATTGGCAATATTAATTTCCCTCTCCTGTGGTGCCTCTCTAACGTCGCACGTATTTTAACAGTTGCTGGAGTGCGTGAACGACGACCAAGTGACTTACTACGCGAGTGCTAACCGCGACCTACAACCTTCAGAAGGAGATCCATCTCCCCTTCTGACTCCCGACCCCCTGCCAGATCCGGTTCCACTTCCGCTTCCTCAACCTCCACCTACGCCAACCTCCGCCCCGTCAACCGAGGTTGTCACGGCGCCTCTAACTACTAACGCTCAGGTACTAACATCTACCACTCGGAAAGATTCTCCGTCTGAATAGGCAGAAGAGGAAGAAGAACGATTGAAGTATGCGAACCCCTAATCCACCCTATAACCCCTAAAGATGCGAATACGTCGGCAGAACCTTCCTTTTTTTCTCTCCGAACATTCTGAGATACGAACTTAGTCGTTCTTCTTGTAAAAGCTTCGTAGTACGATAGTTAAGTGACGCTTGTAGTGCCTGCAGTAGTGCCATTAACTGTATGTGCGCCTAGAGTTTAACGGGAAATTTGGACGGTTCGGACCCTAGAGTCTACCATGCTCGTACCGACAAGTTCCAATTTCTATACGGATCTCGAGAAAAAAAATCCCGATATTTTCAGATGAACGGTGGCCAGACACCGCGGTGTCTGCGGCGCGCCGACTCGGGAATGCCGCACGAGGAGCTGACTCCCCGGTCAGACTCGTCCAACTCGCCTCCCCTGGACGGGGGTTCCACGGCCCCTAGCAACACAAGCAGCAGCAACAGCGAGACCTCCAGCGGGGTCCACTCGAACGCGAGCAACGCGAGCAACGCCAGCAACGCGAGCCACGCGAGTCACGCGGGTTGCCAGCGTCGAGCGACGAGCGTGGACGACCTGACGGGGGAGCCGCGAGAGGAGCCCCAGTGGAGGAGCTGTTCCCTCCAACGAGGGATGCAGCCGCCGACGGCGGCCACCTTCACCTCCACGAACACCCGGCCGGGCACCAGCCAGTCGTTCTCCCCGCAATACGTCAACCATTCGCCGCTTTTCAACGGCGGGGACATGGTGGCCGGGTGCCCGGCCGTCATCCTGGAGAACCCGAACGAGGCCACCGTGGTCATCCGGCGCAAGCTCTCCAGGCCCAAGGTGACGGACCCCCTCAACCCGAACGAGGAGCCCTTCGGCAGGTCCACCAACATGAGGATGACCTCCTTCACGGAAGGCAGCGACCTCCGCGCCATCCAGGCCTCCTCGGCCACCCTGCCGCACTACCCCACGCAGCCCGCGGTCACGTACCCGCACTGCTCCACCATGCCTCTGCCCCATGCCTCCCATTCCATGGCTGGCACCAACAATATGGTGCCCTCCTCCGACTCCGCGGGCGGCAGCTGCGGATCCGTACCCAGACACACCACGGTCCCGGTGCACACCACCGTTCCCGCGCACACCACGCTTCCGTCCCACCACAACGGGGTCCGTCTTCTTCACGGCGGACCCAACCCCTTCGTCAAGCGATTCCCGCCGGTGCAGCTGCACACCCAGCCCTGGGCCTTGCCCGGGCACCACACCTTCCCTCAGCCACCGGCCAACAAGCTGTCCGCCCCTGCCCAAATCAGGCAGACGGACAGAGATTCCGCCAACTTCTCGATGGCCAGCTCCGGGGATTCCGATACGTGTCTGCCGCATTAGAGGGTGTCGGTCGGATGGGCGGCGGTCCTCGGATTTCGGGGTTGGTGTAGGATAATTTCGAGTCGGTTTCCGGAGGGCGGGAGTGAGGCTCTGGATTTAAGTTCTGGTTGATATCGTGGGTCGGGTCGATATGGCATGCCGTAGGACAGGCGAGTAGATTTAGATCGATGTGATACTAGCGACGACGCGGTGAAAAGTCGACTGCTCGATCAGCCCGCTTAAGGGTGATCTGACGTATTAGAAAATTAGGAAAATTTACTTGGACTTTTTCAAGACACGTGGGTGAACGTAGAGTCTATTCCGGCACACGGTTTTTGAGGATTTAAAAGCACGGTTTCGTGTCGAGAACGGTGGAAGCTGATCTAGTCGAGCCAGGCCAATTGAGCAGTCCGCTTAGGAAAAATTCACGGCGGTCTCTTCGACACTTTTATCGTTCGATAAGACGAACAGTGGACCGATCTTCGTAACGTCTCACATATCACGATTCCATGGCAATGCGTCACAGTATAGTAATGAACTCTACATCGAAACGTTCTTACATGTTGCTCAATGACCTGTATCCAGCTTACATTTCATCCTCGGGTGCTAGAACCACTTTTGGTTCGATCCCCTATACATAAACATACTCATAAATTACCTAAATGTATCCGCTTATTTTTTTACAAAAAAAAAAAAGAAAACGTAGGTCGTCATTGAAATTCTCCTAAAGACATATCCTACATTAGTGATCGACATTTCTATCGAGAAGACCAATCTTTAGGAAATACCCTAGCCTCAGCCGAATAGCACGATCATCCGAAATCGTGTCGAAAAGACCGTCGTAAGATCGATGTTGAAAAACGTGGATTTATCGTTAAAAAAAAATCGGAACTGCGATTCAGGAAGCCTCCCCTCGAGCCCTCGAACGAATCGACCCGCGATCGCGAGATCCACCGAGAGCCGCAAGTGTCGCTAATGTAAGTCATTCGGTTCTCCAAGGTTTCGTTCGAAGAACGACCGAAATTAAGAATTAGTTAAGCCCACTGGCTGCGCCGCGGCGTGTATTTAAATTAATCGCCACTTGTAGTATTACAAATGCTTCGCCATCGGAGGTAGCACTTAGAAAGTGGCTCGATGGCAGAGACTCGATAATGAAAGTAAGAGTTCCATCAGGATTGTTCACTGAAATCGTGATGCTCTCTAAAAGTCCCATGCGTAGGCAGATTCCGAAGAGTCGGAAAGAGCGATTGACCGAATCCGCAAAATGCGGAAAAAGCGAGAGGAAACCGCGCGTTCGCCATTTAAGTTTCTCGATAGGAGAAAAATGAGGAGCCTCTTTCTAGCAAATAATTGTACATTTTGTTAAGTCCACTGTACATTGCCAATGAACGAGCGTTTCGTGTTTATTCCGTACCCGCGATTGTCCGGCACCTAAGTAAGCGTTCCGATTCGGTGAGCACCGAAAGACTATTTTTTCACGTTTTTCAAGTCCCCTCATGAGTGCGTCGTTAAGATGTTTCCCCGGTGCTTCGTTCGTCATATTCCGATGATGTGTATGCGTAGTTTTGCGCGAGGCGATCGCTCAATGAGTTCTCGCGAGTACGCGTACTCGAGAAGCGATAAAGTTCGATCTCTCGCCCTTGTTAGTTGGTAAGGAACGTTCGGAGGACATCCGGTCCTCGTACAGTACGCAGAGATCGACGATACTCGCCTCTTGGGAACGAACGTTATACGGTATTTCTACATTAATTCATAAAAACTGCAAACAGTTCTGCCCTAAATCGATACCTTTGTAAAAATTACCGCTCTGCCGGAAGGGGGATAAAGTTCGAGCAGGGTTGCTTCAATATTTGCAGGCCTTCGAGAAAGGATCGATTTCGGGAGAATCCGAGTATCGTCGATCACTGACAGACGAAAGAATCATGAGATGGTTTCGGAGAGTTAGGGAGGACGCAAAACGTCTCCGGGTTCTTTACACTACTGTATCGGTCCGTGAATCTTGTTTCCGATGCAGCTGAGATTACTCTTGAACGAGGCTCGAGTACCCTGCAAACCGAGACGTGTACATTGAGATTTAAACGTAAGAAATTAGGGCCGTACTCAATTTTTACGAATGTTATGAAAGCGATTACTGCCATTTGCAACGAAGGTCCGCGGACCTTCGTCCTCGTGCATTCGTTGCCCCCGACCGTCGGCCGATTCGCGGCCAGGTCGGAGGTGAGGTGCATCGTACCCTGCTGCATTTATGCGTCCCTTCTATCGCTGCGTCTCCCCAATAATTTATACAAATCGCGTGCATCGCGAGAGGAAACGTTTCTACCGTGGTCGGCTGCTCTTTCTTCGTTTGGACACAAAAGAAGCCAACTGAAAGATGGGCAAGCCGGTACCTACTCTAGAGGAGAGAAACGAGCGATATGGTCGTTAAATGGAAACTCATACATATACATGCATATAAGTACACACGGACACGCATACATATATTTATATACATATACGCATATATTCCTAGCCGCTTCGGACTAAAGTTTGAAGTTTTGTGAGGTTTCTCCGAGGGTGGGCGGTCGTTTCGTCTTTGCTTCGAACGAAGCAATTTTTTTTTTTTCTATCGCGGAACGATCACCCATACGCAGAGAATCGTGGGAAGGAAAAGGAAGCAATGCGTTACTTCTGTCTTCCGCAATTCGGGAACGAGAGGAGTACCGCTCGTTCTCTTCTACTGTTAGCTAAAAGGATCCAGAAGGGCACGGAGGTCTATATGCACGAAAGCTGGCGTAGAGCTGAGAAAATCGAGGCGGACGGGAAATATTACTACTGTTATTTAAAGCGTAGCTCGAAAGCGGAGCGAGTCGTTCTCGCTCGTCGTTCCTAACAGAAAAGCATTTCTGGTCATGCCCGGATAATGGGAAGACTCGCTGGTAAGGCCGGATACATAGGTAGATGTCGTTTAGCGTAGTCCCAGTAACGAATTAACGAGACCCGGTACCACACTGACCAATAAAGACGAGCGGCAAGTAGAGCGCAGAATTTTCTACGGTCCAGAACTATTTTGCTATGCCGATCGTACATATCATCCCGCAAGGACCACGTTTTTTCTCGAGTAGTCAGAGGCGAAGAAGCGACCGGACGAAGCGAAGTTCTTTCACGAAGAGTGAAGTAGTTCACCTCGATGCCGGAAAGAGCATCGCTCGGTTCGCGCCTTCGACGTCATGTAATTCCGAATAGGGTACTAAAATCGAATTTCAACCCTTGCTTCGTACCGATTCCTCGGTAATACATTTCCCACCGTATGATCCGGAGTGTTCGTTCAATTCGGGATTCCAGCAGATGAATGATTTTTTTTTTCTTTTCTTTTTTCATCGGTACGCCGAAGTGATCGGTGTCATTAGCGAGGAAACTGTCTTTGCGAGAATATTTTTTTACCGTCTAGAAGAAATCATCTCATGGAACGTATTTCATATTCATTTTAGATTCGGCTAGACGTATATCGTAGAGAGGTAAGCGAGGACCCGTACACAAGAGAGAGCGAGAGAGGCAGGGAGACTCGTCGTGAAAGACGGAACGCAATTTCCGAGATGCCACCGACAGACATTTTTGCACTTTATTCCGAGGTAACGATCACCCCTTGTTTCCCGATGGCACATCATCCTATGCATGATCCAAATTCGAAATAGCCTACACGCAGAGCGAATCGATTGATCGGTATCGAGGTTCGTTTGAATGCCTTTCTTCCTCACGATTAACATCACGTTACACTTTGGGCATTGGGAGGTACCCTTCCGTTTTTCATTTGCATTCAGTCCAAGGAAAGTATGTCGACAGCCGGTCAGAGTTCTCCAATTTACGGCAGAGGGACGAGTAACCGCGAGAGACTACGTTAGTCATGACATCAGATGCACTGTAAATACAATGAATCAAGCGAAATCGAATGTACGAATATTGTATAAAGACTGATTAGACTAGCTTTGGTATTTATTCATTAATGATCAGCTACTGTTCACCTACGTTGAGTTAAGATGGAGCACGATGACGGAAAATTAAAGAAATATATTTCGCATTAGCCTGCTGATCGAGCGCGAAAAGAGATACCGCATTTTTGAAAGTCTTTAAAATTGGCACGGGCATGGGAAGAATTTTTTGATATTATATCTCGTATCGTGAAGTACTCTAATAAGCAACGAGTTGCTCAAAGACTTCCCTCTCGGTTTTCATTTCTAACGACTAAACGTCGCGTGCTCCGAAATATCTGCGGAGGTTGAACGTATGCACGGAGCATAACGTAAGCGCAGATGTAACAGCGGCACTATTATCGTGACAACGTATCAATATTATTCAAGCCTCGTATAAACCATTGAACTAAATGTAAACTTTGTATATTCATTTACCAAGAAAATAAAAGTAAATTATTCAACTGTGCCGAACGCACAGCTCACTCCCTCCACTGTCAGCCACCGACGTTTCAATTTTTAATCGCGGTAAGAAAAATGCACATGACGATTAAAGTGATACCCAGCTGTACAATTTTGTTTGATTTATTCTGCATGTACTCTATTACAAAAAAAATGCATCACGGATGGTTATACCCACGGTTTACAAATCTTCCATCAGTGCCCGCGCTCTTTTCAGCTCTGAAATACAGAAAGATTCAATTTCCGACCTATAAAAGGATTCAAATGCGATCCACAATTTTTCAGGGCAAACCTGCAAGCAAGGCCGACACGTCATCTTTCATTATATGTATCGTAGTGGTGTCGTCTTCCTTTCCATCGACTTTTTTTAACTTTAGAGACACCTTCGAGAAAGGACAGGCATTGTCCGACGGTGCAACCTCGATGGAAGATAAGCCACTTACTAAAAATTAATATAGATAATTCTGGCTGCCCGGCGATCTTGGTAGGTATATTAATAAAGTATCGATATCTAGTGACGATAGATTTATCATCGCGTCGACTCACTTCTTAAGGATTGACCCTTCAAGACAGCCGCTATCTGAGAGCTATTGTCGGTGTGCAAACGAGCGATGGCAGCACTGTGTTCTCTTGGAAGTCCCAGCTGCTGCAACTCGCTGCTCAGATCAGCTGTTGATACTCCATATCGCGCAGATGATGTAAGAATAAATTCCAGAGTAGCGATGACTGCCTTTGAGTCATTCGGCTCTTTATCAAACAGGATATTCGTATTAAAACTACGGACACACGACTCTAACTATAATCAATGAAATTTCTCACGGAAGTGGCAAAGAGCTTACCGAGCTTGGCATCCTGAGCAATCTTATTTACTTTACTCTCCTAAAAACAGACCATGAATTAGACGACAAAATAATTATTAATAAAACCTGGAAAGGAATCCACCTCATTAATATGATTGCCTATGATATAAATTAGAAGCGAGACTTTCAGATATCCGGGCACGTATGGCTCTGTGGATAATGATATAAAAAATGGCTCTAATCAAGGGCGGTGAAATACTCTCTACGTACTAACAGTGAACAGATAAGGGCAAAGGGGAGAACCTTAATCGAATTGTTCTCTTCGCTCTCCTCCACCAGGAATCACATTCACTGGTCGCCTGGCTGCTTTGCAGGTACATCGAATTACACGCGAGAAAACTACCGTCTACGTGCAATTTTAAAATAGAGTCATCTCGTTGCAGAACAACAGACTTTGACAAGAAATTTTTCGGCAGGGTGACACTCTGCTTAGATGGGGTAATGATAAATTGTACAATAATTTCAGGCAGCACTTACATCGAGTTCCCCTTCGGTCAGAAATTTGGCCACCAGTTGTCCCAAGTTTTTCAATTTAATTGACGTCTGAAAACGCGAAGAACTCGTCAATGTGGAGTATCGAAAATATCCGATTCAATTTCCTAGCAAAAAGTCATTACCATCCGCGAGAGAGTGTTGATCTCCGCCAGAAGCCAATCAGGGCAATCGCTATCTCCCAGAAATCGGAATCTCTATAAATACACGATGTTTCAATGAGGAATAAATTGTAAAGAAAAAAAAAGGCTAATGCACAATACAAAAAAAATGAAAAACTCGAGAAGCTTTAGAAAAATCAGTGATCTCTCACCATGATGATCTTTTTGCGACGTTAAAGTGGTCCACCTAAAATAATAAAGACGTGTCTTAAAAGAATGATTTAATCTGCCAACTCAACGATACAACTAGGGGACGTGTACGATGATCTTGAAATTTGGGAACAAATGCAGAGGCTCTAGGAATTAAATCGCACGATGTTTTCACGCGATTTGATGTCTGGTCGGAATACACAGATTCGTTTATCCTACGTCCATGAGGATCGTTCAACGTCGCGTGCCAAATTGTTCACGTGCTCAAATCTACGTGGTAACACTCGGATTCATGGACTAACCGAATATCTTCAACACTACTAAACGTTTCGGGAAGGGATACTCGGCAGTGACGTAAATCGACTTATCAATGCTACCGATTGTCATCTCGCTATCGAGCGCATTCCATCTGGCGACATTTCCTTATCGAAACCTGTATATCATAACCGTATTCCAAACAATCAGTTGATACTCCGATAAGTCACCAAACAGATTCTAGAATCGGCTAGACCGCTTTCCTGAATCTTACCTAAGGCCAAACACTTTTGCCCGAAGAAAGGCAAAACAAATCCTCGCTGGCAATTTTGCGCAATAATGCAAACTACCAGATTTGAGAAATTACCTTTACAGCCGAATTCCATGTTGGGCTTTAGAAATCGTACGAAGTTTACTCGAGTAATCTTTATGAATTTTCTATGGATGCGAGCTCTGGTACTTTTGTTACTTTGCCCTAGACTCGCACTGGGACTGCGTTTGCACGGGTCTGGTCATATTATGTGGTCATATGCGAGGGTCGACATATTTGCACGGTTTCTGCGAAAGATTGACGTGGGCCACCTCGCGCCCATTGAATTCCCCATGCAATCAGTTCGGTCTTCGAAGCGCAACGAGACCAGGCATGGAAACGGCGACTTCCTTGCCATAAATACGGAAGCCCTCGAAGGAAACCTCGCATTCTTGTCGGGGCTAGAACGAGGGAGGTACAGGCCGGCATCCAACAGGTGACGGCTGCAACAGGTAGGCACCTCTGCACTTCCGGGGCCGTCGAAGTTTCCGGCACCCCGCTTGTCCTTCCGATCTCGAATGTAAAATACATCGCGCGATAAAAAAAAAAATGATATACTAATTTCTCTCCGCAGAATGCAGCACCTACTCGTGAGCGCGTCTCTTCTAGTCCTGGCAGCATCTCAAGATCTCGAGGTGAGTCCAGGGCATGAATTCATTTCACAACCGAGACCATTGACCCATCGAGCACGTGTACCAAGCTTCTACGTCACCGTCCCTGAATCGTCATTGACGGGGTTCAAATGCTCGACTCGTTAAAAGTTGTACGACAAATTCCCTACAGAGTCATTCAACCTAGGACAGAAACGTATGCAATCCATTTCTTTACGGGGGGTGCCCCTTCCAGCCAGCAAGGGTGACTCCCTGCGTGTGGGAGGGAGATGAAAAATGATTGCGTATATTCGGAGCGAACGTGTAAAGAGCAGGGCGCATTTTCAGGCTAAAAAACACTACTCGTCGGACGCGGACCCCAAGTCGTGGCCGCTGAGAGGAGGAAGAAACCCATGGGATGAGCCCTACTCTGAATTCATTGATACTACAATGGTCAAGTATGGGAACCGTCGACCAGCTCTCGACGCGGTGCTTCTTCGAGATGCTCGGCAAATAGTACCTGTTGCTCTCGTTTGGTAATTAATACTTCAGTATTTTTTTCAACGCCACACTTAATATAATTAAAATACAACCATTTAACAGTTACACCAGCGAAGAGGCTCACGTAAAGACGGACGACTCTAAGGAGCTAAGGAAACTCGAGGAATACCTCGATAAGAGAGTCCAGCTCAAGGAAAAGGAGTCCATCGTCTCGCGCCCAGTTGACGATCAAAATACCGGCAACACCTTGCCGGAAAATTGTAAGGGACCTTTATTGCAACGCGGGAGTCGTCAGGGGCATCGCTGGAGAATTCAGGAACCCTTGTACGTCGAAGAACCTAATTGGATCGAGATCGAAAGGAACGACGAACGGTCGGATCAGGAATTCGACGCCAGCGATGTATTTTTCGTAGCTCGAGGTAAAAAACTCTTGAAGCTCGAAGATACCAAATTTCCAAGCGACCCTGTACTTGGTATTAAAAAGAGATACCTGGGGATTAAGAGATCAGGTGACGTCAAGCTCGAAAAGTCACACTCCGAACCACTCTTCCGAGCGAAGAGAGATTTAAGTAGCGATACCTCGAAAGACCCCCTGAAGGAAGTCGGTCGAAGCAGTAACACGAATAATTCGAAGGAGTTTGTTGAAGACGTAGCGAAAAATAATTTTAGATCAGAGTTGAAAACTGCGGACCATCCCAGGAAAACCATAAACGGACTCGCGATGGCTAAAACTACAGGGAAGAGAGGGAGGATTCGGAAGATATATCCAGAATTTTTAACTCGTCGGAAGCGAAGTTCCTGCAACGAGAAATTAGAGTATACACAGGACTCGCAAAATTCGGAAGAGGTTGCTCTTCGGAATTACTTTGAAAAAAAGGAGAAAATGAACGGTGATCTCGGAAAGACCTTAAATGAGCTTCAGGCGGAGGGGAAAATTCCGAACATAAAGCACGTCGAGCAGAGAGACAAGCACTCGAACGTTTTGGACATTCTGAAGGAACCTTTCGTCATTTCAAGGGGAAAGAAAGGGAGAAGACCGCGTTTTTTTGAGGAAGAGTTGTTAGCCGCTAGTGAAATCAGTTCACGCCGTCCATTGCGGGGCAAATGTTTCGTGCCCTCGGTTTTAGAGAACGGCACCTTAGGAGACATTCTCAGCATCGTTAAGCGGCATGGAGCGAACTCGGAGAAGTGCTCCAAGAGTTCTCAGGTTGACCCGGAATCAAGAGTCCGCGGCGACATTTGGAGTGACTGGGAAAACGATAAACCGCCAAGAGATCGTCGGGGAAGTTTGGACGAACTGTTGAGAAGATACGATCCCTTCTATACCGCCAGAGGGAAGAGGTTTTCTACCAGCATCTCGAAAAAGTATGGACATTTAAAAGCTCCCTTATCGGAGGACTCATTTGGGAGAACCGAAAGCGAAACACCAAAAAATTGAGGAATTCACGATCCCGATTTATTAGTTTTTAACAAGAACCACAGCCGGCCGATTACAAATTTATTTCGATTATTTTACCGATGGAGAAATGCGTGAAAAGGTTTCGGAGTCGTTAAAAATTCACAAAGTATAAATCTAAAGAAAAAGAGATGGAGTGTAAGAGCAAAACCGATAGATTAGAACATTAAACTTCCAGCCGCTTTTAATAAGCACGTTCTTCTCATTTCCGACAGGCTACCTGTCGCGTGGACAAATTTCCCGATACTATCTAGAATCTGGTTTTAACAAGACAAGCCCCACGTAGAGCGCGTCAACAAAGACAGTAGAATCGTCGAAAAGCAGTCAGACGTGGCGATACAATCGCGCGGAATTAACGCACGATCTTACTCAACCAACCGTAATCCCTAATTTGAAATTAATTCCAGGGACAAGAATCCTGAGTTTTACTTTATCTCGACGAGTTCTTTTAACGCCTCCTTCCCCCCATTAAACCTAGCAGCGCATGAAATGCTACTTAAATTTTAGCACCGAATAAACTCACGGCAACTCTTCGGCAATAACAGAAACACCGAGAGAAAGTAAAATGAGACACGAATGAAAGACTGTCTCCGACATGAAGTGTCCAAAGAAAAAGTCCCATTTTTTCTGTTAAAAGTATCGACGTGCCATTACATTATTTTTCTAATAATGAGTAACACATACTGGGAATGATTCCCTCCTGTGGGAAAATGGCTAATTCTTGTATGAACGAAACCGACTTTTATCACTCGCGCGATGACAGTGAGTAATCCCTGGAGACTCCGACGAGGAGCGTCAAATTGAAGCGAAAAAACGAGGACGGACGCGCGAAACACCCGATGAAAATTTCCGACAATTTTTCAAACGGCGTTCGGGCTGTTTTTCATTTTTCCGCGCACTTGCTACCTCCTGTCTCCGGGAACCAGAACGACGTATATCCTTCGCCTCTGATCATTACTTTCTGTGGGAGTGTTTTAAGGTGGCCTTTCTTTTTTTTTTCTCGGAGTATCAATCGAAGCGATATCACGCTTGATATTAACAACCCTTAAACCGATTACGATTCTTATTACAATCTTTTCAACGGCTCTCCTACTTTTACTCCTAATTATCGCCGAGGTCGTCACGAGAGAGCTAGATGAATGAAATTCTATGAATGTCATTACACATTTCCCGGATATTTTTCCATGTCCGCGATACCGATCGTAAAGGTACATTTAAACGCCACTTCTTTATAAATTCACCCCCCCGAGTATGCCGGACAGGGCCTGAAACACCCACGATATCCACATAACGACCGAACGCCCTAAAATAATTCATACATTTAAAATCGATAAATTCGAACAGAAAAGACTGGATCGTCCCGAAGAATCCCGATCTCTTGGGCCCTTCGAGTTGGCCGAGCTAGATTCCTAACGAATCGCATCGTGCAAGATGCAGCCAACCGATGGATCATATGGAGCAGGAGGGAGGTAACTGCGCGTTGCCATTTCGAAACACACTTAGGTGCTCATTCAGGTACCAACGTTAGCAAAAAGGGAATAACGCGTAGGCGATACACCGAGAACAGGTGGGGGTGACTTTTCAGCCAATCAGGGCGCGAGGAGCGCGCCACGTGGGGTGTATAAGATAACCGGCGCACACCTCCCGTGGCCATTGCACCTCTCTTTCGCGAGCCGACAGGTGGATCTTGGATAAAAAGGGAAGAAAGGGAATCTCGAAAGCTCGGTAAGTCGCAGCGTGGACCGCCGAGCGATCGATCACCCATCGAAGATCGCCCACCCGACGCACTCCATCGAGGTGAGTCTTCGACTCATCGGACGAATCGGCCAAAAAACGTCTTCGGCCGAGATTTCGAGCGCGTTAACGCAATTGCGCCGCGGTAACTCGTGAACGGGAAATCGGTTCGGGTGGGGGTGAGTTTCCGGCCTATCAGCGCGCGAGGTGAGCTCCGATAGCACCCACGTGGGGTGTATAAGATAGCCGGGGCACACCTCGAGTGACCACTGCACCCCGCGATGGCCGTCCAGCAGGTGGGCCTTCGATAAGAGAAGAGAAATCAGCGCGCGAAGTTGCAGCTTACCGTTAACGCGACCTTCTTGATCGCCCATTCCGATCGGACCACCTGGCCCACGTAGGCGCGGTAAGTGATTTCGGCGTCAGGATAAATCGGATAAAATTCGCCGTCGCGTGAGGACGATTTTTATCTCGGCGCAGATAATGGCCCTATCGCTCCCAAAATCGTAGCCGGGCATCTGCGCGTATAATATAATAAGAAGCATGAGGCTAAGTATACTCGCAGGCGTGTCGGTGACATTTCAGGTGAATCGCCACGAGTGAACGCGATAGATTTTCGCGGAATCGAACAGCCCTCGAATCGTGATCTTCGTTAAGTAAGTGAACGTTAAATCGGTGCTGATTAATTTTTTTGGATCGTTTATTTTATTTTTAATCAACCGCGACTACGTCCCCTTTCGGCTCTGACGTTGGTGCGCCCCACTGGCAAGGGGTTTCGAAGATTTCGGTCGGTTCTCTCTCTTCATTTTTTTTTTTCCCAAATTCGTCTCGCGCCAACGCGTCCTGTCAACCCTGGTGAACGCGGATAGATGGAAAACATTTTGATAACACGAGGCACGAGAAACGATAAGTGTCACCGGACGAGGATACTTCATGAAGGCACCGCATGCTTTGGTGACAACACTGAAAGCATCCGCTAACGAAATTCAAGCTCGGCTTGTGGACGGAAATGCACCGTACACTTTTTTATCCATCGTCCGTGCTATAGGGAGCTATTAGTCCGCAATATACGGAAGTAACAGTCGCCGACGAAAAAGTATTTCGAGCAGCCCCGTGTTCACCGCGCCGCTCTAAAAGGTTCCTCATTTTCGCAAGTGCGGTTATTGCACGCAAACGAAGCTCGTTTAAGCCTTCGTTAAGTTCGTAGCATCCACTTTCTCGCGTTCGGGGTTTCATCCCCTTTCTCCCCCTCGAGTGATTGATATAACATTCATTTTCCCAGAGCAAAGAATCATCCAAATTCGTGATTCGCGATCTCTTCGGGGGGATTTATCCGATGGAAGAATTCCCGCAAGAACCCTCCACGAGAGGAAACTCTGGCGTTTTCGTTAAACGTAATTTTGGAACTCCGCGAGGGTTTAAAGAACGCGTCAAGAGGCAATGCGTCCCAGAGGAGTGAATCCTGATAAAAAATTCCAACGCCCATTGCCCCTCGATTACTCAGCCCGGTAGAAAAGTTTCGTCCCCGGACAGTTCGATTAATGTTTGGCAAGGACACTGAAAAAGTGGCGCACGGTCGGAGTGACGAGAAATATTATTTTTTCCCTACGTCCTGCATAAGCCAGAACCGCCGTGTATCTATATTTGGGGGTTAAATAATTTCCCTCGAAACTCGTCAACAATTTCCGTAGTTTCCGGCGATGTCTTCCTCCACCTCCATGCAGGTGTTTTTCGAAAACGGCTCGCGCTCACATATATCCAAAACACGGAAAAAAGCCAATAGTTCCAGTTACACGCAAGGTAGTCAAAGAGGATCGAGGAGCCGCCTTGTTTACCGAAATACGTTATTAATACAAGCGCGAGTTCGATATGCGGCCGCCGATGGAGCGTTTTGACGCAAGTCTATCCAGAGCACCGTCCCAGGGACGCGTCCACGTCGGCGACGTTTTAATTTCCCCGACTGCGTACCATTCGCTAATTGCCCGCCGGTAAATGCGAATCAAAAGCTCCCGCAAAAAAGAAGATATTTATGAAAATACCCTCTCGGGGTCGGGGCTCCCGTTCTTTCAGGCTTGATATCGCGCTCGTCCGTCTCCTTATTCGAGGGCCGACACCGAATCAACGCGAGAGATCCTCTTGTCGGCAATTCCGCCCACTGGCCGCGCGTAAGCCCCCTTCATTTTCCTGCCGGCTGAAGAGACTGGCCAGGAAATGGTATTTATGCACTCTGCCGCGGAAACGAAACGCGCAAATCCCGCCGCGTTTCGAGCCCTGCGCCCGATAATCTTCGGGGGGTCGTAATAATGACTCCTCCCTGAAGAGTCCGCGTCCCTGGGAACGGATTGCATTTTTTACCCCAACCCGCGACAAATTGGATGCCCCTTCGCAATTACACTTGACAGAGTCCGAGCTCATAGCTCCGAAAGGTACGGGAGGACCCTTTGAAAGAGCGGCCCTTTCAAAGGTGCCTGGCGCTCCTTCTGGACCGATAGATGGGGAACGTATACGGGTAAAAAGGGAGAAACACCCGGCCGTTCAGTCTGAATTGTCGATTGAGTTTTTCGATAGAAATTTTGATTGCATCGCGGTACTTTCATTTATTCGGGGTTTTCGGCAAGTCCGTAAAAATGGGAGCTCGTGGCAACCTTCGCCCTTAAAACCTTCGACCGAGAACGATATTGGTTAGGAGCCTCTTAAGAGGAAGGAGCTTCTTCGGGTAATCTTTCCTTATTGCGGCTCCATTGTTATTGCCGCCGTTGAAGTCGCCCGTGGGCCGAACGACGCGCGCGATTTGGCAAACTTGACGCTCGAGTTTCGATCCGCGATGCGCGGTTTATTTAAAGGGAAGGCCTCGTCCATCAGCGAGGCAAATATGGGACCACATATTGCTCACGATAAGGAGTCGCGAACGCGTTCTTTTTTATCAGGCCACTTCGAGCCTGGCGATGGGCGCCACTTGATGCAGTACTCGAGTACCGAGAGATATACTCAGAGGTGTAATCGCTAAATCGACTTCCTTTTCGCAGATATGTGGGCGCCGCTTGCCGTAGCGTTACTTTTGTCGCAGACGGTTTTTGCGAGTTTCGAGGACGAGAATCTGTCCAATTCCGAAGACGCCGGAGATGCCGGGAAGGACACCAAAATGTCCGAATTCCAGGACCCTATCAAGATTCAGAACGCGTCTCCTACGCCGGACCCTGAAAGAGACGAAGCGACGTTCAAACTGGAAACAGGTAAAAAGTTCATCTGGCAAACACGGATCGTACTTACGAGAATTCTGCTACAAATCTATTGATCCTTGATGAATTTTCAATGTTATAGATCCACTGCTAAAATTATTCTTGACAAGGATATTGGAAGAAGCAGGGCGGAAAGGCATCGACGAGACGGAAAACAGGAGAAAAAGATCAACGGACGAGGTCTTGGCGGAGGACACTGCGAAAAGGCGAGATGGCACGACACTCTCTGCATGGTTGTATTGGCCTATTAGACAGAAGGTAACTTATTTTTGGAAAGACGGACAAAGATGATTATAAAAAGCTCACGATCCGTTCTATTCTATGATAGCAGGTTTTTCCTGCCGACCACCGAGATACTGCTCAAGAGAAGAAGAGTCCAGCCTTCAACCCCTGGGGTGGAAAGCGCTTTTCGTACGACCTGTTCCCCAACATTCGTCGGCCAATGCGAGTTCCCTTCAATAGCTGGGGTGGAAAACGAGATGGAAAAAATATTCGCCGACTTGCCGAAGACAAGAGAACCAAATTTTTCAACTGGGGTGGAAAAAGAACATCCTTCAACAGGTAAGGCAAGACGTTAAGTGTTCTTTATGGGATCCGACGCTATTAAAATATTTGGTTCACAGTTGGGGAGGAAAACGAGACTGGGAGATCGCAAACCCTTGCCGAACGATCGCCGAAGATCCTGAACGGAACAGTAAAAATGCATTGATATATGATAAAAGATCCGAGGATAAATTAAAGGATCCAGAAGAAGTGGAAGAAAAAACATCTACTCAGAATGACGAAAAACGAGTGAGGTTTAACAGCTGGGGAGGAAAGCGGTTCATACATCCATCGCTGCCCAAAGAAATTTCTGAAATGCACAACTATGCAGATGAATTTAGCGACGAGTGGCTGATTGCCCCCAACAAGAGAGATGGCAATAATGCACGCAGTAGAATAATCTTTGTACCTTGGGGTGGGAAGAGAAACACGAACGAAGACATTCTGAATCCAAATCCTCATCTGACTCATCAGTCGGTCAACATAAGAAAAGTATTCTTCCCTTGGGGTGGGTAATTGTAATAAATCTCTGTGACTGATCGCATCGATATTGAATAACGATGTTGCTGGCCAAATAAGTATTTATTTTCTCTATCATCCGACTCAACCTTGAAGTTCCTTGGAGTAAATTCTGTGGTGAGACGTTGCGAGTAAACTGATATACATAGGTGACTACCGTGCTAGTATTTTATTGAAAAATGATTGACTCGCTGGCAAAGCTCGATCATGTGTTTGGCTGTGGCATTATAGATAGTATTCTAATTTCGCCGATCGAAATATTGCTAGCTGCTCTGCGTTGTCGTAAAGCAAAGAGACAGTTGAAATTAATGGGTAGCAATTGCTTCCTTCTAAATATGAAAGTATAATTATAAGTGTTTATGTAAGTTGTTAATGATATAAGGAAATAAATTAAATGTGTTAGACGTTCTTATATTCTTTTATAATTTGAGAATCGTATTAAGTATATTTAATGGTAAGATGAACTTCCTTGTAACTTATCACTTATCCTAGACAGACAATGCTTAAATTTCTCGATATCATTGCCTTGAAATAATGTACTTTTAATTAAAGTAGTAATATGCAGCATGAAAATAAATTTCTTTTGCATCGTTTCATAATTATACGTTGAATTGTTTGTAATGTAAATGTAAATGTGCAATGCAACCTGGATAGTAAAGGAAACCAAGGACCTGACACGTTATGTTTATAGCTTAAAGTAGATAAAAGAAATTAAAATAAAGCAAGCAAAAATCATATTTCATAAGAATGTTTTAATCCATTTACTAGGGTGTAACTTGTAGCTATAAATTAAACCATTATTACCTTCCTATGGTATTGAATAAAATACTGAAATTATAACAAACTTTCTTATCTGGCAATACGAATTTTCTAGGTTAGGTACTAGAGTCAAGTTGTTCTGCCCGCAACAACATTTTTCCGATATTATTACTGTTTCTACAAATACTTCGGAAAATTGTGTATTATCGGTTTAAAACTGTTTGATACTCACCGGCAAAATACAAGTCACCAAATTTCATGTATATTTATGTTGTCACGGTGACTGTTTGGTTGGATTTCATTATTCATAGACGTCTCATTACTGGTAATTCTTTTTGTTTAATAAATTCCATTTAGACTTATTCACAAATTACCAGTTGCAAATGTTTGAAAATGGTCACAGAGATAAGTTGGGAAATTACGCACGGGCAGGATCCATAGACATAGGAATATCGAGATAGAGTGCAACTGCAGAGCGGAAGCTACTGAGGGGAGGATGACAAGATTTAGTGCCTAACTTTGATTAGCTAATGTTCTGTAAGAACAGGTCGGAATTTCAAAATTGGAAAAAAAAGAAGTTTGGGAGTAATAATGCGAAAGTTACATTTCATATGTATTAAAATTGTTTACCGTATTTACAAATTATAATTAGCGGTACTGAACATGCGTACAAATTTAACCAATCCCATTTAGGCACCAAATCCCCCGTAATTCGGCTTCACTTCCCTTGTCTAAGCTTGCACTTTATGCTATGTCTATATTCCTATGGCTATATCGTATGCAGTTCGCCCTCTTGGTCTCCATCGCCTCCATGGGGGTATCATTCCAGAGCATTTCAATTTGATGTGTTTTAATCTGATTAAACAAAACAAGCCAAGCAGTGAATATAATGCCTGCAATTCGCCCAGCAAAGAAATGGAAAGAACATAACCGCGTTCGTAAGGAACTAAAGAAAAAGTGGAAAGAGGAGAGGTTAATAAAAAAAGAGAAAAAAGATGCCGCGGAAAAGCTTACAACTAATGAAAATGCAGTGCAATTACATATGACCAAGATTCAGCCTTCCACGGTTAGCATCGCGGTACCTGGTTCCATTTTGGACAATGCTCAGTCACCAGAGTTGAGAACATACCTGGCAGGCCAAATTGCCCGTGCTGCTTGCATTTATAAAGTTGATGAGGTTGTGGTGTTCGACGATAAAGGGGAGATTACGGAAGCAGAAAGAAAGAACGTGAGGAAAGACGATACATTGGGGGAAGGACGGCTTGGCTGCTTACATTTAGCTAGGATATTGCAGTACCTAGAGTGTCCACAGTATCTACGAAAGTATTTCTTCCCTATTCATAAAGATTTGCAGTATGCAGGGGTATTAAATCCTTTGGATGCACCGCACCATGCGCGACAACAGGATAATGTTTTATTTCGGGAAGGAGTGGTAACGAATAAACCAGTAAAGCTTGGAAAAGGATCTCAAGTCAATGTAGGCTTGCTTAACGAAGTCCACATTGATAAGGTATTGACACCTGGCCTGAGAGTAACTATTAAAATTCCATTGGGACAAGAAAATCCTAAGAAATTAAAAGGAACCGTAGTACCACCAAATATGCCAAGAACAGAAATGGGAATATATTGGGGATATTCGGTCAGACTGGCCAGCAATCTTACGAACGTATTTACAAAATGCCCTTACTCGCAAGGATATGATTTGACAATTGGTACATCTGACAAAGGCACATCGATCGATGACGTACCATCTAGTAGCTTAAAATATAATCATGCGTTAATAATTTTTGGTGGATTAGCTGGTTTAGAAGCAGCAGTAGATGTTGATCCACATTTAAATGTTGATGATACATCTTTAGTGTTTGATGAATATTTAAACACTTGTCCTTTGCAAGGATCGAGAACTATAAGAACAGAGGAAGCTGTCTTAATGTCATTAGCTGGATTAAGAACTAAGTTACTACCGGAACATCCTCCATTACCCTGCGTACAATTCAGTTGTACCGAAAAATCAGTGGAGGAGGCAAGCAAAATGATAAAATCTGTAAGTAAAACATTTGATCATGAAGAAATAAAAAGTTTCAATGATGTGTCCGAATAAGCATATATGAATACTGAAATAAAATGAGATGTAATTTACGCAGATAAATAACAATTTTTAAAAAGTGCAAATTATATCTTTTATTATCCTATAGTATTTTTTACTATATCTTTTCAAGAGCGCAATTTATTGTATTTCTTAAACTTGATATAACTTTCTCGGGATTACTTGCTCCGATAACCGCAGTTCCGGATACTATCATATTTGCACCAGCCTAAAATAAAGTATTAGTTTAAAACAAGTACAGTGTTAGTTCGGTAATAACAATTAATATTTATAGCATACTTTTGCACAATCCTGAATAGTATTCGGGCCAACACCTCCATCTACCTCAATATCTAATGTAGGATAATTTTTCCTTAACCAAAGAACTTTTTCCATCATCGAGCCCATAAACTTTTGTCCACCGAAACCTGGTTCCACTGTCATCACAAGAACCATGTCTGTTAAATCTATGTAATTTGCAACTACATCCACAGGTGTTCCAGGTTTTAGTGCAACTCCCACCTGTTTAATTAAACGATGTGCAGTCATAATTAAATGTCCTACCTTGTATGTACATTATGAGTGGCCACTAAATTTTTTTAAATACAGTTTTATTAAAACAATTATAACGAAAAATGAATTATGCAAGTAGAATAAATAAAATGTTCACGTATCATGGTTTTATACATGGAAAGCCTTATACTGAACTACTAAAATAAGTATTTTTAAAAATGAACATTTAAAATGTACCTTCATACCAGCTTCTTGTACTTTTCTGCATACCGCGGGAACATCTTCGACAGGCTCGACGTGAAACGTATACTGATTCACGCCTGCATCTGCCATAGGTTCGATCCACTAAAACGACGGATGAAAAATTAATTCACAGAGCTCGGCGTCAAGTCAAAAATTATAAGGTACCTGATCAGGGTTCGACACCATCATGTGCGTTTCAAAGAATGCATTTTTAATTTTATTTCGAAGACATTTGACCAATGGGTGTCCGAATGTGAGGTTAGGAACAAAGTGTCCATCCATAACATCTAAATGTAAAAAATCTGCTCCACAGTCCAACAATCGCTGAGACTCTTCCGAAAGTCTCGATAAATCCGCATTTAAGATCGAAGGTCCGATTTTGGCGGTCAAGGTTCTCGGCATGTTGTCCTTCACGAAACTTTTTCAATGTTTCTCTAATTCATACTAATCACGCGATAAGGAATGTTAACACAATTCACTCTCCTCCCTCCTAATGTTGCGTCAGATGCAGAGAAGACTTTGTTCGTTCCCCCGTTTCCTCTCCTTTTGCACTTTGCTTTCCCGCGCATTTTGCAACGCATCCATTGCCATCGGCTGCTGTTTGATCAACGTAAATAATCAATGAGTCCATCCTTGATCCCTTACCACGAGTAGTCGTTTTTGTTTCAAATGGAATTCACCCCGAAACGTTGAATACAACGTCCGCAAGTATATCAAGGAGACGCCGAAAGTCATTTTAGGTTAGATTACCCGAGCACGTTGCACGCGATTAGGATCGAATCTCGCGCCAGTCGACATGTCGCGCTAATCTCGAACCCAGAACCCTCGTCCGAGGTTATCGAACGAGCCGTGTCGACATGGTGTCGGCCGGTCAAGATAATCGCACCGCGTCGGTGCCTTCTAAATCATGAAATAATATCCCGGATGTTCAAGCGCGGCAACTATTCGAGCCGATTCGCGTTTATCCCAAAAGGTGGAACAATTCCGAACAATTCAATAGACCCAAGGCCGCGGCGTCACGGACGTCAGTTTTCTACTCGATGGCGGACCAATGAGCGTGCTGCTCCGAGCGATTTCTTTGCCGGTAGAGCGGCTCGCGGCGCCCGCGGCGCGACTCTGCGCCACTTGGACCAACTCGGACCAGACAGGACCAGACCGACAAGTGTTTGGCGCGGTACAGAACGCGCGAGGATGTGCTCCGCGAGTTTCGATTGATCGCCAATTCTTTCTGAAGACTCATCTTTGGGAGGCACGATGAAGTACATCCTAGTGACCGGCGGCGTGATCAGCGGTATCGGGAAGGGAGTGATCGCCAGCTCTTTTGGAACTATACTCAAACACTGTGGCATCCATGTGACATCTATCAAGATAGATCCTTACATTAATATAGATGCCGGGACATTTTCACCGTACGAGCACGGTTAGTACCGCGAAGATTGCTCGTTTTGTAAGGGATTCCAGTGAACCGGTCCCGACTCGGCCGCTTCCCGACAGGACTGACGTTGCGTGCCGTAGGTTTGCGATTTATCGTGGTTCCCGCGACCATGCGGTTCGCTCGAGAGAGGCTATTTACAGCTAGCGCGCCGTTAGCGATCACGTGGCCTCCGCTTCGCGAATGTCGATTCTCCCGACAGTTTGAATCTTCTCTAAAAGTCGAGGAGAAATCTCTCTTTTCTAACTGTTTTTGGTTCGCAACTCTTCGGGGTTTAGCCTGTGGATTTTTAGGAGGTGCTAAATCATTATCGGGAACTAGGGCCTAAGCGAGTGATTTTTTTTCCATCGTCAGGTGAAGTATACGTTTTGGATGACGGTGGCGAAGTAGATCTCGATCTTGGTAATTATGAGAGGTTGCTGGACGTTACTTTGCATAAGGACAACAATATTACTACTGGAAAAATATATCAACACGTAATCAGCAAGGAAAGACGAGGGGACTATCTGGGAAAAACTGTTCAAGGTATCGAGTAACATCAAAGGTAAATTATAATTGCTTTACGGATTCAAATTGACTCAATGCTTTTATGCACAGTTGTACCACATGTCACCGACGCGATTCAAGAATGGGTTGCCAGAGTGGCTAGCGAATCGGTGACGCAAGATGGAAATGAACCGGAGGTAAAAAATATTGCTGTACCTTAAAATAAATTGTCACGTGTGTTCCTGGTGAGATAACGTTTCAAAATTATTTCACAGGTTTGTATTATTGAACTTGGGGGAACGATCGGAGACATCGAAGGAATGCCCTTTGTGGAAGCATTTAGACAATTTCAATTCAGAGTGAAACGAGAGAACTTTTGTTGCGCTCATGTATCGCTCATACCTCAGGTATGTACTCGAGACATTGAAATTCTGATTGTCATGACCCTGAATTTGCGCCAAGGATATTGTCGGATTTATTTTTAGATTAAAGAGTGGCATAAGATTTACTTTGGCTTAGACGGTTCGCTTCCGGTTACATAGATCGATCGATCCAATGATTATACAATTAACAAAAAATTTATTACTAGCCACGTTCAACCGGAGAACCCAAAACAAAACCTACGCAATCGAGCGTTAGGGAATTGAGAGGATTGGGCTTGTCACCGGATCTCATTGTCTGCAGATCCGAGAAACCTATCGGCAATACGATTAAAGAAAAGATTTCAAATTTTTGCCATGTCGCTCCCGATCAGGTAAACATGCGGAAATAGATTCGGGAAATAAGTTGTTTCGATATTTAGTGACAGAGTGTCATGATTATAGGTGATCACTATTCACGATCTATCCTCGATTTACCGAGTGCCTTTATTGATGGAGAGTCAAGGTATCATAGAATTCTTGATTGATAGATTGCAATTGAATATTCCTACGCCTCGGCCGCGTAATTTTATGCGGAAATGGCGTGATCTAGCAGAACAAATTGACCACCTCAGGAAGGATGTAAATATAGCTCTAGTAGGAAAGTATACTAAACTCGAGGATTCGTATGCCTCGGTAACTAAAGCGCTCCAACACGCCTCGATACAAGTTGGTTTTAAATTAAACGTTATGGTAAGATGATATATTCAGTAAACGGTACTAGAGACTACATTTACTGGTGCTTTCAAACCATAAAAAAATGTTTTAATTTCAGTATATAGAAGCAATCAATTTAGAGCCCTCAACGAAATCGAAAGACCCTGTAGTTTATCACGAAGCTTGGCAGAAACTTTGTAGGAGCGAGTAAGAATTTCTAAGTGATCATATTGTGTATTGGAAGTATATGAATAAGGCATAAAATTGGATTGCATTCTTTTTTTTGTCTTTCTTTTCTTAGTGGAGTAATAGTCCCGGGTGGCTTTGGATCAAGAGGAATGGAGGGTAAAATTGAAGCCTGCAAGTGGTGCCGAATGAATGACAAGCCATTTCTAGGGATATGTTTGGGTCTACAGGCAGCCGTTATTGAATTCGCTCGTAACGTTTTACAGTTGGAAAACGTAAATTCCACAGAAGTTGATTCCGACGTGGAGAATCCTCTCGTTATCGATATGCCAGAACACAATCACGGTCAGATGGGAGGTACTATGAGGTTGGGTAAAAGATACACTCGCTTTACGGAAGGGGCTTCGATCATAAGTGAGTGAACAAAAAAATGTACGGTTTTGTACAGCCAAATTTTAGAACGCCACACTTCTAGATCAACCTGTATGGTTGTAACGTACCGCACACGATTAAAGTATTTTAATTCCAAAAGCGAAATTGATATCTGATATTGATTCGTAGAACAATTATATGGCAACAAAGTCGGTATAGAGGAAAGACACAGACACCGTTACGAAGTCAATCCAAAATACGTTCCCGACTTAGAAGCAGCCGGTTTGAAATTTGTTGGTAAGACGCATCGAATATCATTGCATCGTTTATTATATGCACTAAATAAAAATAAGAACATTTCTTTTCTTCAGGGCATGATGACGAAAAGGTTCGAATGGAAATTATAGAATTAGAAGGTCACAGCTACTATGTAGCAACGCAGTATCATCCGGAATATTTGTCACGTCCACTGAAACCTTCTCCTCCATTTTTGGGTTTGATTTTGGCGAGTGTGGGGAAGCTAAGGTCCTTTTTGGCACGAGGTTGTAAACTTTCCCCACGACAAATGAGTGACAATGAGTCTGGTTAGTTCAGAAATTGGTTGGATTCAAATGATCTTGTGCTTTTTCTTTTAACGATATTTCACCTTTCTGGTTTACGTTAACAGATGATGAATATCTGGTCGAATCGATGACAAAGTTACAAGTTACAAGTGGAGACAGCAGAAGCAGTAGTGCCTCTATATCTAATGGCTGCGTTGAATAGTCTCCTTTCCATGCAGAATAGGAAAATATTGCAGAGCATAATGCGTAGCAGTAAGTAATCTGACTGAAGAAATAATAGTTATAATTTTCAATTGAATTCTTCGGTGGCCTTAAGATATCCAGTTTGAACAGTTTATTAAAGTTGTATCTGTCTGACAATTAATCAAGCACCCACAGGTACGTCCATATAATATATCGGCAATTAGTTTATATCCGAGATGCAGAGTACAGAAATGATTAATAACGTTTCCCGTATCTTCAACAGTGCAAATAAAGAAGTGGGCATCTTTCATACAAGTTAAAACTTTTTTAAATATATTATCAGAACATGTCAGGCCACTATTAATTTTAAACCAAAATTTTCCGAATGTGTAACGATTACAGCTCCTTTCTGTAATTCAGAGTTTGAATTTGGGCACAAACGTGCTTTAGTCAATTCCACATTACTAACTAATCAATGCTGTATTTTCATTTTTTTTTCATATTAATTTTATTATCAAATGAATAGTATAGTACATTGTAAATCTTATTTATGAACTTTTTTTAGGGAGCTCTTAATTCGTAAAAAAAGAATGTATTTTTCGTGAACCTTAAAAAGCGCAATGTTACCGTGTCTCGGTATGTATATTATAATGGATTAACCATAAGCTTAAAGATTTGTACTTTTAAGTCCTCCGTACAGTTTTGTGCATAATTTGGCCATGAATATGAATCTATCTTTATAGGGAAACAAGAAGTTTAATTACCGAGAGCAATATTGGTTTCTCGATTCTTTGCTATCATCTATATGAATCCTGTACTGGTTTCAGGAATGTATAGCTAGTAGATACGATGTTGTATTGTAAAAGAATCTGATAAGGATCGCAAAATAAATACTTCGCTTTTAGCGTAGCAATCTCATTTACATATGCTGCAGATTTTACCGAATATGCCATCTAAACGTGCTTCGTACCGTCGAGAGCGTTACCTCCGTTTCGAATAAATGTATAAACGTTGTAAATGGGCAACTAATGAGCAAGTCATAAATTGAGCATATCAATTCTGTACACGTTTATTTGTATAATCCTGAATTAACATCGCACTATATCGGACCACAAACACAGTAGAATGGTAAAAAATAGTAAATGTTTCCATATAAAAGTGATGTATGTACATACAATTGCTGGCAACCAGCGACGCCTCTACCTCGACGTAAATTGTCTCGTCGAATGCGTTTTTACAACTATCAATAGCTTTAGACTCTCATCTAAAATACGTTTACTCTCATGGGATTACGCTTAACCGCGAAGCTAATGTTAAACTTAAATCCTGCAAAACGAAGTAAAACAAAATAAAACTAATTAGAAAATAAAAAACAGACGGTAAGAATGCAAAATGCACTTTGGACGGTAAACATTACAACTAATACTGAATACTACAGAGACAAACAGATTAGAATTAGAAGCAGACTTTCGACGCGTTAAGAGGGATAAATCTGTATCAAAACAGATACCTTTGTACATTAGCAAATGTTCTTAATCCAGTAGCATCACGATATGAAAAGTCAACGTCGAAGCTTTAATTGAGAATATATTCGTATAAATAGTAAAATCTTTTTGATTAGCAGGAAAAAAAAAAATAAAACGACAACCGCGATGTCTTTGGATGGGGTTTAGTTTTCGTAGATAGAAGTACGTACTCTGCGCAGTTCTAACGACCTAAATAAAAAACCGACGTGGTAAATTAGAGGAATTTAGATGATTACTACGGAGCTACGTGACCGTCTTGGGTAAACTATGATGAAATTATTCGCTTTATATTAACTTCTCCTTGACCCCCCAGTCTCGCACAGCGGACATGGTCACATCGCCTTGTCGACGCAACGGCAGGCAAAGTTCACTAAGCAAAGAATAACTCGTCTAATGATGATCCTACAGTGGAAACACTTCGCTGTGGTCTAAGATATAAGTGAACATTTATCTTTTCTTTTTTAGACAGGAGTCCATTTGACATAAAATGATAAGACATTCAACAACGTACGACTCGCAGTTTCCAAGAAGTTGCTTGCAGAATTCGATTATACGGCGGGAGCAACAGGGTATAGTAAAATAAATGTTATTTACTATATAATCGACAACCCCTTTCGGTCAAACTAGACGTTAATCTGCCTTTCCTTGAATGTCTTTCGGGTACTCGAGTCTAATCGAGACAATAAGTTTCTTCGTTCGCGCACCTCTTACCTGTAAGTATCTCCTACACTCGGAAGTTCCTCTCTAGATAAACCATTCTTTCTTCTTTTGAACCTGATGTCCCGTGGCGGAGTGAACGACCGCCGAGTCCGGATCGAGGGCGATCTCTGCACCTTTGTCTTCTTGGGTGAGATACTCGCCCTTGTGTCTGGACATGTATCTCCCGATGAGCACGGCCATCACTACCAACGCTATCAGTATCACCGCCAAGACACTGCCCAATATCGCAGTGTCCGTTTCGTTGTACGCGGCCCTAACCTTGTCCTCGTCGACATCGGGCGGAGGTCTTGTTTCGACGATATTCGGAGGATGAGTGATCGGCTCCACCCCGCAAAAGTCCTCGTGCAAGGGAGTGCCCAGCGAGCGCACGTTCCCTGGCCCGTTTTCTTGGAAGAGCAATTTCAGTGGGTAAATGTCGTCAAACTCTACCCTGGAGACGCAGCCGATGAATCCTTCGGTCATGGATTCGTTCTTCCCGATGTACATGTACTGGATATTGTTGAACTGCGCGTCGGCCGAGGTCTTGATGTTAAAATGAAATTCACTGGGCTCGTAATTGTCGACTTGTAGAACCAGCGTCGAGCCCGCGTTCTTCCTGCTGAACCTAACGTCGTGATACTGGCCCAGGCCAAAGTGCTTCCCCGGGAATATCACTTCTTGCCTTTCGAAGCCAAAGTCAAAGGTGACCCTCAAGTGGCCACTGTTGGACACCATGATGGTCAGATACTCGCCAGAGATGTTGGAAAACAAGCCCAAGAGGAAGCCCTTCGGATTGGTCGTCGTGAATCCCACGCGAATCTTCTCGGAGAGCGTCGACCGCCAGCTGCCCATAAAGTCGTACCTGATCATCGAGCTTGACCGGAGGTTCACGCCGATTTCTAAAACAAGGGCAAGAAACGTTTCTCGTTAATTATAACGACGATTTCGAATCCAGAGCACAACTTTTGAGAAAGACGCGTGCCGCTGTCTTTCGAGGGACCCACCATCGGCGCAAATCGGGCCCTTGAAGGCTGTCCATCGGCAGTCGCACCAATACCCGTCGTATCTCTCGTGGCAAGTACCGTTGTTCAAGCAAGGACTGCTCTCGCACCTGCCCTCGCAGCCCTCGCTGACCCCGTAGAGCCCCCTTCTGACGGGACTCCTTAGATCCTGCAGCTGCCCGTTAAGGAGCAGAGCCCTGATGCAACCTACGTATCCGTCCCTGTAATCGGTGGTGGCACCGACCACGAAGTCAGAAGTGAGGTGAAGAGCTCGCACCGGTCCCGGTGGTTCCCTGACCTCGTTCTTCAAGGCCCCGTCTACGACGATCCTCGCCTCCTTGCGATTCCTCTCGACGGAGACCGAGTGCCACCTGTTATCGGCAAGACTGTACGAGGTTTGCACACCCACGGTCAAGGGCCCACCTCCGGCCTGATACTGGAAGTGTATTTGATTGCCGCTGTTGATGGACACCTTGATGTAGTCGGTAGGACCTTTGCTGTGGATCATAACTGCGTTTTCGATGGTCGTCTTAAACTCGAAGTAAATATCCCCGCTGTGTCCAATGTCGAAGGTAGGTAGGTTGATGGTGGCGTCGACGATGCGGAAGGTTACGACGTTCTTGAAGAGATCTGCAACGGAGGGTCAACCGGCCAAGTTGAATTATTGAAAGAAAAAAAAAAACGGAGATTTTTTGCAGCGACGACTTTAAGTAAACGTTAATACGGCCTACGAGTTTGAAAATTTATACCGCAATTGTCTCACCTATCCGCGACCACGCCAATGCGGAGCCTCGAGAGCGATTCAAAGTAAATAAAATTCTTAAGGATCGCTGCAAGTGATCATTTCATTTTAATTTCAAAGACCGATCGGTCGACTAACCATCTCCCTCGCATATCAGAGGGCCGAGCGTGTATCGACCCTCCTTCTCGTCGAGCGGCGTTCCGGTGTCGCCAAAGCGCAGCTGCTTTACGGGAAGGTACTCTTTCTCCGTAATGTCACCACCGTCTTCCAGCCACCCTTCCAAATTGGAGTCGCAGTTACACCACTTCGTGGGATCGCCGCAGCTACCGAGCATGCCGCACTCGCATTTCCGAGACCCGGGTAAAGCACCTCCCCAGTAATCCATCTTCTGATTGTGCCTGCTGACCCACCAGGAGTTTGGTCTAAACGGCTGGTTCGGTTGCACTGAAAACACCCGACGTTACGAATCGTTATTCCGCTACATCCATCGGCTAAACTTGGACACCGAGTCCGTTTATTTATTTTACCTTACTTTCGACGTTTGGTTTTAATTTTCTTACCCGGAGTGTTGAAGAGTTTCGAATGTTTGCAAGCGTAATTGATCCTCTGTCTGCAAGTGGTGGATCGGTTCAACAACGCTTCTATTTGGTCCAGATCGGCGTCATAGTTAATGTCTTGAACGAAACTGCCAGGCTCCTCAAAACCATCCACGGGAGTGGACAATTCGTTGCTGTGACGAAGTACGGTTAAAACTCTCCCATCGGCGAAGAATTCACAGGACACGGGAAAAGGAGCGAGAGGGCCGCTCCCGTCGACGTCGATGGTCACCTCCGCCCTTTGGTTTACGGAATTGATGTTCTTGTACGCCTCGCAAGACAAGGGATTCAAAGCTGGTGTTCCACGAAAATATTACATTGAACAAAGGAAAAAGTTTCATAAGCTAAGGGTTACTTTTCCTCGTCGCGGAACGGGAGGTATAAAGTTGTTTTACTTACACGTGTGGCAGACGGCTCCCGTGTATCCCGTGTTGGAGCAATCGCAGAAAAACTCATCTGAATTTTGATGACACACTCCGGAATGCTTGCAGGGATTAGGATTGCATCGATCTATCATTTGACAGGCATCGAATACTACCTCGTTCTTGCAACAGTATTCTTCCTCTTTCCAATCCGTTGGCAACTTGTAATTACTGTCGATGCTGATCATTCTCATGCAACCAACGAAGCCTCGATTGTTCGCTTGACCAATAACGCCTCCTCCGATAAAATAAACCGCTCCCGTCGTCATTTCCAGGAGACGTTCGGTCCTCGTTAGTTGACCGTCCACCGTCAACGAAAGACTGTTTTTGGAGATGGTCAATACGACTTGATGCCATTTGCCATCGTTGAACTTTTCGCCAAAATTGTTCAGAATGGCCTTCGGATTGTCCTGAGTTTGGATCTCTACCTTTAAGTTACCCTCTTCAAGAAACAACTGCAACGATTCAATTTGAGTTTGACATACAAATTTGGTGTATACGCTACGAGTCAAAAGACGCATTATAAAATCCATTAAAAAAAAATTTGATTTAATGACATCATTTTCAATAGGGTCCACGGTGTCCATCCAATAGGAAAAAGACATCGAAGTTCCCCGATACACCTCCTACCTTAACATATCCTGGAGAAGTGAATTGATGAAACAGAATCAGCCCTCGGTCTTCGTAACTTCGAAATGACAGCGAGACGTTCATCGACGGAACACCTTCGTAACCCTTAAGCCGAGCGTAAGATCCAGGCGTCAAAAATGTCACGGGAATGATGGGAGGCTCGGGACAACTGTATATCGTGTTGACTTTGTGGTAACGAAGATTTTCGCCCGTGATCTCAATTTCTTTCAAGTCGCGAATTAAGCTCGTTGCATTCAGGTAGAAATTTTCTACGCATCCCGTGAAATTCTGGATCACTACCAGACCTTCCTGCTTATTCGGCACGCCACCGATATAAAGCTGGAAAATTAAGAATACATAATCAGAAAATATCAGAATTAAGTAGAACAAACGAGATGAAGGATGATTACGAAACGCGTTACTGCTTTTTTTCTGAAAATTGTACCATTACCGATTACTTCCTTACACTACACTCTGCAGGATCATACATCTAATTTAGCAGTATTTAATTTATATTTAATCTCCTGTTCAATAAATGACACAGTTTTCACTTACAGCTCTGTTTAGATCTAATCGATGAAATTCCCCTTTGATCCTTCCCTTGATCAAGACTCTGTCGACCGAGAAGGCGATATTTTTTCTATTCCTCGAAATGACGACGTCATGCCACATGTTATCATCCAAAAGACTCCCCACGGATAAACTGGTCATGACTCCTGACCCTAGATCGATGTTTAAAAGCATTCTGTTATCTCGCAATTGTAGAGCCAGGAAGTCTCCTTGCGTCCCACGGGAGTACACGAGTACCCCATCGGCGTGATTGGTCTTGAAGCGAAATCGAATGGAATGTCGATCCGTTTCGATCGGCTCTCGAAGAAGATCCCATCGCACAAGAGACGACCCATTAAATGCAAGGACATCCGACACTGTAATCAACGTGATATAAAGGTTACAAGGCAATCGATTTGGCCAGATTTTCCTTCTTGAAATAACGAACGATTAATACAGAGAATTCCCAAGAGTGGCTGTTCTCACCGTAATCGCATCCGTACAGCTCGATCCTTAGTGATATCCTATCACGCCATCGAGTTGGATTTATTCTGACCCACTGAGCAATGATAGGTACTTCGAACTTGTTTAGCTTGATCGTGTCGCCATTTACGTTGCCTTTGAACATCTGTCGAGCAAGATTTTCAGGTATACTTTACAGTGATTAGGCTCCCTTCGGAGAACGTTAGATCAGCGGTAATAAGATAATAACACAATTATAAGACCGTCCCCTGGTAAATATTACGGTTTAGAATGCAACGTTACAGACTGTCGTATGACAGGAATATAAATATATTTAAAAATGAGAATGAGTTAATCCGCACACTCAATTACGTGCTGGGATGACAGTGCAACCGAAGCGAACAGAATGTTAGTGCCGTGAGATGATTAGAAGACAGGGTAAAGCATATCGAAACATAAGCAAATATAAGGATCGTAATATCTCGTCGCGATAGAAATCCATACCGCATTTGGAACAGCGAAACGTTCCGCATTAAATTCTCCCATACTTTCGGGTCTATACCGGAGCCATCTCCACAATAACCAGCATACATACCCACCAAAGTTCTTTCTATACCAGATGCACAAGTGTTCGTACCGTCGTAAAGATACGCGGGACAACACGGAACTTCCCGTAACAATTGCTTTTAAAACTGGCTCCGAATTTTCCTCGCGTACAACATTATTACTCTTAAACCGAAGGAGCGCGATGCGATTTTCTATCCCGTGTTCCGTTTGCACAATGCACCGTAAGAAAAGTACCTTTGAAATGAAAGTTCTTTTCCGTATTATTTTAGTCGACTTTTCTTTCAACAAGTTTCTTTTTTTTCACGCCAAGCACCGCGGCAACGGGAAAGAAAATCTGAGAAAATCGACAAAACCACGCACGACGACCATTACGTTCGTCCTTTCGGACGAACGCAGTGGTATACCCTTTTTTTCCTCCGACAGGACGCTTCCATACACGATGTGGTGCATCTCGTTCAGTACCTCGTCCGCGCCGTCCTGGCTCTCATAACTGGTCCAGGCTTGCCCGTCATCGGAATACTGGACGATATATTCTGTCACGTATTCGTTAGTATGTGCACGCCCTCGAGTTGCAACGCTGCGTATCTCGTATCGGTCGCCCAGCTCCATAGTGAGGTGTTGATCGTAACTGCTAACCTCCGGTGACCACGCGGAATCCCCTGCAAAGCCCAGCCCCAGATTCCGTGTTTAAGAGAGCGAGGGATAGAGGTAAAGCCGTTCGACGAGAAAGATTTACCGATCGAAGGAAAGTGGGCACATTCGGTAAGTCTTCACTTAAGGGAGGACGTCCGCGACTACTCGGGGAAAGATTTACCTTCGATCTCGCCCTGTAAGCATTAAAATCATCGGCGTCTCGTCAACGTCCACCCTTAGTGACGACCGATTGCCCTTTCCTAACGCCTCGGTTAATCGATGATCCGTGAGTATTAAATTCAATGAATCGCCCCCTATATATGTAGGCATGGTATTTAAATTGCAATCGATCCGTACAAGTAAGAAGTGATCGAAGAGTGCCGCGATGGCAAAAACCGGGCGAAAAGTAAGGATGGAGATCCCTTGCTACTGGAAGTCCTAGAGGTAAGTACCGTGCAGTCGTGCATGTCAACGGTGGAATCGTGCAAGCATGCGTGAATACCTACCTCGGCATCCTTGCGACATTGACTGTCTTTTAATGAAAAATAAGTTTGTTAGTCACGACCATCTACGTTCCGTTAAGGCAAACAAAACACCGTAGGGTGTCTACGTAGCTGCGGATGGACTTAAAGAACGGTGCACGAGATGGATCATCCAGGACATGAGATGTCACGTGGATTGGTCGAAAAGATTCGTTATCAAACCCCTCCAAAGTGCATTATTCCGCGGAAAGACCAGATAGACATTTGCATTTGGTTTCAACCCCGGGTCGCATCGATACGCAAGTACTCGGTCCTTTGCAAGGTTGCAACGCGGCAGCGGGTTTCTAGACGGAGAGAAGACTTACCTTCGCGTTACCCTCCTCTTCCTTAAAGTCCACGTAATCGAGTCCGTTCGTACCGTAGCTGATACCGTACTCCATAACGTACTCGCTGTGATGTGCTCTACCCTGGGTCGCCACGGCGGTGATGTTCATTACTTGCCCCAGGTCGATGATCAGGTACTGGGCAAAGTCTGAGCTGCTAGCCGTCCATGCGTTTCCGCCTATGCCACAATAACACGTACGCATGCATGCAACTCAAACTGAACTTAAACTAAGGGAGCAACCTAAGAGTAAGGTTTTCTAACTGTCGGTTGGTCATTGATGTCCGGTGCACCTCGGCCTCCAAGCGTCAAAGTATATTTCAAAGCGACAAAAGCACAGAAGAAAGATTCGAGAAAGACTCAAAAGCGTCTCTCTGGAAGAAAACGTTCTCTTTCCTTGTACATATTTGGACCGACAAGCAAGTTCATCGAACCCGTCGTTAATTTAATGACCATGCTTCTGTATTTCGCTCCAAGATCCATCGTTCGTCCTACAATCAGATTCCTCGCTAGGAGTTAAAGGAACGAAACCGACCACGGACGAGGTCGACGTTTAGGTTTAACAAGCATCCGCTAAATAGGCTAATGCTATGATGAGATTACAGTTCATTGCGAACACCGGTACGGTCTCTCAGTCTTGGCATCGATCGATAAAGTTTCCATAGCAATAACATTCTTACACGTTTCGTAGAAACAATTACCTACTATTTATAGATAAGACTAATTTGTCTCGATCAAGCTAACGTCTAGCCGGTAGAATAGAAAGAATAATTCTACATCTATTGTCTAGACATAACGTCGTACATTTCACTACGGTGCTTTATATGTAAAAGAAAATTGCTAGATAGTTTAACCATTTTTATAACTTATTTATTTGCCCACTGACTTAACATACAATTCCAATGAATGAATTCGTATTAAATAGTAATAAAAAAAAAATGTAAAAAAAACCATGTAGTTCAACCAGGATTAAGGTTGTTCCCGTTTTATAAAATACATCCTACAGAATTCCAAATCGTTGGAGAAGAGAGGAATACTGTCGGCTATAAGTTCGTTGAAATCAAGTTTTTGGAATAATCTATTACTCGAGGGAGGAGCTACTCCGTTCTCTTGCAGTGCCACGGACACGCAATGTTCGGTATCTAATAGAGTTTCCTCAAAAAGCCAATTCTGTTTAATACCATCTAAATACAATTCTGTATCGATAACTATTCTATCCTGAGTTAACTGTGAATTGGTCTTGAAGTCGATTCTTTTTAGATCGACCGTAATCCCTGTACCAAGAGCTTTGACGAAACTTTCTTTCAAAGACCAATGTCTGCAAAACATGGCTACTTGCTCAATCGGAGGTTTTAATGGAGACCCTTTAATTTCTAACCACTCGGAAACTGAAAAATTTCTATTCATGATTCGGAAAAATTCCGATAAATTCTTTCCACCACTGTACTCCAGCTTCATAACATCTACACCTAATTTTACGTTCCTAACTTCTCCTGCAAGTACGGTGTAAGACCCCTGATGCGAAACATTAAAATTTATTGGAGTCTGTGGATATTTTAATATAGGTTTTGCATTCGGGTCTCTTGTAAATATGATTTCATTGTAAGGGATATCGGTATATTTGTTGACAAATTTTCGCATGAGTAATCTGCCGATTAGCGATGCTCTTGCATCTTTCCGAAATACAAATCTGCCTATTCTTTCCTTTTCCTCTAACTGAAGGCAGGAGATCGCGTGTAAGAGCTCTTTCTCCGTTGGCTGCCAGCTGGCCCAGTTAAAAGCCCAGCGAATACTGGTATGGGACATGATAACTTTATAATTGTTTTATAGTATTGGCATTAAAAACGGTTTCCGTTAGTTTAAAAGAGCATCTATTTGGTGTCGTATTTCATTTAAAAGTGACAATCCAAGAGGCTTGGCCAGTTACTCTTTAGCATCCACCTGAAGCAAATACATAACTACACTTATTTAATGACTCCGTTCGTTTGGATAATTGAAAAAAAAAATGATGAAGCTAACCCTAACAGAAAAAATAAAATGTATCCTACAGTAGTATGGTGAGTCAGTGGGTAAACCATTTTTCAGTTGACTAATTAAACACAAGCGTGTCGGTATAAAACTAAAGTACTCGATCCTAGCTACAATTCTAATACGAGATTCGTCGATTCCAAACGTACAAGCAAAGCTTGGTTACTGCGCTAATAGACTAGACAGCTAGAAGGTGCACCAAGATTTTCCCAAATTTTACAACAGATAGCAAGCAAGAGACTCGGGGAGGTAACTCGCGACGTTCACGACCCCCATCGGCAACATCTGTATACCATTTCTCCTGAGATTCTTTGAAGGAACGTGTAGAGAATACAACGAATAACTTTAAAGACCTTACCATTAAGTCTAGCATTTTCTGGCCCTCTTTCTGGCAACGACGTCGTGGCTTTTAGCTCGGCTTTATCCAATAACGGCAAGTTGCATTCATAATCATCTGAAAGAACAAATTCATTCGATGCGTTATGATTTTCTGAAGTCATTTTTGTAGAATGTGCTTCATCCTCAGCTATTCGGATATCGAAAACTCAATCCCGTCTCAAAATGACCTCTGGATCATTTAATTTACTTTATGACAAATCCTCTAAATATCACCCTTGGTATTGCAGTGACATCATACCATAATTAGTAATAGAGGCGTTAGAACGTATTCTCTTAAAGCAGATGTATCTATAGCAAGAAACACGTAGGAACGATAACATAGGTTTGGCGACATGGCTTAAAGCATACTCCTGCCTCGGCTGAAAAAACCTCCGATGCGACAAGATGCCGCGATAAGAGGAAAATAGCTGTCAATAGGGGAAAAAGGTTATTCATAAGGTTGTCACAAGCAGCCACGCCATGTTGATCGGGTGGGCTTGGTCGCAGGAGTCATGCCTTGGTTATGTTAGACCTGGAATTTAATCAGCCGAGTAACCAGGTTATCTACTCACAAGCTTTGGCGATGGGTGAGACGATCACCGCGAGTAAAAATGCTAAACACTCGCGGGCCTTCATCGTAACATTGCCCTGAGAAGTTTCGGTTACACCCACTCCGATACGACGCTAGAACTCTCGCTCCTCTTACGTACGAACGGCTAACGAACCGTGATTCTGACGGTACCCAACAACTTAACCCCTGAAAACCGACCAACCACAGGGACTAACGATGACACACGACGCGCCGCGCGGCCCGCGCCGCCAGCGGCCGCGACGGACACCGCGGTCGTTCGATCGGTCGACCTTTCGATACAATCGAGACAGGAAAGAGGATTCACGGTCTCTGGTTAGTTGTTGGATGGTGCTGCCATCACTGTAGCCGATGCATCCGAAGGCACGACGAGCCGCTAAACGGCACGCGGGTAATTTACTCGTACGGATGCAAGCACCACAGCGAGAGAGCGAGTCGCTTCGATTTTTTTCGAGGGAGAAACAACGACGAGGCGAATAAAAAAGATCGAAGAGTCCGCAAAGACGGTTTCGATGGATCTTCGACCGCCGAGTTCCCGTTGAATTTTTTTCGCATTTGCGCCCATGTCGATCTCAGCGGAGGCTGGTAGACCAAAAATCCGCTTTGATCCTCTGTATCTCCGCAAAAAAAAATCGCAGCGACTCGCGCGAGGGCTCAATTTGAACGTAAGAACTCTGTCCGTATGGCCGAAGAGACGGCAAGGGCGGAAAAAATTCAGTGGAGGCTGGGCAGTCAACGATTTATTGAAATCGTCCTCGCGGACGGCTCGATCGTCCGTGCCCACTTTGTCGTCGTATCTCGGTCGGAAAAAAATCGGCGGCTCATTTTAAAAGCCTTCTGGCGCTTTATCGCTTAATAATACAATCCAGAGTCGATCTCGAAGAGATTCCACCCCTCCTCCGAATACCGTTTCCGAAAACGTAGCCGAAACGCGTGAAGACACGAGGAGGGATCGAGAAAGGTCTTTCCGACCGGCGTCGAGACGCGCGATCCCTCCACTTGTTGAATATATCGCCACCTCCATTAAGATCGGAGAAGACCTTCGGGAGTAAAAGTCGAGAGTCCGTCGTGGAAAGGCACAGACGGCATCATGCGCTCGGTGAGTATTCCACTACTCATCGTTCGTTCACCTTTGCTCACGTTCATTGGAGTCGATTCACCGTGGTGGATTCGGTTGGTGTCAAGTGACAGTGCGCGAATCTCTCCGCGAGCGGGACGTCGAAGTCGAACGTTTGGTGTTCGCGATTCTAGCTCGGAAATAAAAAACGAGTCCGTCGAGGTCCGATACCAATACGCGCGATTTTCGCAGCGGGGGATCCGTCGACTGCCGCGAAAATGGAAATCGATATAACCAACCGGAATAAATCGAACCTTCCGCGGTGTCGCGATTTCCAATCGACGATCCGGACGACCTCGCGAGAGATTCGCGGAGTTTCTAGTCGCGAGGAGGAGACGTCCGGAGCTTTCTTCTTCTCGTCCCCGGAGAAACGGCGAATCCTTAAGGAGGCACGGGTCCCGCGACAAAAAGCTTTTCTTCCTCTTCGAGACTCGATCGCGCGGGTCCCAACGAGTGGCCCAGCGTTTTGAAAGATAGCGCCAGAAATTATTTCGAGAAGCGCGAAGTCGCATAAACTCGAACCAAGACGGGATATCCTCCGGGCGCGATTCTTCGTCCCGTAATCGCGGTGATTGGGGACGCGCGATGAACCCGCGACGTAATGGGTTCGGAGGAAAGCAAGGTCAATTTCTAACGCTTTCCACGTCTCGAACCGAAGGCACGGTTTCACCCCCGCAGCTCCGATCGCCTGGCTCCTCTCGTCGGTCCGGTTGGTAGCTGGAATCTCCGATCCGCATAAATTTGCCATTTCGTCGACCCAGTTACCATGTAGCACGTTTCCTCGATTTCCCGGCAGCGAACGGCTCGCGACGCCCACCGTCGGCATTAACGGGGGATTGAATCGGGATTTAAGATCGCGATCACCGTGGCACGGACGACGCGACGCCTTGACCGCCACGCTTGCCGGGATTCGTTGCGTCGCGTCGAGAGAAAGTAATTATCGCGCCGCCAGGCTTTTCGGGAAGCACGCGGAGACGCCCGAGATAGGCCCGTCAAAAAATACCGAAGGCGGGGACGAGGAGACGGGCGCGTCTCTCGAGGTCCGTGCTCGAGAAGGAATCTCCGGATTTCGAGGCGGGGAAAGCGTGGCACATCCTCGAGTTCTCACGTATCTCTCGAGCGAGCTCCCCGTTATCCGACCCACCTCGGAGGCTCCTCGAAAACGGAGATTGGGATTACGTAAGACGCTTCCGATGGGTATCCGTTGCGGGCGGTTCGACGAAAGAAAGACAGCGCTCGAGGCGTTTCGCCTTCGTTTCCAGGACGGAGGGCATCGTGACCCTTTTTTGCGAGGAAACCAAGTGTGGCGTTTCGCTAAACTCTCCGCGACTCGGTAGGAGCAATTTCACGAGCGGGCACATCCTCGGCATTCCACCGGGTGAAAGTGCAGCGAGCTCTCCGTCGAGCACTTCCCATCCCGAGGTCGGATGCGCTCCTGCGGCGTCACGTCCCACATATAGGCACGGACGCACGAAAATGCGACCGATTCCCACGCCGTGCCTTGCTCTGTCCTCTCTTGTCGGCGAGTCGGATCGAATCATCGTCCTCCGACCGGCGAGCCGCTTGCCGGACGGATCACGAGGAGGTGGAGTTCCAGCGTGCCGGGGTGCCGGTTCCGGCAAAACGCCGGGAGCTCGAGGCCCTTCCAGGTGTCGAGGCGTCGTTACTCTCGCCGAAAGGAAAACCACCGCGTCCGCCGAGTTATCGGTACATCGAACGAACTACTCTTCCGGGCGCGCGCGTATGCGCATTCGGGTCGAATAATTTCTCGGCATTGAACTCTCCTGGGAACAAACGGCGGCGCGAGGGCGCGCGGAAGCAAACACCGAGCCGACGAATTCGCCGTCGATTAAGTCGGTCGACGCGCCGAGACCCGGCACGTGTCCCGGGATACGATTTTCGAAAGTGAAACCCGCTTTCGGCGGGGAAGAGCCGGCACCTGCGGCCAAGAGGACGGAAAATTAATGGGAGATGCCTCGAGAGGACTCGGCGGCCTCCTCTTCCTCGAGTAGTTATTCGGTAGTTTAGAAAGTTTCGAGAAGACGCTCCTTCGTAGCCCGGGGCGGGTCCGCCGATCGGAAGAGACCTCCTCGGAATCGACGTCCCCGGGTTTACGTAACGGACGCGCGCTCCACTATTTTGGAAAACGATCCTCGCCTTCCCCGGCGAGGGTATCGAGAATCTGGCTCTTCGCGAAAGCGGTCGGCCGGGTCCTTCTCCCGAGATCGGCCACGTAAATCGGGGACGTTAATTGGACGTCTCCGTTTCTCTCGCGTTCGAGGTCGGCCGTCGGTCGAGCGAGAAAAAGTCTCGGAATTCGCGGGTCGACGCCGAGAGGGGATTCGTCCGGGGTGTGGCAGCGGTCTCCGCGGTGGCTCTTCGCAATGTAAATGTCAAGAGATAGTTTTCTCCCGGGCTATCGAGAGTCGGGGGGTACATTGGGAGAAACGACCGCTCGCGCGTGGGAAGACGTCTCGTGTCTTGTCACGCTGACCGAATAGTTACCGCAACTCGATTGTCGGCGGCGTGTCGGCAAGCGCAAAAGCTTCGACCTGCCGTAGAAAGTCGAGGCGGAGAGATCGATGGCCGTCTCCGAAAGTGATCTTTGGGCAGAAGTCGACGCCCTTCGACCCCACGAAACGGTTCGGCTCCCTTCCGGATTCGTTGCCCTTTCCTTGGCGGGAGAAAAAGAGAATCTTAGAGGACGTTTGAATTTCTCGCGTCCCGGGCTCGGTCGGCAACGCGATGACGGACGCGCCAATTACCCGCGCATCGCCTAAACGAGCCTTCCTAATTAATTAGTCGCGCTAACGGCTCGTTGCGTGAATCCGCATAATGGAAAAGGTTAAGTAGCCGCTCGCTGTCATCGTTAGCCACTTTCTTTCCGGAGAATCGAGGCTCACCTCGGCCTTCGCTCGATCGACCGCGCCGATCGTGTCGAGGCGCTCGATCCGCTGGCCGCGAATTGTCGAAATGGAAAATTAATACGCTTCTCGCCGCAAGGGCGAGACTCGGACGAATCCGCGTACGCCCGAGCCCGCGGGGCTCGTCGTCGGCGCTTACGCAAACGCGCGTCCGCGTAACCAAGGTGCGTCCGTCGTTTACGAGGAGAAAAGCGAGATTCGCCGAGAGAAGGCGCGGCGTCGCGTATCGATCGGGTCTTCTTACATTTTCGTCGTTCATTAAACTTTCGTTTCGATCAAAATTTGAGAAACGACGGCACTTGGAGCGCCGACCGAAATCTTGACCTTTTCTCCTGACTTTTTAGGAAACCGCGGTGGTCGTGTTCGCGATGCTCCTCGCCGCGACGGCGGCGGAGTCCCAGGACGCCTCGTCGGCGCTCCCGGCGGATGCGGGACCCGCCAAGCTGGACAAGAATCTGCGACGAGCCCTTCTGAAGGCTCTGGCTGACCTCGAGGCGGAGTCCGCCGAGCAGAAACGCAACGTCGAGAGCGAGGAAACGGTCGACGTCTTTCCGGACGCGACGACGCGCGAAACGATCACGACTCTCTCGGAGACGTCCGAGACGCGTCCGTCCGAAAACGCGGGCAACGTTCCGAAGAAGACGACGTTCTCGACGTTCTCGTTCGACGGGTTCCCCGGGGACGAGGAGATCCCGAGCGAGGACAAGTTGCAGAACTCGACGTACGTCCAACTTATCGAGGATGTCTCGTCCGGTCTTCTGGGAAGAGTGAACGTCATCGACCAGGATTCGAGATCCGGGCGGACCCGTGAAGAGACGAATCCCGACGAGGTCAGGGTCCCTCAACCCGAGAAGGCGGACCGGGTCGAGGCGGAGAACTCAAAGGGACCCGCCGCCGATAAAGCGGGAATCGAGGCTGCGGAGACTCTTGTGAAAAGTGCCAGCAGCAACGCGATCGTCTCGGCCGATTCCTTGGCGGCTCCCAAACCGACCGCCTCGAGCCTTCCAGCCGACCCGGACGTGGACGCCTCGGCGGTCTCCGGGGCCAAAGGGGGCCAGGAGGTGAAGATCTTCCAGGCGCCTCTGGTAGCGGCCTTCACGGTCCAGCAGGACGAGCGCGGGATCCCAAAAAGCGTGGTACCCATCTATCGGCAGACCGGGGACGGCCAGGCGCTGACGCTGCAGGAGCAACTGGAGTTCAAGCAGCGTTTGCTGGAAAAACAGCTGAATGAGTTGCAGCGTCAGCAGCTGGAACAGACGAGGTTCCTCGTCGACCAGCAACGGCTCTACGAGGAGCAGGTCCGGAGGAAGCAGCAGCAGCGGCTATATCTGGAGGAACAGGCGAGGCTGAAGCAGCTGGAGGAGCGAAGAACGTTCCAGCAGAAGCAGCAACAGTCGAAGCAGTATTCGCAACAGCAGTTTGGATTCGATCGGACCGGGGCCCTGACGCAGTTTCCGTCGACTTTCGAGTCGGCCAACGTCCACGTCCAGCCGAGTCTGGCCCTGCAAGTTCCCGACTCCGCGGTCCCGGCTCAATTCCGGTTCGACTATCGGGATCAACTGCGCCAGCAGCAACTCCAAAGGCAGCAGCTCCTGCAGCGACAGCAGCAGCAACAGCAACAGCAGCAGCAACAGCAGCAGCAACAGCATCAACAGCAGCAGCTGCACCATCAGCGACATGGATTGCAGCAGAGCTTCGCGCCCTTTCCCGCGGACTTCCAGCTTTCAGGGGCCTCACCCTCCAGGTTCAATCGGCAGGAAGCCTTTGGGACGGTCGGGAATTTCGGATTCAACGACAACCTCGACGAGTACTCCTCGAAGAATCGCTTCCACGGCGGAATCGACCCTCGGCCGGAGAACCAGCAGGGTTTCTCTTACCAGCAATTTTCGCGGTTCGGCCAGACCAGGCCGGCGACGCCTTCGCAAACCCCGGCCAAGCAAATACAGCAACTTCTCTTTCAGTCCGGTATCGCCAACGATTTGGGCCGCGTGCACGGCTCCGGAGGACACGAGGACCTCAACATCCTTTCCAAGGTCCTCGCCTTGAACGTCGGGGCGATTTCTGACAACGGCATATCCTCGGCTCAGCGGAACAACCTCCCGAAGAGTCCTGGAAGCGCGTGAACGTCCCCGAAACTTAGGTATCGCGTACACGAGATCTCGGTTGCATCTTGAACGCATATCGGTTCGCGAGTGCACGTCGGTTCGATACGAAATCGACCATTGATAGCGGCGTTAGTTTTGCGCCTTCTTACGTCGTGGGATGAACGACCAACGTCACCGTGGGAGATGGAACGAAAGCGGGAAAACACGGGCGCTCGCCGAGAATCGATTCCTCGCCTCCGGGCTGCTCCCAACGCGCGGAGTGTCGACGCTAACGAGGACTATTCGGCGACGAGTGTAATTATATTAATTATAGACGCGAATCACTCGATTAACGGACCTGCATTTCCTCTCTCGGAGCAGGTACCGCTCTCAGGTGCGTAACGTAACCGTTAACGCGTTAGGTAATCGCCACCTTGAGTCGAAACACCGATTCCGTATTTATTGCACGCAGACTCCTCCTTTGTTTTCCATTCTTGCTTGGGTATGAGAGAAAAATGTAGCGCGTATCGTTTCGGTGAGACGCGGGGGATAGCATTAAAAACAGAACCTCTCGTCATTTTTGTTTTTAATTTCTGCAGGGTGGCAAAATTATAATCGCGACTGTTCCACCTTATTCTTAACGGGATAAAATTCCGTTTGGTGGAACGCTCCTGTAAATCGTCTAAATATCTGGAAAGAATGAGGCAGACGCACCTTACCGAGTTATATAGCGAGTCTCGTTAATGCAGCCTGACTTCCGCTTTCCTTCTCAAGGGAAAGTAGCTTGAATTCGCAGTTTAGTGCGTACAAACAAAACGTAACCAATGAACTTTCGATTGCGCAGTTCTTGAATTAAAAGCTCGTTGTCGTCTAGTCTTCTGGGAATAAAAATTTCTTCTTCTTTTTTTTTTTTTTTTTTTCAGTGGAAGGTAAAATCCACGAAAACGTTGAGACCCCCGGGCACCTTCCGTGCATCGTTAGATCTTTCGTTTTGACTGAAAATAAAAATTAAAAGTATCTAGAGTAAGTGTCGGATTTTCAAGACCTCGATGAGAATGGTCAGAGGTCGGAGAATCTGCGACATCGTGCACCGACTCTTTCCAAATTGAAACGCGTTTGACGGTAAACAAACTTTCCCCGGCAATTCCGCACAATGCATATCCGTAGCCGCGCGTTGCGCAGGGCACGGTCGAGACTTCGCCGCGTCCTCAATTTCACAAACGTTTGGCATAGATTCCAGATTTCTCCGGCTGAGAATCGATGACATCGACGAACACCGTCGAGGCCCTGGTGCATCCGCCTTCCGATCATTTTATCGTAAAATACGTCAAAATATAATCACGCGGTATTCCCACGGTTGACGGCGCGTTAGAACGAGGATTTGAAGGAGAACTAAAGATCCGGTGAAAGTTAATCGTAGAATCGTCTGGAACTTAAGAAGTATGTTTAATCAAATCTCCGAAACTAATTGACTTTTAATCCGAAGACTATATTTCCTTAAGCAAGCATGATTAATTGATTAACTAATTAATTCGTAATCATCGGTAGTACGTGCAATAAGTGACGGTGCACATAAGTCGGATCGAATTAAGAATGACTAACGATTAGACTTAAATTACGTACGTACAATTATTTGTAAGGACCTAGAGTAGACTAGTAGGTATGTACAATCGCATCGATCGACGATGCGGACCAGTAGAGCCTAGAATCTTGCTTATAATTTATCTGGCGGCTGATATAATTATATACGAATTTATGGACGAAGTAACCCGAGAATAAATGTATAAAATTAAAATTAGCCCAATTTGAAATTCAGGCAAAGAGAAGACGGGAGTGACCACCGCTCAGGGAGCGGTGCTATGGAATTTCTTACGACACGAGTGTCATTCTTTTGTGGATGTGGAGGTACCCGATTTATCGTTTCTATACCGGGCCGAAGGACGAGGCGCCATCTGCCACTTATGCTACGTACTCGGTGCATAAAAATGTAGCGCCATCTCTGAATTGTGGTAATAAGCATTAAAGCGGTGGAAGTCGATATATCGAAACGAATCGACTGCCGCCATGACGGTTGTAGGTTTTCGTCACATCAGGCAACATGACGGAGAAAATAGGTTCGTTGGAAGAAGAAGCGTTAAAGAGAAAAGAAAGATTACAGGCGTTGAAAAGAAAAAATGAAGAGAGCAAGGAAAACAAAAATGAAGAATCTCCTAATTTACCGAAGTAAGTTATTTATTCGGCGCCTTTTTTAAGTAAAGTAACATTGTTATTGAACATAACCTCGTCTAACCTATAAATTACTTTTGATCTCACGTTGTTTTCTCTCTTTTTAGACCGAAATTTCGGAGCTATAGACCACAAGACGATGGGCTTAAAGACAGAGTTATCGAGGATGCAAAAGTTGGAAACGTCGAAGCGGAAGTTCAAGATCAACTGAGCGCAGCAAATTCAAAAGTTGTCATAGAAGAATTGGTACGTTTTGAACTCGTTTGCATTGGTTGAGCCATGGTTGTTGGGTACGCTACAGTTTTATTAGATTATGTTTTACATCAGGATATCAGCAATTTGGCTCCACGTAAACCTGATTGGGACTTGAAGCGAGATGTTGCAAAGAAATTGGAAAAGTTAGAAAGGCGAACACAGAAAGCTATTGCGGAGTTAATCAGAACGCGTTTGAAACAAGGACAATACGACCTTGCATCGATTGTCACCATGGCTTCAGAAGACAAACCAAAATCCCCATCCTGAAACTAATTCTTTTTTTGTCATGGAATACGTTTTCAAAGTAAGTAGACTTTTTCGAGACAATATCTGAACACAAAGCATGTAATAGTAATGACAGACCATTGTAAATAAGTACTGGTATAAAATTAATATTATGTTATATTGAAATGGGCAAAACTCATTTATGGTAATTACTTGCAATAACTGAATAATACATTGAAATTATAGAATTTTAATTAATTATTTAATTTATTGATGCAAGATCTGCAAGTCAAATATGAGATGCTAAGCAATTTCTGTCAGGTTACACTTTTTACAGGCTAAATTTACATAAACTGGGGGCCAGTAAATCTTTATTAATTGCAAACTAATTATGAATGCTTGTAAAATTTTTAACGGATGCCTAATCCACTTAACTCCAATTGTACCTTTTTTCACACCAGTCTGCATATGTTAAAGTATTATAAATAAAATGGATGACAGATAACGGAGGGAATGTAGCAGAGCATGACATCTGTTTATTTTATAAAGACAAATAATATTAATACAAAATAGCATTCGTACATGAGCTTTAGAAAGCTTATCATTTACACAGTCCAACTGCAATTAACGATATCTATCTACTATCGATACCTTGTGTCTCGGGACTTTTCAGGTACATTAATGATCATCAAACAATAAGTGTCCATACAGCAATCGCAAAATTGATAAGCAGTTGGCTAGATGCTAACAAGCAACTTGGCGAAAACGATTTCTCTAGTCATCGGAGAAACTTTACAAAAGAGAGACTAGATTTCAAATGCAGCTACCGTAAGCTAATAAGAAATGCTATCGAGATAGTAAAAAATGAGGCTTTAATTTTAAATTGACCAGAATGTCCGTACTCGGGAGTAATCTCATGAGGTAGATGATTGCTTGGTACTTCGTCTACATGACTTTCATCTTCTTCCTTGTAAAGATGAGGAATATTGTGAAAAACGAGCCTGTCCGCTAGTGGCTGAACAGGTCGAAAATTATGTGTCAGCCTGTGACCCTCGGAGGTGCGTACGTTCCGAAAAGCCGCAATCTGCAAATAAAAACGTACTCGGGTATAACAAACTGAAGCACTCTGAAAATATATTTTCGACACACAAAGTAGTATGGACGTCAATAGTCGTAGCATTCTGAGATCTCGGTTTATCGAGTTCTTACGGAGCGACAGGATGCATTTCTTTAATCGGGTCTTCCAACGAACCTGCAAGTGAGATAGAGGTAGTGGGTCCTTGAAGTCAATCCACGTGACAACTTCCGAGCAAGGTGGAGTCGTTAGAGATCCATCGTAAGTGAAGTAATTGTGTAGATCCGCGACCTTAGGTACCAAAAGATCTTCCAATATCAACGGTTGCTTGAGTTTACCCATGGCACCGACCGTCTCCACGCTTGGCAAGGCTTTCACGATCCCCTCGTAAGTTGGATTCGACTCATCGAGTGCCTAAGAGACACAAAAATCTGAATTCCCAGTGGAAAAAAAAATATTCAAGGATATTCGCAAATGCGAATCACGAGATACTTGGCACGATTCCACGCGTAATCTTACCTCGAAGAAGTAGGCAAGGACCACGAGTCCGTCGGGGTGATTAACGGCTTCCTCCATGTTGCCATAATCCAACCGGAAAAAGACAACGTGGAGCTCCATGGCGAACGAATGATTGTTTATGAGGTCTTCGGATCCTTCCCAGTCATTCTTCCCCCAGTGGAAGTGCAGCTGCTCGAAAACGTAACTCCTGTTGCCCAGGGGTCCTCCCGATATCTGAGCGTACTCGGAATGATTCAGCTTCAGCATAACTGGTCCAAAATTATATTCATCATTTGCAGTTCCAATAGTGTCCCATTATAGGTTGAAAGATTTATTTTTCGCAATTTTTGTAACATTTTTCTACGTGAAAATTGTGGATTGCGGACCCGGGTCTCGCGGAGGAGAACGCGTCAAAGTCACTGCGTTTTCGTAAGATCATAACGTGCGACTGCGTGACATTTTAATTACAAATAAATTATTTATAAAAATCACTTACGTAATGCCTTATTACGGAGTTATCGAGGATCGGAGAGAACGCGATAAAGAGCAAGGCAGGTTTCTATTTGAAACGTAATATCCGGTGTCACGTTCGCTAAATATTGGAACGTCGACGTCCTTCTCTAATATCTAGTTGACATTCTCTTCTTTGACACGAAACCTCGCAAGGTTCATGTCGAGTAAAAAATTTAAGTAAATTCCACGATCCAATTCGACTCTACGAAACTTTGGTTAACTCGTTTCTAATCGACCCTACCCAAGATAAGAATTATTTTCAATGTCGTACGTTAAATCTTTGCCGCGAATGGCGAACGGATAGTCGCGCGTCCCAACTAAGATCTGGGTAATTGAAGGTGAAATTGAAACGATTATTCTCCCTTGTAGGTGTACACGCGCTCTTACCCGTGTGACCGTTGTTCACGATGAACGCGGAACGAGGAACGTCGAGACCGTAAAAGCTCAGAGGAGGTAACGAGACGTTCCTCACATGGTGCTCTTCTATGTTAATTGGAGACTGATGTTTTCCCACGCAGCTGTCGTATTCTTGTCCCCAGTGCGACGGACCTATTCGACGAAGTAGTACCATCATTAAATGCAGCACTTTCGCGAGCCGCCAATGTGTTCGTTACACGCGTTGCACCTAATCGGAGAGAAATCTTGGACATTCGTGCAATTCCCGTTGCCACCCGTTGAATAAATTTCAAGCGTTTGTCCGTGCGCGAGGTTCGCATTAAAATATCTAAAGAATCATGTTCGGAGGACGGTCCGAGCACGTTGAGCAATCGGGGAGAAAGAGCAACCTCGAGATTTTTACCGTGGGGTCCTTCGTAGCCAAAGTCCTCGGCCCGGGCGGTGATTCCTGAAAGAGGCGAAAAGAAATCGGTTAAGTCATTCGACAAAGAAACGCGACCGCGCGGATTTCCATTATTTCCGAAGGCGCGGTTCGGCCGATTCGGGACGGCCGATGTGCAATCGCTTTCGCCTAAGCCGCGATTTAAGGGCTTCCCAAAGATCCGGAGGAACATATTGAAGAGCAAAAGGCGTTTGCCGGTGCAACGACCCGAACCGGAAGTCGAGGTTAACGAGCGATCCAAGGTGTCGCGACGTTTGCAAATACGACCGGACGATCCCGCGGATCGAACGAGACTCTCTTCCGACAGGAACGAAGATCGAAACGTTTCGTCGTAGAAGCGAGTTCGCTGGATCGACGACGACCGCAGCGCGGGTCAACGGACCGAAGGGTACAACGTTTGCGGAATTGCGCGACATCGAAGGTCGGAAGGCGTAAAAAGCGAATTCTCCAAGTCCATATCCGCGATCGGAGCGCGATTCGTTCCGAATTTCCAGGACAAGGAGACGTTTGCCGGAAGTAGGGATCGATCGACGATTCGAGGGCGATTTTCCCGGACCCTTCGAGAATCGCCGGAAAGGGAGGCGCGTCTACCCCGCGTGCGGAGAAAATGACTTTCCTGGCGGTGCCATCGAAGGTCTTCGAGCCTCGAGAGAAAGTCCTAAGTGAGTTCGCTTAGATTCGTCGTCGGATCGCGCACGTGCATCCGCGCGGTCGCGCATTTTATTTTATCTTTTAACGATTGATATTAAAAATTAAATACTCGGGTATTCAATGGTAGGCAATTTCAAACTAACTTAACGCTCGGAGAGTTTCTCCGTATTTCGGTTAGTCGGGTGAAATAATGATAACTTTCGCTGCGAGGAGATTATTTTTCGTGGATTTTTCCACTTAGCTTCTCGAGACCGTTCTTAAGCGGTTTCGTAAATATTAAGGCGAGATGCAAAATGTCGGCGCGTTTCGAGACGAGCGCGTGCGCTTCGAAATACGAGGGCGTAAACTCGCTTTATGACGATCACGCGCGCTATCGATGTCCTTTAATCGATCGCGCACCGATCGGCACATGACACTCAACCCTCGTGACTTTTAATCACTCGGATGGAATCTTTCTTCGCGCGGAGCACGTGGTGTATTTGCAGACATATGCTAAATGGCCACGATAACGGATTCGGTAGTTCTAATCGTCCAAGACGCCATTGTTACGTTTCTCCCAACTCGCTCTCTGCAGGCCTATTCTGAATTATTCGAAACTCGTAACGTTAGCCCATTGGGATGACACGGGCTAACGTTAACGATATCCGTCGTTACGAGTTACGGAATGGGCCCTCTAGTGAAATTAACGATTCAGGGCCGTCGATCCTGGAAAATCCGTTTAATTCCAGGAAGAGGGTGTCATTGACTCGGAACGAGCAACGGGGCCGATAAAACTGAATTTAACCATGGCGGGGTTGTCGGTTTATTATATACGTTATTGCATTCCATGTCCAAGACATTTGAGTAACGGATCGAGTCGAGGCAGGAACGATCCGATTTATTGTTTAATCACCGGATAGCCACATCTGTCATAACTAGGGAAATTATGAAGAAGATAACGTTCAATTAACCACCGACAATGGAAACGGCTAATTATTCTCAAATTAAGTCGTACATAATCCTTAATGTCCATCTTAGGAAAAGGACGGTATGTCATCGACATAAAGAATCGAACGAGGGACCGAGGTTGTCAGGGAGTCGAACGTTCGTCGCTGCGATAAAGCCGATATCGTCCGTGTGAAATCCCGGTCTCACGATAGTTATCGCGATAATCGGTCAAATCGTCGTAAATCATCGAGCGAGCATCCTCGATACGAGCAACGACGAATTCGCCATTGCCGGATCCGCGGAATCAAAAGTGCTCGACTCGCTTACTTGGTGTTTCGAGTGCTCGAGTCGGCACTTGAAAGACGGCGCTTTATATCAAAGGTAGATAGGTACTCGAAGAGCGGCATCCTTTCAACCACCGAGAGACGAACGTAGTTCCCCGTTATGCAACGACATGCGAACTAGATGAAGTATGTTGGACACAGAATTCGCGTGTACGTGCATAACTTTTCAGGATATGCAATTTCCCGATAATAGAATTATACGTACACGTGGAACGTTGCGGCTCGTCGGAATCCGTCGAAAATCGCGCGCTCCTAAAATCCACGACGGAATCCGAAAGGCAACGACTTCGTCCCGATAAATGCGGCACACTTGGGAATAAAAATTTTCTCGATGACTCCAATTGACGGATTTCCGCGCGTTCGTCTCGATGACGACCTACCGACCGTCCGCAGGCGAGTCAGATATTTTTTCGCTTATCGTGGCGGTTTCGTCAAACGGAGGGTCGGAGAATTAACGATAAAGATATTAGTCACCGTTTTCCGTTTCTTAAACGATTAGACCGGTTCACGATACAAAAGATTAACTCGAAACTGCAAACGAACTGGTCATTCGGTACTCCGGAAGGTACGGCAACCGCTCGAGCAAGTAAGGATTTAAATGGAACGTCCAAAGTAGAGTTTCGCCAATGACGAAAGGAGGAGCCTTTTCTTTCCAACGATAAGCCGTAACCAAGAAACGAGCGAGAAAGCGGTCCGCACCGAAGACACAGATATGCGCCGCTCGTGCGATATGGAGTACCGGCCGCGGATCACGGAAATAAACACGGGCATTGATAATTAATCGATTCGTAAACCGAGCAAGACATGACACAAAAGTACCTCAACTTTGCGCGTCCGTGCTCGAATTGCCAGGTAAAGGAAGATATCGCGCTACGAAGCGACTTACGATTAGGAAAAATATCGACTCGTCGATCCAACGTCTGCGGACGTCTACTTTAGACGTTATGGTGGACCCTACGTGCCCAGTGATCGTCGTTGCACTACCTCCCGCGATTCTCGCCGTATACGTCGGTGTCGTTTAAAATCGAACAAACGAAAAGCGTATGGTAATTCGAACGGGGCGAACGTCCTGCCGATGGGAAGGAAAACGGCCCAGTAACGATACGTACCGGAGAGCAACGAGAGGAGGAGAAGGAAAGGTGGAGTCATGACGCTCCCTAGGTGGTGTGGCCGTGCACTGAGGAACCCGTCGACTGAGAGAGCCGCGCGATGCCGAGGTGCAGCCGAAGAAATGGGAATGCTCTGTTCCGGTCGGTGCTCGACCGGCCACTGCGCGGCCACCTCCTCCGTCGCGCGCTCGACCACGGACGGCTCCTCTTCCGATCGGCGCCGATCCTAGATTTATTACGCCCGAATTTATTCTCCCCTCATCCTCTCGCTTCCACGGCGGCTCGACGTTTGGCCGTTTAAAAATTGGCCGGTCCACTCGGGATTCGCGAGAGTCCGCTCCTAAAGGGTCGGCCAGGATATTTGACTGGAAACTCGATGACGATATCGTATGGAATTTCGTCCTGGAAGGCTGAGGCCGCATTCGTAGGAAGCGGCTCCGACCTTGGCACTAATGGTCCCCGGAGAGACCGAAACTATAAAGAACCTTCGCGGATTTCTCCAAAGAGCCGCATTTTTGGAGAAACCTCGTTTCGTGGAGGAGAGCGACTCGAGAGACCGGGAAGAGTCGAGGGTCGAGAGGATTTCGAGAATTTTGCCGATTTCGAGGGTTTTCATGGACGTCCGGGGTAGTGGGCGTTACTTCGAGGATCGCCTTGGCCGGTAAGCTCACAAAGGTCTACGTAGAGCAATAAATGCCGACGGGAGGCAGAAGCATCGCGACGTAAATTAATATTAATTTTGTGGTAGACCTTGCGTCGCGATACCAACTTTGCTATTCTTTTTCATTAATCATTACGAGATAAGTAATACCGAACGATATGCCCGGAGAAAGTCGTGTCTTCTACAACGCCGAAGGTCTTAGTTTCGATAATTTACTTTAATCACTTCGGGGAAAAGTTATTTAAGTCTTAGGAAATATTGCAAACGCGTGAAACGCAGGAGGAATAACGAGTTTCTACTTGTCGTCAACATCGATAAATTTGATAATACGTCGCCTCGCGCGTATACGTACATCGTGGGAACGTAGAATTGACCATTTTCGCAATTCGGAGTCTTTTAGCGCGACCCCTCTTATCGTCGAAGTGCGCGTGGTTCTTTTAATCGCCTTGCCACTATCGTCCTATCGCTCGGTCCCGAGTGTCGACGGGACGCAATGTAAAGTAACGAAAAAAAAGGAATTTAATCTCCCTGATCCCCGGGCGAGCGATAATCGAAACGTTGAGAATATTTTCGCTTTCCTATTCCGGTTGGAAAAAGAAATTAAGTCTTGGGAAAGAGGGTCGAGACGTCGGATAGAAGACGCGTATAAATGAAATCGGGGAAAAGTGTGCACATCCCGAGGCGGCGCAAGGACGAAGATGGCTTGGCAATTTTGGCTTGGACTACAACGCGCAAGTTGTAAGATGGCATAAAAAACAGAGAACGTAAACGTTTCTAAGATATTTAGCGCGCTGGCGAGATGTGAAGAATCTGCAAATGGACGAGTCTAGCATTTAATAGATTTCTATCCGAACTCGCGTGTCATAAGTCGGCTGCAAATCGTAGAAATGTTTACGAGCTTCATTTTACGGTGCGGGTAAAAAATGACGCTCATCGACGGTAATAGGTGAGACGGGGTGTAATTGCGATGCTACGTCTGCCGTGGTGCTCGTACGTCGAATTTGCCACTCTTCCGTCTTCCGCTCGTCGGCTCGTCTCTTGGCTCTCGCTTGTCCTTGTTCAAGGATCGGTTATTTAAAAAATGGCATCGCACGTTTGTTTCGGGCAAATAATTGCGGCAATGCCGCGAGTCGCCTACAGCGATAATCGGGATGGTAAAAAAAAAAAAATCACGGGACGAGGTAAAGCTGGGAAATCCAGAGGACAAAAATGACTCGACTCTTGAGATTGTCCAGTTTTCATTTTCCGGACGATGGCTACGGAGAGAAGCAAATTAGGTTCGCATCGTTTATCCTAATCCTATTAACGTTCAAATAAATGCGCACCGAGGGCGAAAAATGCATCTCGATGAATCCGATCCGAGGAATTACTTCCTTGTCCCGTCATTTCGATGACCCATCTTGTCCATCTCGTCGGGGCAAGGGGAAGTACGGTGGAACGATAATTGTTATTCAACGATTACGAGGATGACCCATTCCGCTTTACATTCTTTGCGGACAATTGTCTTAATAATCAGAGGGCGCACGGCACCTGTCGCGCGTATCTCCTTGGCTCGGTCGTGGTTCAAGGAAAATTTATTATTGCGCGCATTAACGCGTTGGATGTGTTCTACGATTGAAGAATTTTTTAGAGATTTGAATCCTGAGACGGATAGAAAAAACGTCCACTGACGCACTTATGCGAGTTCATTGCCGACCTACGAGAACAGCATTTAAACGCAATTACACCAATTTAGTGACTAATCGCATGAAAACTTTTCCGATTCGAAGAAAAATAACGAGGATTCCTGAAACGTACACTTGGGAGAAGGATTCGTTAACGGGAAATAACATAAAAGGTCGAAACCCGATCGAAAGCTCTGCGAAGCTTTGCGGTCAATCGTCGAGTCTACGAACCTTCGACGGCTGCTCAAAAAATGCAACGCGATGCCGGTTCTTTCCGACGTTCCTTAAATGCGATAATCTAATCGCGACATCGGCTTTTACGCGGCTCGTTCTTCGTCGCGATCGGCGATCGGCGATACGTTACAATCTTTACCGACATTTCGAAAGTACGCAAACCGATTTCCCCGTTCTTCTCCCACCCCCTAGTGGTTGGTTTCCGGGCTCCGCAGATGTCGCTACCGCTCGACCGTACGTACCATATCTCCAACGGCTCCTTTTAAAAAGCGATCTCTCCCCTCCGATGATTCCTCGATCTACGAGCACCGGTGTCATCGCACCCTCTCGCTAGAGTCTCCGGCTCGCGAGGGACCGACTCGGTCTCGGAGGCGCGTCGATTGGTCCGCCGCCGAGTGTCATGGCGCCGGCCAATCGGAGCTCTCGTTCGTCCACACGGTCACGAGGAGGACGCCACTCGGAAGTGCGGCCGTTAGTAAGAAGAGCGACCGCGAGCCGTTCTCGCGTGCATTCGCGTCGACTCAAATCGGTTCGTTCCAGCCCGCTCGCAGCTGGCGCTGTTCGGGGGATCGCGTCGCGAGTTCCCGGCGGAAGAGCCTGCCCTGTCGAGGAACCGAGGCGATAGCGCGGGCTTTTTTCCGGGTGCGGTGGTGGTTTACGCGTCGTCGCTGCGGTGCACCAATCGCGGGCAAGCGCAAGCGAGCGCGAGTAAGCGCCATTCGCCGAAGACGTGAGAGGAGCGAGGGACGGAGAAGCCGCCAGAGGGCGCACGTTGGCTACGAGACGAGCGACGGTGGCGGGGAGATCGAGAATCGAGAGAGCGCGCGAGAGAAAGAGAGAGAGAGGGAGGAGGGAGAGAAGAGACACCAGGCGAGGACTCTCCGTCAAAATGTCGCTAAAAACGCCAACGCGGATGCAGTGATCGCGGAGTGACCGTTTCTCGAGCGATCGGGGTACGTCCTCGACCGACCTCGCTGGCATCCCTTCGACTCGGTCCTAACCTCCCGGCGTCCGAGCTCCCTTCCGAGGCGAGACGCGAGGGCGCCGGACGCGTACGTACCTGGGGCGCATCGACTGCGAGCCAGCTCTCTGTTTATTTTCCTGCGGAAGCTCGGATACGCGCGCGCTCCCTTGGTCGGCCGGGCATTTCCTCTCGAGGCAACCGGCACGGCTGGCATCTTCGAGCCGGACCTTTAACCTGCTTTAACCTCCCGGACGCTCTCCGTTCGCGCTCTCCTTCGGACGAGACCCGCGAGGCGCGAGTTCGGTCGCTGCGCCCCCGGTATGCTCAGGAACTCGGGCTTTGCTTTTTTTGCTTTCCTTTTCTCTTACCTTCCTCGCGATCCGGGATCGCTCGTGACCTCGATGTCGACTTCCCTCGTGCGGTTCCCGAAGTCGGCCCGTTCCCTCGAGATATTTCCAGAATCGTTCCCGCTGCCGATTCCGGGTTTTCGAGTTGTTTCGACTTCCTGGCCGCGACCGACCTAGGTCGACTCGACCGAGAGATACCGCCGAGTCTTTTGTTCTTCAGGCCCTAAGGGGGCAACGGATTTCACGACAAATCATGTATTTAGTTCGTTAATTTGGGATTTGACGTCCCTGTGCATCCGTAATTGCTTTACGATTTCATAATATTAGGAATTTCTTAAAGGCTAGAGGGAACGATTTCGTACGACAAAGCTTCGAGACCGTGTGAACGGGTTTCCTTTATTTTGGTTACGAGATTTAGAAATGCGATGAGATCGGAATCCTTTGACCCGTCGAGTAGTTCTTATGGAATGGCCTTTTGAGGAATCATGTCTAGGATGTTTAAGGAAAATTTTGTGAATTCAAGACTATACTCTTGACATTTATTTTTAATTTGGGGCCATGATTAAGCCATGTAATATTAATAATGAAAGAAAGACATGATAATTATTTATCGTTAATCGGGTACCGTTAGGAACGAGTGTATGGAATCGGAAGGATTAAAACATCTTTGTTAATAGTTTTCGTGGGGATCCTGGTATGCTGGATAGTCGATAGTCAAGCTATTTGTTTTTTTTTTTTCTTTGAAGAGGTTCCTGGATTAAAATTTTGTTGTATTTAGGGAGTAGATACCCTGTTAATGACTGGTTGCAGCGACAAGGTTATTAAGAATTTATTTTTATTCGTCCCAAGTGTTCGTTCATGTTTGCCTTAACGTGCCTATTTTATTTTAAATAACTTTATCGAGTTTCCATCTTTCTTCATTTTTTATTTTGACAGATCTCTAAAAAAATTGCCAATTAAACAAAAGGAAAGATGGTGTCTACTCGTCAGTCGAGCAGCATAGGAGGGAGCGGAGGAAGCGGTTCGGTCACTGACGTAGTCGGAGAGGCAGGGCCGTCTCGTAGGCACCATGCACAAGTACAAGGCGGACCGTCCAATACGGCACCAATCTCGGAAACTGCATTGACTTGCAACGTGAATCTTCTGGATCTACCTACCGAGATCTTAGAAAAGATTCTTACTTATTTGGACTACAATACCATTGCACATTTACGTCCAGTAAGAAAAAATGAGTGAAACTTGCAGCAGCCATTTGTCGAAACGAGACATTAAATATTTTTTGATCCACAGGTCTGCCATCGGATGGATCGAGTTTGCGGTTTCATCCTTAATTCTACGTTCCAGCGGTTGCAAACCCAGATGCTCGGTCGCTTCCAAATGATCAAGGCACAAATGCCAAGACGAGAGTCTGCTCGTCGCAATCACCCATTGGCCTGTGAATCGGACATTATTGAAACATTACATATGCGGCTTACACTTTTACAAATGAGCTTTGGAAAGCACATTGAGCGTAAACACTGTTGCTTCTTTCCTGGAGAGGTAACAAAAATCCAATCGTAGTATTTCGAGACTTAAACAACGTGGAAAGGTATTTTAGTTGTTCTTTAATTGCAGATATTGGACGAGGTCTACCGTATATTACATTGTATAAAAGTCACCCCCAAACTCGCTAGGCCTTACAAGGTTACCGACGAATTGTTTGATTTGAGCACAATGGCAATGGAGTACTTCAAAGAACGTATCGAGCCGACACTTCCCGAAATCCCATACTTTGGAGCCGATTTTCTAGATCTCACTGGAACTTTCTCGTGTAAGCAGTCGTTCATAGATTCTAGAACAAAAGATGTTTTACACGCTAGTAAGAATATCCTAATTATTTGAAGCACTTTGCAGCTTCTAGTAACGTCAGCAAACCTTTTATGTGCCTGGATTCTGCTCCTTTGAGTGTCGGAGCTGGAAAGTCAGGACGGAGTAGTGGCGAAGAAGGTTCTTCGCCACATGCTTCAGATGACCCAGGATTACTGGAGTCCAATGTATCTCCTCCGCAGTCGAACATGGTGCTACGCAAACGTATTAGGAAAATCAAGCAGGGCATGAAGAGGTACAACAGCCAGTTGACGTTAATGCGCAGGGATCTGCGAAGCTGCAAAGCCAAAATTGCTGAACAACAGAAGCAAATTGTCGAGTACGCCAATCGGCTCGACGACAACGACAAGAAGAACGAAGAGACGTCTCGTAAATTTAGCACTCTCCTACAGGTATTTACCAAGGTATATCTAGTACTTAGGAGGCTTCGGTCTCGTGCACTCGGAGTTCCAAGGGAATGTTCTTTCGTACCCTCGATTGCCATTGATCTTCTTTCGCGTCTTTCAAGATCGAACTTGATTATTTAAAAGAAAATTTTTTCTTCGGTACTTTGCACTTCTACCTGCACGTATCATCGATTTTATACCCTGTACTCCTCGAAACGGGTAAAAGCTCAATTAGCGTTTTATCGTAACTGAAGGAAACCTCCGAGTTTATGCCATTTCTTGGTAGGTCTAGATTTTGTATATTTAAGAGGTCTAAATTTTGACACATCTATCCCATGCATGGAGTCAACTCCATTTCTATCTAAGAAAAAAAAAAAATAAAAAAAAGATCAATCCTTTGCGCAACACGGAGACCCTCGCATCGAGAGTACGTTCATCCCATGTTGAACGAATTTTCACGTCCGATTGTTCGCGAGACTCGCAAAGCTGACGAAAGTCACGTCGACGTTTCGCAGGAGTTGAACAAGTGCAAGACGGAGCTGCAGTACTGGCGGTCGAAATCCCCGGCGATACCGGTCTGCGTGGGATGCGGACAATCGATGCCGGTGCCCACGGAAGACCTTCAGGCCCTCGCCAACCAAGGAGTCCTCCCGGAAGCTCTCGGCGAGGGCCTCGACTTCATTCCCATAGCCGATGCCCAGAGCCCCACCGAGGTCGGCACCCAATCCGCAGCCGTTCCGAGCCAGCCATCGGTTCCCTCGGTGGACATGGCGCCGCCAAAGGCTCCCGTGCCTTCGGTCTCCTCGAAGCGGAAGGCTTCCTTCGAGGAGACGCCGAGCGACGCTGCGAAGAAGCCTCGCCGCACTGCCAAGTCTCGTCAGGCTAAACGCTCAAAGATATAAGCCGATTCTGATTATGGTACAAATGTCCAAGAACATCTCGGGGGTCGTGGAGGATACGGTGTCCGCGAGAGCCTTCGGCGGAGTCTGCGAGCGGACGATCTTAGAAGAGTACAAAATTCTTTCCCGCTCGTCCTGTGCATCCTAGCGCAACGAACTTCTCGGTGATGTAGGGCCGTCCTCGGCGTCGTCTCGATTCGGGGGAGTCCTCGAGTCACGATTATTGATTTCGGGTTTCTTGGACGGCACGGGGTGGGATGCGAAGTCGGGCCTAGAAATTCGCAAGTCCGAGGAATCGCGCCTTCCGCGTTTTTGACGGAAAACTCGATAAGTTTCTCTTTTGAGATACGGGCACGGATTGCACGTCCGACACCGTGTCGGGGAGGGGGAGATACGCCGGGAGTACAGCGTGACACAAATATTCTAAATGATAGCCGATCGTCCGTTCCGTCCCCGCTCGATCGCGAACGGTAAAATCGTCTTCGCCCCTTGGTAAAGTAATCTATACCATTAGTTATCGCAATGAAATAGCCGAGGAAAGTGGACGACACCGATCGACTCGCGATCGATGGTCTCGTTTTGCGTGGCGAGTCGTGCATTCGAAGGATCTTTGCGTGTTGTATGGACATCCGTTGGAGACGTGCAAAGACGAATCGTCGGGCACGTTACACCCACCATTTTCCTCGAGTAGTCAATGTGCACTGGTTTTCATTTTATTTTCAGCGTGGTACCTAGTATTTCGATTCGACGAAGACCGACTGCCTCACTCGACTCATTTAACTGTACGTACGTTTAGGACAATACGGGGGAAAGACGTTCGCATTCGCGATCGCATTGGGAAGCGTTAAAATCGAGAACGGTTGTATGTGAAAATTACTGTAAAAGCGCAAAGCAACTCGGAACGGGCGTGATTCGATTACCTCGATTGATTTATTGCCGTTTTTCGTGGCTTCGTGCGTATGATAAGTTGAAGCAGAGGATGTTACCGCTTGAATTACAATATGGATAGTCGTAGATTGCAATTTTATAATTCCGTAATACGACGTCTGTAATATATCGAGTCAAATTATATGGGTGGGCAAACATTTAGTAGACTGCTCGATCGTTGAAACCATTTGAATTTCATAATTTTTAGAAATTGTAAAATATTAAAAAAAAAAATTATGACCTTTTCTTAACGGAACAACATGTATTATACAGCTCGTGCTTCAACTGTCTGCGGAAAATATAGATAAATGTTTAGGGCAATATCGAACCAAGGTTAACATCGAAGAGCAACGAGGTAGTAAAAAAAAAAAAAGAAAAATCAAAGGAATCCATATGAAGCATTACAAAGTGCAGTTGCGAACTAAGCATAATTCCGGGCGTATTTACAGAAATTTCTATACAACTCTCGAGCTCGACCTTAGATGGCCGAACTTGTAGAATTTTATTTCGCAGTACCGATCGACGAGTACCTGATAAGGACTGAGTGAGACTGGTTCGTGCAGGTACTTCGAGGTGCACTTAAGAAACCATATCAATTTCCTCGTTTACCCATCCCCGTCGGACTGGTTGTAGGAAATGAATGATTTCGCCTCTGTTTACCTATTTTAAGTAGCGTTCAATGATTTCAGGTAAATTTTGCACATACCTGACTCCTGTTTAAAGTTGAAAGTTCAAAGCTTCAAAATTCTGTATCGAATGAATTAGCGGTTTTCTCCTCGTATATCTTTTTCTCCTTCCCTTTGAACTCTCGAAGCTCGCATTTCCGTTGTGTCCGGCAGAGCTCAAAACGATTTTTGCTAGGAACGGACTTTACGAGATCGTACACGGGGTTTGATCGAATCAAAAGGAAAAGAGTAAGGGGTTTTATCGGAGCCTTAGGTATCGCCTGCAAATCCGAGGGTGCGCGTGGGGAAAAGGCGTCAGATTATCGAAGGGACTTCGTTACCAACGTCGTCTTCAATCGACCGTGGAGTGGCGTTTATTGCAATATTAATAGTCTTAGCTGAAGATTAATAGGGTCGAGTTCCTCGAGCATAGGTCCGTTTGTCGAAACTTCGAAGGAATGACTCCTCGTATAATTTATATCAAATTTGGCGAATCGCTGATCTTGTTTTAGCGATTAATTTGGCCGAGAGAACTGAAAAACAAGGAAGGGTCATTTCGCCCAGTCTGGCGCTTCACCCCGCGCCGAACTCGAAGGCTGGACGATATTAAAAGAAGTGATTATCTAATTTGCACGGATTACCCAAGTTAATTAATCTCAAAGAAGTGTAGTTAGTAATATTGTGAGTTACAATGATTCATCATTCTAGTAATAAAGGAAAAGAATACTGATAATAAGTAAATAATACNATTTTTTATCAATGTCAAGCAAGAATTACAAAAGGGGAAGTCAGAGGGAGAGAAAGTAGGAAGAGACATGGGAAAGGCGAGAAGCGTGTTGAAAATGTATGAAAACTGGTGGGAGATAGGCCCAAGTGTAATGAAAATACTGCAATTGTGTTCACTTTTTTTTTTGTAACCATTTTTTTGCGCGTTTTGTGGAATATTTTCAAGGCGGGAGACATAGGTGTGTGATATAGGATCGACGCGAAGGGGCTATGCCGGACATGCAAAGCTCGCTCGTTCGCATTGGTGTTTTGCGCGAAATAAAGCTCGATGCTCGTTAGGACACTGCCTATTCTAACTTGAGATCTAACCGACACACCGGAAACGTACGCACTGACGGTGCTTTGTGGGTTTGAATCGTAAGAAAGTGACCTTCATTCAAAATAATTCGTTCTCGAGGCATGTAGGCTGTAAAAGTGTGAGGAATGCCGAGGGTTGATGAAAACCAAAAAAAGTGGAGGAGTCGACATCGGCAGATTGGAATTTTATCCGAAACTTCCGACAAAGTCTCTATTACTTGATACACTTTTTAAGCTGACACGCGTAACGAAGAAATTAAATGCCGACGATCAAAGGATTTGGTTTTTGACCTTGATCCTTCGGGATTAGATCTTGAAAAACCTACAATTAAATTTCAGCATTGACAAAGTACGTCGGCTGGATTCCCTCTGTAACGACGCTCGAGGTCCGAAAAGGGACAAAAACAGGAGAGAATTCTTAATACGTTAACACCGCGGTCCGCTAGCGTATAGCGGTCATACTTGCATCTGATGCGAAAGTAGCACCATGCTCGTTGCTTTCGTCAGAGACGAGTTCAATCTTCTGCGTTAGCGATGCACGAGGTCGGAAAATGTTTCGGACGAAAGTTGGTCTCTACGTTATCGCGAACCACTTTTGTAAGAAATATTTTTTTCTATCACGCATCGTTTACAGAGAAAGTAAGCGTATCCTGAAGAAAAACCAGAGGTCGAGCCCGCGGCCTTCTTGTTCGACATACGTTGATATGGTTTTCCGGCTTGAATGGAGTGCATTCTCGAGGAGTGTACACGAATAAAATATTTGTGTGAAGTTTCAAGAGCCACTCGACTCGCGCGTATGTATTTTTCCCAAAGGGTGACACCACTTTCCGACTTTATGCCCTCGACGGGCACGGAAGAAACGTGGGTAATGGTTCTCTAACGCGGTCACGCGACGACGTAAGCTGTTTCATGAGTGCACATTTACACGCGGAATGCAGCCGTTCTTAGGCCAGGCGTAACGCTCGCATAGACAGACGTTTACCGAAAACGGGAATAGACGAAGTTACGATTGCCAGCGGTACGATCCCGTACCACTAAACATTTCAATATATATTACCTTACTTGTTTTACGTGTATTAAAGCGATTGTAAATATATATATTAGATATACCGTATAATAAACATAATTTAATAACATCAGTCGTGCTCCGTTTGTCCCGTTTACAACTACGTAATGGGACGTTACGATATCGTTGCATTTTTCATAGTTTGTGGGTTACACTTTTTTTTTTCTATTAATTTAAATAAGACTATTGGTTTTGTTAGAGCCGCGTTTATCAGGGTGTTCGATGTTTTTGTTCCTACAGGGATTTGATTGAAAACGGTGTGCAACGCACTTGAGCTTTCCCCGTGCATCCCACCCTGCATCATGACCCAAATATGCACGTGTTGCAAGATGGCTGCCTCGAGCTGGTGTAGGTCAGTTAATCGTCAGAAAGAGGAGAGGGAATGTACATAAAAATAGAAATGGGTTTCTCTCGCAGCCATCTTTTTTTATTGTATTCTCTCTATTTCTCTCTATTTCGTAAAGTATCAAATTATATATACAAATTTTTCAAAGTCAATTAGTTTTGTTCGCCGTTGGTGAATTCGTCATTGAATGTAATAAATCAAAGATATACTGTAATTAAGTTCGTTGTATCGATGAAACTAGTGGACAAAACTAGAGAGATAGGTGCTGGGCCGAGGAATACTCAAAATGATTAAAAGTCGAATACGTGGATCGTACCGTTAGCTACGTGACTAATGCATATATGTATGCATGTATACGCTTTTGCTTTCGTCTGCTACGCAAGCACGTGGTCTGGTTTGACAGCTCTTGCTTCACTACGAAACCGTTGAGTACGGTGGCTCCACCATCGCGGTACTTCACAACGGGAGCTCTTCCGTTGAAAATGGCGGACGGCGAATCCTTGTGTAGTCAAGAGATGTGACGAACAGTGTTTACTTTACCGTTGTATTAACTCGTCAAGTTCCGATAAATCGCGCGCGTGCGTGTGTTTATATATTTGAGGGAACTGGTCATTTTGGAGGGGGCTACGGGTATCTAACGCTTTCCATCTTGGTCGTCTGATCATAACCTCCTCGCGTTTCCCCTGGGATACTTGATTTTAAATATTTGCGCTGCAAACGGTATGGCCGATATGCCGTATAAGGATGGATTTGAAACACGTGAGTGTCACAAATTTTACATATTTTACAAGATTTCTGAGTTTTTTACAGTGTTACTATTAATAATAGTTTTTAAAACCCGGAAATCCGATGCTGAATGTTTTCAACTGAAATGTTACGCCCCTGGCGAGTGGTTTTATTATTTTCATTGTCACATTCACAATGTGAAATGTTTTATATTCCTAAACTATCTTACATCTATTTAGCCTAAATTATCTTACATCGATTTAGAAGGGATTCCGGTACGTGGTGGCGGTGGCAGTGGAGGATCCGATGGTGACATGAAGCTCGAGCCTTCCAGTCCAACCGAGAGATATACTTTCTCTCGTTGTAGCAGTACAGGGTCGGTTAATACTCCGTCATCATCTGCGCACAATACAGGTAAGTTAATTGTAATCGAATGATTTCTAGTTTTTCCTGTTCATCAGATTTTATCATTTAACATTTTTTTATAGAGGACGAAGACAGCGACAATAAGAACTCGACAATTAGTTACAAAGAGCGTCGCAGAGAAGCTCATACTCAAGCAGAACAAAAAAGAAGGGATGCAATTAAGAAAGGTTATGATTCTCTTCAGGATCTAGTGCCTACCTGTCAGCATACCGATTCTTCTGGATACAAGCTATCAAAGGCTACTGTACTTCAGAAATCCATCGACTATATCCAGTTTCTACTCCAGCAGAAGAAAAAACAAGAAGAAGAACGTAATGCTTTAAGAAAAGAAGTGGTAGCCTTACGCATAATGCAAGCTAATTATGAACAAATTGTAAAGGCTCATCAGACGCAACCAGGTCATGCGGAATTGCGTGTATCCGATGAAGCTAAATTTCAAGTGGTGAGTGATCCGTATTACTTTATAGGAAATTTTATTGAGTTAAATTCTAAATAATTTACAATAATTGTAAAATGACATTCCTTATTTAAAGTTTCAGGCAATCATCGATCGTCTCTTTCAGACCTTTAATAATGTTTCTGTAGCAAACTTTGCAGAGTTATCCGGCTGTGTGTTCAGCTGGTTGGAGGAACACTGTAAACCACAGGTAAGTCGAGAAATGCACGTATGATATATTTTAGAATTATGTATTTTACAGAACTTGGTGATATTTTCAGACTCTGCGCGAAGTAGTTTTGTCTGTATTGCAGCAGTTAAACAGCCAAGTCAGCTAGTCAGAAATAACTCGTCGATGTCCATATTTTATGACTTTCCTTGAAGTAACAAATAGGAAAGTTTGTCGGCATGTACTTAGGCCAATTACCGTACAGTTACCAAGGACAAAACGGCGAGAATATCATTTGACACGGGTAAGGTTAAAAGAGTACCATTTCAGGAATACAAATAGAATTTTATTTTATATACGAATGGCATAGGGATTACTACTATGGTGGTAGCGATGCCTCGACTCTCATCAATCGGTGAGAGATGTTACATATTTTTTCCAGAGATAAATTTTTGTTACATATATTGCCATATATTCCACATTGCGTACGTTTATACGTATGAATGAATTTGTATATACACAATAAATCAGGCTGCCTCATAGCAGTTTATACAAGTTTAACATCTGCTCTAGTTCCCTGGCTACGATATACAGATTATTAAATCTTATTTTGTTGACATGAACAATCCTAATCCTATATTTCTAACGCTTTTTTATTTATTATACATTTTAGGTATGTCTTGTGAAATAAAAAACATCTTCGCTTATCCTCACCATTCACATTGTGAAGGGAAATCCTACGATGAATTTCATTAACCCTTTGCACTCCCAATTATTGAGACATCGTTTACTGATATCGAGTCACACTCGACAAAGGAGTGCAAAGGGTTAAGATTCTTTAAAGAAAATCCAGTAATATTAAATTTACTATAAAGACAGGAGCAGGTGATCCCAGTTTCGAACGAGTACGTTTACCGTGCCTTAATGAAAAAAATGTTTCAGTGACGTGATATTTTTCTTTTGTCAATTTTTAATGCGGTGGTGGGACCCTCGTTAAACCTTTTCAGACTCGGTAGGCATGCTCTCTCCTTGAGTAATGTCATTTAATGGAATCCCTTCCGTTTGAGGTCTACGATTCCTGTCGGAACCCTGCACAGGACTTCGTGGACTTCGTCTTCTCTTGACCGATTCTCCTCGACGGCAACACAGATCGCGAAATATGCAGGCGTAGCACGAGAGCAAGGCCGTCATCATCATCACACCTCCTATCGCTAGTATCACCACCAATAATAATGATATCTCGTCGTCCATTTTAGACTAAAGCCCCAGCAACGGCTTAGCCTTCGCATCTGCAAGAAGAACGTCACAATGCGTTTACTACCTTGAAAATAACGAGCACAAGTGGAAATTCTCTACAGCATATTTAGCTTTGACAGTTTTCCGATCTTATGATTTACCGTTTTTAGGCATTTTCAGAATATCCTTAAATTCATACATATTTCTTAAAACAATATTTGCATTATATTTATACACGTTCTTCATCGGTAGTTTTATGTTTTTTTCTTTCTTGTTTAGTTGTCATTCAAGCGAATTGGCAAGGCCTGCTCTCTATCTCTCGCATGCTCTTGGACCGATTAAACGTCAGAGTTGAAGCCGATTGAACGAGTGGGCGAATTTACGTCCTTCAAACGACCGTGCAGCGACCACGTCGAGAAGCGAGATTGACGCGCAAATTCACCTGTTTTTCGAGGTTTGTGACGATACTTTTTTTTTTCTTTTAATAATAAACAATTCTCCGCAAACGCGACAGAACATTAAAGGAGAATAATATTGCCGACCTAGTCGGCACAGTGGTATTTCCTCGTAGATTCGGAACAGTGGTATTTTGATACGGTAGTCTACGGGAGCCATAAGACCGAAGGGCGCCTCGAGACGATCGCGTTTAGAATAGAAAGCACGTTGTCGAGAGATGATAAAGGACTTATCCCTTCCGAAATTGATTCGCCATTCTCCCTCGGTCTCTGTTCTCGTGGCTGGCTCAACGGAGAAAATCCCAATCCGAATTTCATCGTCCCGGGACGGTCTCGTTGTTTCTAGGACTTGGAGAATGTCGCCTCGATGTCCGAAGTGCCCATCGATCATCGGCGATTCACCGAATTAAATTTTTCTCCGATCTCTATTTTTCTTTCCGTTACATTTCTCGGTTCATTGATCACAAAGTGAGAGATGCCGCGGACTCTTAATCACGAAAGTAGTTTTTTTTTCTCCCTAGAATGTTGTTACACGGAAAAACGATAATCTACAAGACGATGGCAGCAGGTTACATACATTTTATCGCGTTTGATAGGATTAAGCGACGGATCTTTTTCCCGTCACCGCTGCGCTTTTAATCGAAATCTCCATTTTTTATTGCGCACTTGCGAAAGGGTACGTTGTAAAAGTAGTTACTCGCCCTTCGGGAATACGTCGTTCGACGTGAAATCGCGATTGGTTTTCGTTTATTTGCTTTTCCATAACGCTCATATAAAGAAAAAGCTAAGTTAGGCGTTGTACCGCGCCGTCGTCCAGGAGGTCGAATCGATCGGGAAAAATGAAATTTAACGAAGTCTCGAGTTCGGCTCCTTGGCGTCGAGACGTGAGCGAAATCAGGAACGACCCGCGTTTTCGCTTTCCTCGACATTATTCCTGGATACCCCTGGATACCCCTCCGGTGGCCCTATAGGTTCTTCCTGTACTCGGTTAAACCCGGATTCCCCCGGATTCACCCGGACCCCGCGATATCGCCTCGCTTTCGCGCCAAACCGAGTGATCCTAATTCCTTCCGGGAGGCTTTCCCTTTCCCCTGACCGTTTCATTCTCATCCTTGGCGTCGCGCGGTCTTGGATTGATATTAGAAGCGCCTCCGAGAATTCCAGAACACGTTCGCCCGTTCTGTCGACCGTTCGCTCGAGTCTCTCCGCGTCCCTTATGAAACAAGGGCGCCAATAAGTATTCCCGTCCCTTGAAACCGAGACCGCGGGGGCAGAATCGCGTAATCGTGAGATGTCTTCTCGAAAAATCTGGAAACGTGGAAAGGACAGAGCCGAGCTATTTTTTTTTTTTTTCCAGGTCAAAGGTATTTTACGAGGTTTAATTTCTCAAGGGTAATTTTCTCGGGGCATCGCCAAGGAAGGTGGAGGGGCGGAGCGATCATCCTTCCGGGCGTCGCCGCAGGAATGGAACGTAAGATGGGATATATGTCTCTTGACAGGACGCTGATACCGCAGGACAATGCCCGGGGGTGATTTACGAGCGGGAAGGAGAGTTAATCCTCGAGAGCACCTCGCGCAATTCCGTTCGGTATTATTCGGCACGGGCACGGCCCGCGCATCGAATCGCGACCATTTTCACGAGCGATACCCCGCCACCGGTTGTGAGAATTAATCTGCAAATGTCAAAGGGCAAATCGCGGCCCGTGGAATTTAAATACTATTGGGAAACGATCATCCTCGTGATTTATGGGCCCGCTTCCCAAGGAATTTCCTCCCGCTCTCGTAAATCACCTCGCGCGTCTCGATTTACCTCCATTTTCGGAAGGTATCTCGCCGTCTTTTGAAGGTTCTCATTCCGAAAATCTACGGCAGGAACCTTTCGATATTCGGAGAGGAGGTTCCGACTCCATTAGCGAGGGGACGAAGGACCTAGAAAAATAAGCAACGTCACGAGGCATCGTATCGCGGAGGGTGGAACGACCCTGGGGCGTCCTTAATGGTGGGGTCCGTCGAGAACGCGTTCGACTTCGTCGGATGGCCGTCTCGTTGACTCGTCATTTTGTGTACCATTCTATTAATACGTCACTCGATCGATAACGCGATCCTTGCAATGATTCCGCGTAAATATCGCTTGGAATGTTCTCGCGATAATTTCACGATTTGACATCGAAGAGACCCTCGTGAATCCGTCATTTCCTCTTCTGGTGCATCGTTCCGATAAAGGGCTCTTCTCGTACCTCGTGGACCTTGAAATTCGTGGTCTTCCCCACCCCGGTAATCGATCGATCGAGCTAGCCACGAGACTCAATATATTTTGTATCGAGGAACTTTGAAGCACCGTATAGTTGAAACGTCAAAGCTTTTGCTCTTTGTGCAGGCATGTTTGGCATGTCGGACAGGGTGAGATTGAAAATTCGGAAAAGGGAAGTAACGTTTTCGCAACGTCCTGATCCAATGAAATAATCCGCCTATGGCATTATTTATTTCGTCCCTCCTCTGGAGGTGAAGAATATTAACGAACAATTAAGGTAGGAACCGCTGGTCGAGATAAACTTATCTTAAATACCGAATTTTGGGTGAGGTCACTTTTTGTCGGGTCAGGTCACTCCTATTACTCGCAGGTCGCGAAACATCGTAGAACAATTTTTCCTCGACTTCCCCTTTGCCGTTTTTCATCCCCCTCTGTCCGGATCCGATCGTGACTTTTTGCGGGAACTTTGGAATGTCATTTATCCAAGTTTCTGGTTCATTCGTTACGGTTACAGGTCGGTGTATCGACTGGGTGCCTCCGATAAAACGCGCCCTGCCGTCCGGACGAATCCATCCGGAAAATATGAAATTCTTTCCCGTTAACCGCCCTAGAAATGAAATCGTTGGACGTTTTCCTATTCGCACCTAAGACTTCAAATGGTGGAGCTTTTCCCCCATTTATAAGAGGGACATCCGGCCAAGTTGAAAGTACCCGATCCCTCAGCCGCGAGATTCGAGACCTCGATAAATCGAGATTTGCTCTCCAGTTTTGCGATCCGCTTGGATTTATCCCCGATCACCGGAGGGTTTCCCACGTTGCTCGTACTTTTTTTACGACGAGCTTTCCTCGAATAAGATTACGCCGCGGTATCCTCGGATTAATGCTTTCCGTTTTACGATTATCGAACAAGTTTGGCATCTGCGCTTAAACGAGAACCCCGAGGAGACATCGATCAAAGCGCCGCCGAGGGTGCTCCTGGGGACAATATTTATTACCCGTTGAAAATTATCCTTGAAATTTATTGCTCGATTAAGCGATTTTATCATTGAATATTTCGTTGGTAAAAGAGTACCGAGGGTCTTGGAAATTTATTTACACGAGCTAGGTACTCGTTTAAATAATCTTACAGAGTCCTGATTCGTGTTGCTTTAATTAAACCACAGTGGAATGCAGGCGTCAAATTATTCCCTCGGTCTTTCGCACTAAATTGCGCTAGTTCTTTCAAGTTCCTCCATCCATCGGGGGTAAAACTTTTAAATTGGAGCGGTCTTGTTTTACGAGTCGCTCGGCGCGGTCGGCTGGGGATTCAATGGGAATTCAATGGGGATTCAATCTGGTTCGTACCGCGGATCGAGCCACACCTGCGGGTGTTAATTTGAATTTAAATAAAATATACATATTTCTCTTGTTTTCGCGGATTCGTTATTCGCGCTTTGGATGGTACGGCCTGTAAATAGTCTTTTACGCGGGCTCGTATCGATCAAACGAGTACTCGAAGTCAATCGGATAGGTGCCTTTATGTTTTTCACAAAGATCGAAGACGTTGAACAATTTCCAGAACGCGAGAAATAACCCTTGCCATGGGAGGCGATATCGCGATCCGTTGCGGATTCGATTTGGACAGTTTAGACGACCGAGCCGCTTGCTCGGTGACCCGGACGTTTAATTCCGTAAAGCTATCGAGCAGACACCGGGACACCCTTTGTGATCGCATTGTCAAGCTCGATCAAGTTTCTCGAATTACGGTGCGAGGCGGTTCGGGTTACGGCGCCGCGGGGGCGAATCGGGGAGTAAATTGAGTTCTCGCCCGAGGAAGCTCCGGGAAGCTCCGGGAAGCTCGAGATCTCGCGCGGAAGGCCGAGGGAAACCGATCGCCCGTCTTTAATTTCACAGCAAATTTCCCGGCGCGATCGATCGGTCCGTCTTTTAATTCGATTCGTAATTAATTTGCGGCGTGCCGTTTAACGCGCATCGCAACGAGAGCCTCGACGCCGATCGGGGGAAAATTCGATGAACGACGGTCAATTTTCGATCGATCGATCCACGTTAAGTCGATCCATCGTCGGGATACCTTGTCATGGTCGTTTTCAATTACGTTTATTTCCCCGTAACGATTTTGCGGTGTGTCCTCATTTTGCGCCGATGAGCGGTTAAAAATTGACACCGGGATTAATATGGGTGCGTCCTTGCCCGGAGAACCGATGACGCTCGACCCGAATACGAGCGACGCTTTCCAGGGTCCTTTTTTCAATATTACCAATTAAAATTAAATGGTATATTTCGACGATGGATAATTTGCTCATGGCTGACGCGTAACTCGGAGCTTTCGTAGGTTTCACCGCGCGGGAATAATCTTTGTCCCCGATGGTGCTCCAAATGGCATAATTAATGAAAATCATCGAGCAAACATGGGGACGTGCTCACGGACGAGCTCGGATCCCTCGTCCGGAGGGTATTCGATGTACCCGATAAACGTTATTTATATTTAGTCGCGGATGAACCCATTTGTCAGACCCTTTTTCTCGACCGAAAGAACTCGGGAAGCAATCGACGAAAACGACCGAATGAGCGGCAAGGCCCGTTTGTAGTGCGCGAGTTGCGGAGGGTTCCCTGATTTATGGGATAAAAGTTGTTTCATTTACCGTTTGGGGGTATCGGCGTATTCGCCCGGACAAAAGGAGGGAGTGCCGGAAAAATCCTCGTTTTTACTTTCCGGGTAAACGTCGTTCTTCCCTTGTGATCTCGAGACGCGGTCGTCTCGTACAAACGTTTCCACTTTGCACCGGAAAACGGCTGGAATAAAAAGCGCGAGGTTTTTCGTGGTTCGGCGTTCCTCGCAGCATTTATTCCGGAACTCTGCGAAAATCGGGTGGAACGACTCGTGGGGATAATGCCCCGTCCGAGAGGACTGCTTCGCTAAGTGCAGCCAGGGCGCACACCCTCGAGGTCCTCGTTCGTACATTTAACGCGCGCGTAACGGTGACGTTAAAAAGTGAATTAATATTAACCTCGTTACGCGTCAGATCCCACGGCAAAGAGGAAACGGGCCCGCTCAAAGGGTCCTCCCTCGACGTAACGAAATTATCGGAGTTAATCGTGCGGTTTAGAAAGGAAGACACGCCGCAATTACCCGGCTGAAATGGTGCATTAAACGCGACATGGACGCGTTCGGAACGGGAGCGAGCAATCCGCGCACGTCCTACTTGTAAACGAGATACGTAATCGGTTAGGTAGCGGACATTAAATATTTCACCCTTTCGCTGGAACGGAATTCAGGCTGCCGGACGGTGCCTCGAGACTCGCCTCGATCGCGGAAAATTAACGCGGAGGGTCCTTCTCCGCGTTTAACCGTTCGGATGCGTAATTATTCCTGCGGCCCACGGAGTGACATATTCCAAAACGCAGCCGCCCGGAAAGGGGAAATTACGCGGATCGCATGCAAATGCCGGATTCGTATTGCCCCGTGGGTAATCCGCGACGGATGTGGACGAGCCCTAGAGTCGAAAGTTCTCCGCTGCGTGGACGGCAAACTTCTGGGAGGATTAGATTTTGGCCAACTCTCGAAGGACCCTTCCGGTCTCCGCCGAGTCCGCCGATCCCGGAGCTTCCGGTGGGGGTCGAATCCGACAACGAAACTCGCGACCGATCGAAGGGAAGGAAGGTGTTCTCACGTGTGTATCGCGTCCTGGTCTTGGTCCCCGATGCATCGTCCGCTGCGAGTTCGTTTCATTTCCGGTTGCGGAGCTCCTTCAGCGGTCCGCGGATCGCTTCCGTCGCAACCGAGAACGGTCGTCCTCGTTCGAAATTCAAACTGGACCAAACTTCTCGCCGAAGGACGTGCCATTTTCATCGAGCTTTCATCCTCGCTCCGTCCGCCGTCGGGGTTTCTGCACTCATGGATTTATGCACTTTCGGATACGAAAAGGAAAAGGGATTGAAAAAGTTCTATTTTACCAACCAATCCATTCGGTAACCTTTCCACCTTCGCGCCTCGTCTCGCTGGCGATTGGTTTTCGTTAACGAAGTAGGCATAAAGTTGTCGCTCGACGTATCCAACGATGTTTCGAGCTAAAGTGCCCGCGTATCGCGAATCGGCCACGTGGCAAAGGCCAGAGCGACGTGAGAACTGTGGGATCCGAGGCGACGCCACGCAACGCGGCGCGGCGCGACGCAGCGCGTCGGGACCGCGCATCCTTCCCACCCCAGACTCGCCCGGTTAACCCGCGAGGAAATGCTACGATTTTGGGAGACGTTATCGGTACCGATGCCCCGGACACAAGACGGATCGAGAATGAAAATATTTCTCGTCAAAGGAACGAGACGTTTCAACTTCTCCCGACGACCTCGGCGGGGTATTTCGGGAACGAGGACGACGCGGGGGCGTTGTCGTAACGCCGTCACTCCGTTATGCGTCTCTTTCACCCTTGATTCGCGAACTTCGAGGGGGGGATGGAAAACCGTACGCGGAATATTACGATTTCATTTCTCGCCTTTATCTCTACCATTATGTGCGCCATTACGTTTGCCATTCCGCGTTCTCCAATCTTGGGGATTTTCCGAGGGGACCGATTCCCGTTCCGTCGCGTTTGAGGTGTTTTGATTCCACTCTCCCTCGGCGCTCCGTTCTTACGTTTGTTCGTTCCCTTTCCGCTCTTCTCCTTAACGCCGCGTCGTTCGGTAGAAGGATCGCGGGGATGCGATAAAGATGGCGCTCAGTGGACGCTCATGCCTGTCTATTTCCATAGTTCTAGATTTTCCCTTCCCCTCTTTGCGGGGGAACAAATCGGCACGAGGTGGAATCGTAGATTTAGAGGATGAAACGATGGGAGGAGCGCTTATCTCTCGCGGAGGACCAAGGTCACGCGTGGCACTTTACGAGCGCCACGGGACAGGATTTCGTCAGGCCGCGGAAAGGTGGAGGAGAATCGAGACAAACGGGGGACGTGCACGCGTGCAGGGTCGCTATGTCGTTTCGAGGTGATATTTTTCCTGGGCTACCATTTTCCTTGCATCGTCCTCCGCTCTCACCTCGTTCTCTCGTCCTTGGGCACGGAAGAAACTTCCACGGTCTGGTTGGCGGAAACGCGTCCTTTCCTTCGTGCCCGCGTTTTACAACTTGGCGACGTCTCGCGAGCAAACGTCGCGGAAATTCAGGACGCGTTCCGGTAGTCGAAGACTCGCCGGCTGACCATACGCGAGACTCTAACCACTTGGCGCCTCGCGGGTCGCGTCCGGCACGTCCGATTATGTCGGCGCTTCGACTACTGGAACCGCGACGCGGGAGCGGCGGGTCGCGAAACGTTAGGTGTTATAAAAAATATTCCGATGTTCGCGGGGGTCAAAGGATTTCGAGTACCGTTCGATTCCAACAGGAGATTTCCTGAAATTTCGAGATAAAACCGTAACCCGAGGGCGAGGCGATAGTCGCCATTCGATAAGTCGACGAAACAGGGTACTCTCGGAGTTTCGATGGCTAGTCTTTTTCTTTTATTGGTAATTTCAGACCAATGGCGGTGGGTTATCGGTCCCCTTACGCGATGCACTCATAAATACGCGGCATCTTTGTCCGGTGGCTCCGGCAGACGGGAACTGCCGCGTCGATATACCTCGAGAACGGCGATAAATTACCGCACCCTTATGTTCGGTCCTATAAAACAATTTAATGCCAACTACCACGATATCGACGATAAACCGGCGTGCGGAAGTATCAATAAATACGGTACTTTCTCATCCGCCACCGGTGGTCCGCTCGTATATCGACATTTTCTACCGCGACCACCGTATCGACGCGCATCGATAAAAAAATGAATTCCAAAGAGTAGTTATTCAAATTTATGTGGTTACGTTTGAACGATGCGTGGACGGGTTTCTTTTACGCGGCGAACTTTGAGATTTGACGTTTACGGTATTCCTAACCCGACACCCTTCGCATTTAGATGTTTTCGACCTCCGAGAGGGAGTTATGCCCTCGTCGGGACGTCAGTCGATGTCGTTTGTCGGTGGAATAAACGAGATGCCCCCGATACGTCCATCTCGAGGGACCATTTCCGGATACGTGGGCTCGATAAATATAACGAAATAGGGTCCAGGGTACGAGTTTGTTCCCTTGAAGCCGATCATCTAATTACTAGGACGAGTATAAGTCGAATCGTGAAAGCCTAGTTTATCTTCGACGTTTATCGAGGTTGCTCGAGGTCGATGAACGGACCGGTCCGTGGTGCTTTCATCCCTTGGTAAATCCATCGCCGTCGGATTATTCGAATTAACTTACCTACTGCCGAGACCGATCTCCCCCAAGGGAGTTCGAATCCACGTTTTATCTCGCCGGATAAACCGCAGCTAGCGGGCATTTTGCTACCGTAACGATACAAAATTTGAGCAACGTCGTCGACGAATCTTTAAATTTTGGGTTAGCCGACGCGAAGGAAAAATATTTATGGAAAAAAAAAATTAGCTTCGAGGAAACCGCTAGCAGAGCGTGGTTTCGATCCACGGACCTCTGGGTTATGGGCCCAGCACGCTTCCACTGCGCCACTCTGCTGCTTGAAGGGGATGATATTTTACGAGATCAAATTTCAAGAAGGAAGCGACGTTTGTATTCCTACTCGTCGCTTGAACAAATCGAAAATTTATATTATAGAGATCCGGGGTCGTTCAGATTCCTTGCGAGTGTAGATAAAAACTAGCGATTTGGCGCTTGAGTATTCTTGAAAGAAATTTCGGAAAAGTTTCGCAACAGCAGAGTGGCGCAGTGGAAGCGTGCTGGGCCCATAACCCAGAGGTCCGTGGATCGAAACCACGCTCTGCTAACGATTATCCAGGTCGCTTTTTTTTTATAAAAAATTCTTTCACCACGTATCCAAAAGTGCACCGGGACGCTTCGGAAATTATTTTTGGTATTTGAACATTGTTCTAAACTTTTTGCTCCTTTTGAGTCTTACCGACACGGTTGCATCGCTTTAAGCCGGTTTGCGGGAGCACACCTTAGAGCCGACTGATCGTTTCTTATACAAAAAAAATATCTTCCCTGGAAAAGGGTAATTTATCGATCCTTTAAGCAAGAGCAGAGTGGCGCAGTGGAAGCGTGCTGGGCCCATAACCCAGAGGTCCGTGGATCGAAACCACGCTCTGCTAGTTGTCGCTACTTTTTCATATTTCTTTTTCCATATCCAAAATCTTTGCTCTTATAGTACGAAAAAGTTGTAGGAAATCTTTTTTGTAGGAAGTCGAGCTCGTTTCGGAATCCTTGGGATGGAATTTGGTATCTGACCTGATGAACTCGCTAATTATCACCCCCGGACGGTCTCGCGGTTGTCTCGGAGTATTAAACGCGCTCCATTTCGCAAGTTTGCTCGGCTGCGAACAGGGATAATATTCAGCGGTGAAATTCCGTGAAGCCTTAGAGAGGCTTTAACACCTGAACGCTCCCACTCGATTATACCCTCCATCCAACGTGGTCAGGTCTTATCGAAGGATCCATTCGGTCGAATCGAGTTCGGCGATCGTTTCACGACGAACTTGCGCCAATTTCCGGTGCGAGCATCAATTACTCCTCACCTTTGACCGTACCGACCGAAGGACGCTTGGTTCTGAAAATCGACTTCGGATAGGGGGAGATAAATGAGAGCCAAGAAACGAGACGTGTAGGAACTCGGAGTATATTATTCAAGGTGAATACGGAATAAAATTAATATGCTCGAGAGGACGAAAACCTGTTAAATATCCTCAGAATTCGCGTGACGTCGGGTTTCTCGAGACTTTCTTGCTCCGCCGAGGAGTTTCTTCTCGTCCTGGACGTAAGTGCTTTCAGGGGGTCGTTAAAAGTTCCTTCCAGTTGGACGTCAATTAGTATCCATCGATTTTCTTCTAATGGACTGATCGTTCTTCGTAGCTGAAAAAGAAGCTCGGAGATCTTTCCATTATTATTAAGCTCCTGGCTTGTTTGTCCGCTCTTACCTCTCTCTCTCCTTTAATTCCTTATTGTCACTCTCGTTGAGTTTCATTGGAAGTCTGACATTATTCTTCCCCCCCATCTTTGGAGCTTTTAAGAGGCCCTCTCTTATCGTTCCTAACAAAGCTGACACTCCGTCGAGACAGCGGTTATCGTTAAGAGTTAACGACTGGTTGTTACCGCTTTAACCCTTTTAATCGGATGCTTGGTTATTCTCAATCTTGAAGCGAAAACTTTCCAGAGACGGAATAAAAGTTGAATCGTATCTCGAGCGGAGCGACGCGAAACATCGAGAAAATCGAGAAGCCTTAAATATCGAGTCATTAGATTTTTTACGAAGCCGGAAAATATACTCTGCTTTGGTGGGTTCAACTTCCGCGTTTCCATTGAATACGTTTCTATCGCTGAAAAGCGTCTCTTTTTTTATCGTCGACAGCAAAGTTGGCCCTCTTTCAAGATCTCGACCATGGCCAGGAACTGGAATCGAGTTGTCGACTCTCCGACCGATTCCACCGAAAACACCGAGCTACTCGAGAGGCGAATCGAGTCGCTTAAACCGACGAACGACTCCGGAGGCAACGCGCCTCCTTCCCCGGTTTCTTCTCCTCGTTTTCTCCCCGTTGATTCCCAGGGGGAATTTTCAACTCCGATGCGAACCGTCCGCTCCGGTAACATTAAACGGGAGTACGAGCAGAATCTGGGCCTTTATCGTTGCTATCTGGTGCACGGCCACCAGCGATTTGGATGATCCCATTTGTCTCGGCCAACTCGGCGAACGAAGCGAGTGCTCGGTTTCTCTCTAAAATGGACCGGTCGGACTGGACTAGCAAAACGTGCCGTGTCGATAAACCGCGCGAGGGTATCGAATATCGAGGCAAGGCCGAGAATCCTGCGGGACCCCCGAAGGATCCGCGAGGCACCCTCGAGATGGGTCCGGAGGATGCTCCTCGTGGTCAGGGAATTTCTCGAGGAATCGCGTTTCCGATCTCATTCCGGCTCGAGGGCGCCCTTCAGAATGGTCCGCAGCTCCAGGAGCTCCTTCTTCAGATCCTCGACGTCGGCGTCTTCCGCCCTCTTCCGGAAGTATCGCTGCACCAGCTGCAGTATCACGCTGTCGAACTCCTTTTTATTCTCCTCCCCGAGATCTTCCTGGACACGTGGAGCGCGCGGCAGAATTTGAAGAAACGATTTCCCGAGGTCCACGATTCGACGGTAGATCGGTCGAGATCGAGATCTCATCGGCGAGCTCGTCGACGTTAAAGTTTCTCACAGTCTTTCGAACTCGGAAAGAATTTGGCTCGTCCGGTGAAAGGTCGACGTCGAGCCCCTTTAAGGAAGACAATCGGCGGTTCGAGGACTTACGATATAGCAGCAGTTCTTGAGATTCCACCGGACCCTTTTATCGGGAGTCGGCTTGAAGAGGACCTTGAAGAACTCGACCGTAACGCCGATGGCTCTGGGCGTAGGAATAAGATTGAAGGGAGGCGGAAGCGCGGTCTGCGCCATGAATTCGATGTAGACCTGGAAGAGACGACGACCTCGTCGAAGGCGGTCGACGGAACGAGAGAATCGATAACCAACCTCGGTGCGGCCGAAGGTCCACTCGACGTCTACGCGCTGAGTAACCCTGGTGAAGGTGTTGGTCATGCAGGCGAGCAGCATGTTCAGCATCACCACCACCGAGATGAACTCGAACCCTGGAGACGACGGGGTTGGAAGATCGGAAGAGAAAATTCGACGGTGTCTCGAGGTTACCAGCGACGTTAAACCCGACTCACCGGCGAAAGCGACATAGCCGATGGTCTCGGTGAAGGTGTGCTGGTTAACGATGGTCTCGACCTCGGTGTCGCCCGGGAGGTTCTCGATGACGACGTCGGCGCTCTCGATGGGACTCATGCAGAAGATGGCCCAGAAAAGGGTCTTGATGCTGGAGGCGAAGCTGACGAAGGAGCCGACCTGCTGGGTCTTGAGCTTGCTGTCGTCGTCCACGAAGATCATCTCGTCGTAGTACTGGTACAGCTTGGCCAGTCCTGAAGAGAAGGGAAGGATTTCACTCCGAGCGATACAAGAGCCGTCGGCGATCGTCTCACCGGAGCTAAACGCGAAGAGAACGATGCCGAAGATGACGATGAACTTGGCGACGTCTTTGGTCATCTTTCCCAGGGATATCTGCAAGGGGCCCAGGTGGTAGTCGAGCTGACAGACGAAGGAGAGCTTGAAAAAGGCCATGATGGTCGCCAGACAGAAGACGCCCTCACCGATGAGCGTGGGGTCGTACTTGTGCCAGTACTTGCGTTCGAGGTCACGCTGGCCGTTCGCCCTCACGTCCAAGGCGGCTACGATCCAGAAGATGAACGTCAGTATGAACAGTACCAACATCGCCGTCTCGTACCTGGACCAGTGGACTTGTTCAAGAACGCGTTCCACCCGCTCGGGCACGCGAGAGCGAACTTCTCTTACCAGTTCCAGTACGTCCTCAGGTACCGCCGGAGGCCGTAGATGACGCAGAGCCGGAACGCCGACCACGCGTACGAGGCCACGTAGATGACCAGGAACGCCTCGTAACCTGATGGAACTCCGAGTTAGACGTCTCCGATTTCGCCGTCGGTCCCGACGGGCCGACCAAACAACGATCTCGTTACCGCTGCTGGGCGGTCCCCGGGTCTGGTTGGTCTTGTCCACGTTCGACTGCAGGAAGACGAACACCAGGAAGACGACGTAGCTCGCGATGAAGGAGAGGAACTTGTTGATCGGCGTCTGCCAACGTTTCGACCTTCCGGAATTGGGCGCCAGCAGGATCGCGGCGACGACGACCGGCAGCAGGAGGACGCGAGGTAGGACGGTGAAGACCTTCCCGAAGGACGACCTGATCTTCCACTCGTACCAGTCGCCGACCCAGTGGGAAGAGATGACCTGAAACGTCCCGAGAGGAGCATCGACGACTCGAGCGAGGACGTCCGAAACCAACTTGCTGAACGTTCGGGTGGGCGACGAACTCCTTCTGCTTGCAGTCCATGGCGAGGAGGAGCCTCGGGTAGAAGAACTTGGCGGAGTGTCCCGGGACCCCGTTCGATCGCTTGAGCACGGCCTCGACCTCGCTGGCGGTCCTCGCGAAGCCGATCAGCTCGCCGGTGAACTTGCGAATCTCCTGCACGAGAAGAGGGAGAGAAGGCGGAAGCGTCGTCTAACGCGAGAGAGAGAAAGGGAGTCCCACCTGGGAGAGACTCTTGTACTGATAGTAGAACTCGCTCTCGTAGGACGCGGCCCGGTCGAGCTCCTTGGTCAGCGCGAACGCCACCAGGAAGGGGTCCTCCGACGTTTGGCAGATGTAGGCGGGATTGGCGACGGCCCTGTAGAGATTCAGTCGCTTCTTGGTGAGCGTCAGGGTGTCCTCGGCGGCCCGCTGAGGCCTGCGACACGGGGAGAACTCGAGAGGACGAGGTCGCGGAGAAGCGTCCCGATTCGAAAGGAATCGCGAGAGGCGCGCTCGCACTTGCAGATCTCCTCGCAGTTGCAGCTGGGAGGATGCGGCTTGGCGATCCGGTGTTTCCGGTCGAGGAGGAGCTTCACCATCTCGTAGTGGCCGCTCTGGGCGGCGACCACGAGGGGCGTCGTGTCGTCCGGGAAGTCGGAGCTGCCCGACACCCCGACGTACTCCCCGGCCGGCGTCACGGCGTTGAGTTTGTCGAGAATCATGACGACGATCCTGGGCTCGTTCACCCGGACGGCGTGCAGCCCGGCGTCCTTGACGTCGATGTCTCGCGAGAGCAAGAACTCGACCATCCCCACGTTCTTCTCCTGGACGGCGACGTAGAGCGCGTTCAGGCCCTGGACGGATCAAGGGATCGGAGAAGGGCCGAGCGAGTCGAAAAGGCCCCTCGATTCCCCCCGACTTTTGGGGGGAGCCGCCGACTTTTTGACGGGCCGGAAGGATCGCGGCACGAGTTCCTCGGGGACAACGGAGGGGCCCGGCCAAGAAACGCGTGTAACCATTTGTCGGCGCGGGGACCATCGGGTTCCATTGACGGAGGTCGGCGACAAAGGACCACCGACGAGCGGACGCCCCGCGTCGCCGCCGGCCCACTCGAGCCAAACATCGGCCCCGTGCCCCATCGGGGACCGACCGCGAGGTAGGCTTCCTTTTGTCACCTCGAGCGGCGCCGAATAATATACTTTACGTCTCACCGTTTCCCCTTCGGAGGGGCCCGGGAAAGGCGAGGAGGCCGAGGAAACGGGAGCAAACGGCGGCCCGGTGGGCGGAATTTACTGCGGCGGCCGTTTGAATAATTTTTATCGCCGCTCGCTTGAAACCATTGTCTTGTAAAGCGCGGCCTGAAATATGGCCGCAGATAGAGGAGAGCGGGACCCGGACATTCCACGGGGGGTACGCGTCGCCTTCCTTTGCGGGGTGAGATCGAGGATAGCGGAGGCAAAGGCTGGGTTCGCTTCCGTCGGGGCTCCCCGGTCGCCCTCTGATTCGGAGGGATTTACGGACGTTCGAACGGTCGAGGGAGGAATCCGGGCCGAAGGGAAGCGCGCTCACTTGGAAGTTGACGACGTCGATGTCGAAGTCGCGATTGGCGTCGAGAAAGTTCCGCACGTCGTCCACGGAGCCGTTCTCGACGAAGTCGAAGAACTCCTTGTCGGCCGCGGGGAACGCCGAGAGCGGAGGGCCGTGCCGCTGAAACGAGGAGAAAACGGCTATTCCCTTCCAGGGTGGTCGGCCGAGGGGCGGGAGTACTCACCCCTTCGACGTCGTCGTCCTCGTCGGCGAGGGGCTCCGCCATTTCGAGGGATCGCTTTTCCGGGGAACGCGGCAAGTCATGGAAACAGAGGAAGGAGCCCACGGGTCGACGTTACCCCGTGTCCTCGTTGTTCGCCAGTCGGCCGGATCGGGACGGGTTCTCGAGTAACAACGCAGACGGTGAGGTCTTCTTAAAAGGTGTAATGATCGGTTCGTCGACGTTATATACAAGATTTATAATTCGTTTTGCCCTACGTACAAGTAAGAATTACTACAAATAATAATATTATTAATAATAAAATAATATAAAATATTACGGGATAGCTTCCGAGGGTGGGAAGGGAATCGACGTAAAATTCCTAGAACGGTGAGAGGGGCGACGATGATATCGTCGACTTCGGTGGTACCGACGAGACGAGGCGTAATTTGCGTACGCGACGCTCTGTACACCGAGGGCCGTCGATTGCTCGATAAATATCGCGACTTACTTTCCTACGTTGCGACGTAAACGCGTTTACCGACGAATACGAAGACGTGCACTCCGAGCTATGTACAAACGTATTCCTCCGCCAACGAAATCTCGCCGAGGATCGGCCGCGACCCAATTTCGATACTTCGCGGCGTTCCGGAGATACCGATAACGCGGGCTTCGCGAAAGAATGCCCCGGGCTCGGGACTCGCGAGGTCGCGATTACGGATAACGCCCCGCGCGGCAAAAAAATATTTTCGAGATCAGCCCGAGGCCCATCTCGACGTTCCTCGCCGTTTCCGACGGCGACGATATCCCGACTCTCGTATCGCGCATCATCGCGGCGATGCGCGGTTGCAGAATTAACATCGATGACATCGCGTTTCCAGATAACGCGTCGCACCGTGCCAAGTACTTCCGAGGATTAGCCGCGACCCGTCGCGATATTCCGCGTCACTTTTGACTCGGCGATAACGCTTTATCGCGGTCTCTGTACATTCCACGGCGCGGTAACGATTATTTCACGCCGCAATCGCGCGAGAACGTTACGATAACGTCCCCGAGCTCTCTTCGGGCTCTTCGGGGGGGAGAGGGGGAACGGTTCCTCTCGGAGGCAAGTTCCCGGAGGGGTTCCGAAATTTAGCGTTCGCGGGGAACGGGGCCGGGAGCGAGGCCGTCCTCCGGGACCGGGTCGAGACGCACGAGGGCGCGTCCCGGTGCGACGCGACAGTCGCCCGACGATCTGTCGTAATACTGTTCGTTTTCGCGCGATCCCGGGACCGCCTTTAGTCTGAACTTGTCGGATAACGGGTCGGCTCCGCGACTGCGTCGCGCTCGGACGCGACCCACGTGCGTAGTATAAGTAAGTACATAGAAATACATAATTACATACAGTCATATATGTATATATTATACACGATATTTTTATATATATATATATATTTGCATTTATATATTTATATTCAAACGTATATATATTTGCTATCTCTCAAAGCTTCGAGGGTCCGTCAGCGTCCTCTCGCTGCCCGTAAAGCTTGCCGCTCTCTCGCCGCGCGCATTCCTCAAGAAAACGCGAGCTTCCGGCTCGACGGCGCACGGGGAGAAATTCGGGGGGAAAATCGGGTGGAGGATCGAGCCCCCGACACTCCTCGGCGAAGGACGAAGAGAAGGCTCGCGGTCGTAGGATTTCGCGAGGAATCCGATCGCTGGCCGGGCCCGACCGGGAACGGCTCCACCGAGGCGGGCAAATTCCTCGGCGGGATTCCTCCGCCCGAGGCGGTCGCTCCCGAAAACGCGGACGTAGCCAGTCCGCTTCCATTTCCGGCGAAGCCCCTCGCTAGTAGAACATCTTGGCGGGCAGCACGTAAGGCGATATCGAGTAGAGCAACGAGGCGTACCACTGGATCCCGTCCGACCTCGGGGAGGAGTCGACCGGAGGGTCGGCGGCCCGCCAGACGAGCAGGACTCGCGCCAGGGCGTTCCACGCCCGGACGGGGAAGAAGGCCAGGTGCGCGACGCTCTGGCTCTCGACCACGGCGTAGCAGGAGGCCACCACGTCGTCCACGAGCAGCGTCCCCTCCGAGGTGAGCGGGGCGAAGACGCCCTCCCGGAGGACCAGCTCCGTCCCGACGACGCGGTCCCACCGCAGCTCGTCCGCCCGGTCGCCGTCGCCGACCAGCACCCGGTCGCCGGGCAGCACCTTGGCCGCGAAGACGCTGCCTCCGCCCTCCACCGGCACCAGGTGGGACGGGGTCAGCGTCAGCTCCCTCGAGGACGCGGTGGTCAGCCGGACGAACTGCCGCCTCTCCTTCGGCGAGCGGTCCAGGAAGGCGATCACCTCGCTGTAGACGAGGTCCCCTCTCGAGTCCAGGGCGGCGATCCGCTCGCCCACTCGCAGCCGGTCCAGCCTCTTCCTGGTGCCATCCTCCAGCCTGACCAGCCCGCTCCCCGGGAAGCAGCCACCCGACTTGCCCGGAGTCGAGGACTCTGCAAAGGCGAACGACGGAGCGGTTAGTTGGCCGGGAAATTATGGAAATGGCGGGAATCGTCCCGCCGGACGAGCGGTAAGCCGCGGAGCCGATCGAATCCAATCGGTCGGCTCGATCAGGTAATTGGATCCGGGAGGTGTCGGCGACGTCGCCGGCATCGCCCCGGGACCGAGGTGTGACGCGAACGAAAGCGGACAAGCCCCAGAACCAGTCACCGTGGGAAATCGTATATAATCCCATTTAACGCGTGGAAAGCGATAGGCGTGCGAGGCACCGAGCAAACGAGTTTCAATGGCGACATTCCTGCATAGTCATCGCCGGATTCCCCCGAGTCCCGAGGGAAAAGTCCGGCCCGCCCGAGGCCCGAGGGGACGACCCGGGGAAATCGGTTTCCGCGTCGGCCGGAAGTCCCCGAGGCCGCGCTATACTTTGCTCCAAGATGGCGGCCGGATTTAATTCGACGCGGCCGAGGCACGTCTCGATTTATTGGCATTTATTTTGAAACCGGAGACGCGTTCGGGAACGCGCGGACCGAGCACGCCTCGCCGATCGCGGGCGGAGGTAAATGCGAAAACGGGCCGAGGAGAAACGACCGGCTCCGAGGCTCGTTCAATGTTCCCCTTAAACTTCTTTTCCCCGTTTTCCGTCGCGTCGTCCTTCGGACTCGTCGACCGCGCGGGACGAATTACCTCTATCGAAGTCTCTTTACCGGATCGAACCGTCGGCGGTATTTAGAAAAATCGATCCCCCGGGTCGGGGCCGCGGACGGTGGCGCGTCCGACGTGGAATCTACGGAACGACGTCGCTCCGTTCTTCGGCTTCTTCGGTCGATCGCGGCCGGGAAACGTTTCGTAATTCGCGACGAAATCGTTTGAATATCCGGAATAAGGAGCGATTCGGGCTCCCCTCTAGCGACGTTCGCGGACGCGCGGCGAATTGCCTCGCGATCGCGCGATCGATCCGCCCGATAAGATGGCCGCCTTAGAGCGCGAGAAACGACGTTCAATCGCGGCCCGATAAGATCGAACCGATTGCGACGCGGCTTATCGCCGGAAAGGAAAAGCGAGAGCGCCGCGCCGCCGATTATTTGATCGCCGGCCGATAATCGCGATCGCGCGATCGCGCGATCGATTCCTCGACGTAACGCCTAGGAAATCGAAGGGGAGGCGAGACTCCGACGAAACGGTCGCTCGGCGATGGCTATCGTCCCTTTTTCCGCGGTCGCGACGAGGGAGAGCCGAAAAAGTGGCGACCGAAATCGAATCGCGAAAACGACGGTCGCGCTTTAAAGATGCCATCTCCGCGAACCCGGGACCAATCCGGGGGCGATCGTCTCGCGAGGACTCGCCGCGGTTCCGGTTTCTCGGAAAGGCCGCATCGAAAGGCGGCGGACGACGGGGATCGGTAACGTCCAGGAGACCGAGTCGAGAGGTATCGATCATCGGCGTCTAGCGCCTCCCGATATGGCGTCCCCGAGGACTCGACCGCGGCAACCGGTTCATCTCCCGCGCTCTTTCGTCGCGACTTTGATAACGAGGCCATTTATTTCCACATCCACGAACGGAGGTGAGAGCGGCCATTTCCCCGAATCCCCGGCCCCCGAGGAACGATTCGCAAATTGATGAAACGTAGAAGTAGAATTTCCGGGGAGAAGCGCGAATCGACGTTTCCGCCGCGTCCGCCCGAGACCTCGATACCGCGAGGTCGGACGTCGCGGTTTCGCCTTTAACTTTATCGGTCGTTCCTCGGACGCGAAAGCGGCTTAACGGCTCGAGGAGCGCGAGGACGAGATTACGCCGCTCGTTAAGCGGCCGATTACGCGTCGATTTATTGGGCGGGCGTCGCGGTTTCCGCGCGTTCCTCGGCGGAAAGAGGAGGAGGAGATACCAACCCGACTTGACGGAGCAGTGTATGTGCGAGCGGGACTCGTAGTAGACCCAGTCGAATCCCGCCTCGACGGCCAGCCTGGCGAGCATCCCGTACTTGGAGCGGTCCCGGTCGCTGGTGGTCACGTCGACGGCGCGACCCTCGTAGTGCAGCGACTCGGGCGCGTGCTTCCCCTCCTCGTCCCAGCCCTCCGTCACTCTCAGCTTCACTCCCGGCCACTGGTTCATCACCGAGATCGCCAGGGTGTTGAGTCTCTCCTTGCACCTCTGCAACCGAATCGACAAGGCCTGCGGTTAGCGACCGGACCGATCGGCCCCGAGGAGGCGCGGGTCCGGGAAACCCGGGCCCCTCCGCGTCCATTTGCGAGCGGCGGAAAGGGAAGATCGAGAAGGTCGCGGAGGAGGGTCGGATCCCGGCCCACGAGTGGCGGAGCTCCGCCCCCGCCCCGGCCTCTCGTCCCGTTCCGCTCGTTTCGGGCCGCCGCCGGTCCCATTCACCGCTCGCGGCGCGGGGCCCGCGGGCGCCGACCGGACGCACTCGAGGACCTCTCCGGGGAGAAAGTCCGGAGGTCGAGCGGCTTTTCGCGGAAGCGCGACGCGGGGCCTTATCGGCCCTCGACGCCGCCGGCCGGGCCGCGTCGAGTGTTTGCGCAGCTCTCCGGAAGGCGGGAATCGATTTCTCCTTTAACGGAGGAGAGGCGCCTCGTCGGGCCCCGCGGAAGCGTCGGCAACGGCGAGGACGCGGGGGAAGGCCGGCGAGGCGGGTTTCCTGGAAGCCGATCGGCGAAACGAGTCGGACGGGTCGCGGCGCGTCGTCTCGATGTCTCCCCGGGTCGGGTTACATCCTTATTACGGGCCGGTCGCGGCGGTCGCGGCGGTCGCGATCGGAGTCGACGGGCCGCGAACTCCTTTTGTCCGTGGGAACGGATCGCGGCGCGCGGCGACGTCGCTCCCGGCGACGACGCGCCGTCGACGCGCCGTCGACGCGGATCGCGGCTCGCCTCGTCGCCCCGGAGATTCCGCCCCTCCTCCGCCGAGGTCGGAAGCGGCCGGGGAAAAGGTGGCGAGGCGGGATATCGCGTTCCGGATCGAGGATCGAGTTATTAGGATCCAAATGAATGTAAATCCCCTTAACACGATCCCCGGGCAAAACACGGCTACCCGGGCCGGGGCGGCCGAGGCGGCCGAGGTACCCCCGGGCGCGATCCTATCTCGAGCCCGAGAGCCGGACCGCCCGATCGATCATCCGGCCGATCGTTTAACGGCCGTCTCGGAGGAATCCGCCTTTTCCGGCGGGAAAAGTGCGCGCGTCGGAGTTACGAAACTTTATAGCGACGCTCCTCGTAAATGCCGCCGTAAATCCCGAGGCATAAGGCGAATTCGTCGAGGGCACCGTTAAGAAGACGAAGACGAAGAGGAGGCAGAGGCCGGGAAGAAAAGGAACGAGACGAGTCGGCGCGAGTCCGCTTCCCGATTCGATCTCCCGAGCTCGAGTCGCGAGCGGGAGGGACGCGTTTCCGGCGCGGCGGACTCGCGGATCTCGGCTTTTCGAGGTTTCCGTTCGTCTTTACGGCGAAGCTCCGCCTAATCTCTAATTTTACTCGCGACGTCGTCTACGGGGGTGGAGGCGCGAGAAAGAGGGTCCCCTTTGCGCGAATCGCGGACGTCGATCGACTCTCCCGATTCTCTCGGGATCTTGGAAGTCGAGGATCGTTAACGGACGGGAAACCTCGGTCGCGCCGACGCGACCGATTGGCCACTTTGAGGAGGCACTCGCGCCGCAAACGAGCACCCGGGAACGAAAGGACGCCGTAATGGATTCTAAGTGAGTAGCGTTTATTCCCGGGGTTTGTCGTCCATCCGAGGGTCCGTTTCTCGCCGCTCGTGCCGCGGTCTCTTCTCGGAAGCGCGTTACGCGAGCGCGTACGCGTCCGGAGGCGTCCGGAGGCGTCCAGAGGCGTCCGGAGGCGTCCGACACCCGAGACGCGGCGCGGAAGGTGCTAATAACTTTGATTTAACGCCGTTCGAGGCACACGCGGCCCGCGACGCCGAGCGTCCTCCCCTTCGCGCGACCGAGTCGCGTTTTCGCGGAAAGGCGCGTCGAAGCCGTCGGTCGAGAAAGAGAGGGGGAGAGAGAGAGGCCGATCCGACGGCGAGTCTAGCGCGCTCTTGGGAATCGGCGCGAGTAATTGCACGTGGGAGCGGCGCAAAAAGCGGACGAGCGGGGGCAATTAAGACGTCGCGGTCGCGCACGAGCGCGGCGATACGAGCCCGGTAATCGACGCCAGATACTAATTAATTGCCCGGATTAATCGGTCGTTAATTCCACCGTAAATCACGACCCGATGTAGGTAGCGACGAGCCGCTCGATCCGCGGGATTCGGCCGGCGCGGATCGCGATCGACTTCCGCCCGATTCGCGCCGGTCGAGGAGCGACTCGGCCGGAACGCGGCGAGAGCGATCCGCGACGGAAAATTAACGACGCTCCGTCGACCGCGGGTCGTCCGCGGAAGAAAATCGTCCGGGCCCGCGAAGTAGCTTTACTACCCGTTTAACTCGTCCCGCGAGTCAGCTAAATCATTCACTTCGGACGGAGAGCGCCACGCTAATTAGAGCTAATCACGGGAGGCCGGGGCGGGCCGTAAAACGATCGTTCGCACTTATCCGAGGAGAGTCGAACGCCGAGACTTCCGCCGGTCCGTCGATCCTCGGAAGCGCGGGCCGAGCGTTTCCGAGTCCCTCTCCGTCGGGACCCGTCCTCTGGAGGTATCGCCTCCGGGAGGTCTCGGGTGGGGGCGAGGGCCACTCCGCCGTCGCGAATAAAACCGAACGGGGCCGAAAGACCGCAACCACCTGTCGCGTCCGGACGCCCGACGCTCCCCGGTGGTTGCGCGAGGGGCATCTACCGTTAGCGCCCGTGGCCCGACCGGACGTCGACGACGGGGACGGCGCTTCCGGACGGCCGGAGAAGCCGGTTTCGGGAGGCACCGACCGCGTTATCGGGCCGCGAGGTGGGCAGAAGATGGGCAGGAGATCCCGGGAAGAGGCATCGGCCGGGCAAAGCGTTTAAGAGCGTTATCTCCTCGGCTATTAGTCTCTCTCGGTGTGTGGGCCCGGTCGGGTCCGGCCGAGCCCGAGCAAGGGTTAACTCGAGTAGCTCCCTATCTCCGTTAACCATCTCCTCGTCTGCCCTCGGTCCCCGGGGACCGGGGACCGGAGGAAGAAAAATCCCCGGGAAGATCGACCGCGGAGGTCGCGGCGTCTCCGCGTCCGTCCGAGCTTCCGTTTTCCGTCGCGCTCGATGGCGCCGCCGACGCGCCCTTCGCGAGAGAGGACGGTTTCCCGGCCGGGAGGGTCTCCCCGAGCACGCGCCTTTTCGAGCCGGTTTCCTAACCAGGTTGAATTTACACCGTTTGGACGGCCGCCGAGAGGGGAGGCGAGGAAAGGCCCGCGCTCGGTTTTTGCCAGGCCGTCGAGGCAACGATAAAGCCAGGGGCCGTAATGGCCGCCGTAAAACCTTACGACGATAGTAACGCGATCATGACGAATATAATAGCGTTTCTCATTCGGATCCTTCGGGGTCTTCCTTCTTCCTTCCCCGCGCCGATCGGGAATTCCTCGCGGGAAAATTCCGGAATTCCTTTCCGCCCTTCGCCGCCGACGCCCCGACTCGCTCGCGATTCTCCACGGACGGGCGGAGCTCCCGATAAAACGCGTCCGGGCGTTCGAAATGTTTGCGGGGCCCGATCGGTCCCGCTCCGGGGGGCCCTTTCTCGGGCCCCGAAAGAAAAGGCCCCTCGACTGCCGTTTACGGGGAACCGCCCTTCCCGATGCTTTGACTTCTTCGACGGCTCGCCGTTTTCGACTTTGCCTTTCTTTCGAGGGAGAGGAAAGGGTCCTCGACGGATTCGAGTCGCTTCCGATTTTCCGGCGTCGCGGAGGCGCGAGTTATGTTTCCGCCTCCGCGGTCGCGTCCTCCGGGCGTCCGTCGCGTCTCCTTTCTCCACGGAGGATTTTCCCGGTCCTTTTCCTCGGATGCGTCGAAGCGTTTCAAATATTTGTCCGGGCCGATTAGTCGCGCAGCACGGAAGGGTCGAGGAATTGTCGGGAATCGGCGGAAAGAAGCGAGGGACGCCCCGAACGGTCCCGGGAGAGAAGTCGGACGCGTTTAGGGGAGCGGGCCGTGAAGAGCCGAACTAAAGGAGACACGGCCGCGATCGGTCACGCCGGGGCCGGGACCGTCCCGGCCCGCAAACGCGGCCTTTCGACGCGATTACGTGCTCCGCGGTGTCGCCATTGTTTTTTCCGTGGCTAATCGGGCCCGGCCGGTGATTTACTGGCCCGTTTTGGCAATGTCGGTCAACGGAGTCTCCGGGGGGCGACGAGGCCGCAAACGGAAGCCCGCCTCCGGCGCAAACGGCCCTCGCTCCTTTTCCGCCTTACGTGGAAGTCGACCGGGGCGCCCTAAATCTCCTCGGGACGGCGCTCCTTTCGGCCCACCTGGCGACGCGTCGCTCGAGTTTCCCGGCCCGAGGATTCGAAGCGATCGATAAAAGCGTCGCTTTGGCGCTCCACGGCGCGAGGGCTCCGAAAAAGAAAAAACCGCCCCTTCGAGCGGGAGTCCGCGAGAGGGAAAAGGGCGAGAAGCGCCCTCGCTCGAAAATAAAATTCCCGGCGCGAGACGTCGAATCGATCGGGCCGCGCTCGATTTTCCGATCGAAGAAACGGCAAACGGAGAGCGAAGAGGGGAAAGGGCCGGGGAGGGCGAGAGGGGCGAGGGGCCCGAGCTTCCGGCCGATCGTCTCGTTAGCGTCATCGTGTTTCCACCGGGCGAACGATAACCGCTCGTTAACGGCGATTAAACGGCGAGCTAAACATCCACCGCGCGAGACGAAACAATTTCGCGGCCGGTGAGGCTCGATTAAAATAAACAAGGTGGCGGGCACGATGCCGCGCGCGTATCGCGGAATTCCGTCGGAGAGGCGGCCCGACGAACAAAGGGGGATTCCGTCGCGCGAGATTCGGAGACCACTCGGTTCGCGCTCGACGCCGACGGACAAAGAGGCGTCCCTCCGCGGCGGCGCGAGCCGTGAGAGCGCGGTCGTTGCATGCCAGGGTCGGGATCTTAATAAGGTGGAAAGAGTACTTTCGTTCCCGCGGGGTACGCGAGCCGCTCGGGGCGGACCGGCCGCCGGAGGGGCGGAGGGCGGCGGAGTTCGCACCTCGCGCCTTGAAAAGCGCCTTCGTTTCTTCCTCTTCTTCTTCGTGTTTGCCCGCCTCGTTAACGCCTCGCGGCCGAGGCCGGGCCCGGATCCGCGTCCTCGCGCCGCCGTCAAAGAGGGCCTTTCTTCCCGAATCGCCGAGGCCGAGCCTTTGTCGCGAGAACCCTCCGACCTGGACGCGTTTCCGCCGAGCACCGGCTCTCGGCCGGGAGCGGCGAGCGGAGGAGAGGAACCCGTCGAATCGGTGCGCGGACCGGAGGAGGCGACGAGAGACACGGAAGGAACAAGAAAACCATTAACAGCCGCCGTCGCGCCGACAAGAAGTTTAATTAATTGCCGAGGTTCCGGAGACGGGCCGGAATCCCGGCCGGCCCGCGGCCGGTGACGTTCCACATTAGGCCGATAAATAAAGGGCGGCCGGGGGCGGATTTTTCGCGGGCTGGCCTCCTCCGAGAATTCCCGAGGAATCCGTCGTCGAAAGTCGCTCCTCCGTCCCGCGAAAAATACGGCCGGTTTTTAGAAACGCGCCGCCGGTTCGGGCTCGCCGCCGCCATGTTGGATCGCGCCGCGCCCGCTCGATTGGCCCGAGACCGATCGACGCCGACCAATCGGAACGGGCTCGATCGAGCGATTCTCCGCCGCCCCGGGTTCCTCGAAGCCGCGATTCCGCGGGCCGAGGCCCTCGACGGACGGCGCGACGTCTTCTGACGTTTCGATCCGGGCGGAAAGTTGGCAACCCCGGGACCGCAGAACCAGTCGGCGAAGCGGAAGAGGAGGAGAACGAGGGAGAAGAGGACCGCCGCGCTCGGATCGAAGATGGTGGGAAAGGTCGAGAGGAAAAAGGACGGAGGCGAAGGCGGAGGGCGATCGGGAAGAAGAGGGAAAACGACCAAGAGAGAGCGAGAGAGAGAGTCGAGGGAAGCGGTTGGTTGCCGCCCCATTAATTAGGTACCCCCTTCCGCCTCGCTTCGTCCCCCGACCCATCGGGGACGCAGCCATTCACGGCTCGGTACCTTGGATCTCGTCTCGGTCCGCTCCGGCTCTTTCCCGAATCCCGAGGATTTTCGCCTCGACCGGTGGAAGCCCGGAGACTCGAACGCCGGGGCGAGCGCGGTCCGCGCGCGGTCCGCGCGCGGCGTTCGAGTCTCCGTCCCGCGGCCGTTTCGGCGCGGCGAGTCGCGAGTCGAGGATAGCGGTAAATCGGCCAGGTTCAAACGGACGAGCCGTCCTTTCGGGCCGGCGAAAAACGCGACCCGCGCCCGGCCGGGGAAGCCATTGTTCGCGCTATGGAAATCGATCGAACGTATTTGAATAAACTCGTCGCTCGCCGCGCGTTTCCGCCGTCGACGGGCCGTCGGGACCGCCCGACGAAGGTTGGGTTCCGAGACGGGTGGACGCGAAAGCGCTGAAAATTCCGCTCGGTCGGGTCGAGGCGGCCTAACGAGGAGGAGAAAGGATCGCTCCGGAGAGGACGCGGTCGCGAAACGTCCGTGTAACGAGAATAATGGTACCGGGCTCGAGGATGTCTGGACTCTACCCGAGCACGCGTATCGGACGCGCCGCCTCGGACCATAATGCATTCTAACGGATACGACATTACGTTCTCGTGCGGCCCGCGAGCGCCGACTCCCCTCACAATGCACAATGGAATCCCATGCATTATACGGTTATTTATTTATCGAGTACCACCGCGCTGCGCCGCTCGTATTTAAATCGCTAACAAGTCCCGCCGATTGGGCCCCCGGTCTCCTCCGCCGACGGGCCCGGTCGGAAAAACGTCCAAGACGAAAACGCTCCGCTTTTCCTCCCCGCGACGCCAAAGTCGGGCGGGATTCCGGCTGGACGGAAATCGGCCCCGGGGCGCTCGAGCGTCCTTCGAGCGGGTTTGGGTTACAGGGTCGAGCCCGTCGCCGGGGTTAAGGACGAGGCGCGCGTGGGCTCTCCTGCTCCCGAGGAGGAGGGCCCCGCCGGTCGAAGGGCCGCTCGTTCGCGCAACTTATGAATACGAATGCGCACGGAAATCTAATTGGGTCGTAAGATCGACTCGTTAAGGAGGAGGCGCGATCGCGGATCCATCTCGTTTAACGACCGACTCCTTTTCGCTCCTTCTCGACCCTCTCGCCTCGCCCCGCCTCGCCCCGCCTCGCCTCGCCCGAGTCGACGTCGCCCGAGAGGAGTCCGAGGACGTCCTTTTGTCGGGATAAAGACGTATCGGATTTCCCTTCGTTTAATTTGCCTCCTCGGCCAGTTCATAAAACCATCGACCGACGACGAGACGGGTCGAAGCGCCCGAACGTTAACGAGGAAACGTCCATAAAAATGACGGAAGAGCGGGACGAGAAAAGATTTTACGGTCGCCGCGACGCGGAGTCTCGAAATCCTCCGTCCCGTCGACGGTCGCCGATCGTCCGCGAGCCGAGGGATGCAAACGAGGGAGAGGGACGGCGCTCGGTCTCTCTCGCTCCTCGGCAGGGAAGCCGAAGGAGGGAAGAGGGAGCGGGCCCGGGATCCTTTCCCACGTCGCGCCGGTCAGCGCCGGTCAGCGCCGACCTCAAACCGGTCATCGGATCCCGGGCTCCTCGAGGAAGGAAGTGGTCGCGCGGATCACTTTACGGCTCCGCCGGCCGCCCCGGCACCCTCGCCGACGTTTCCCGGGCCCGTCCGCGGCGATCCCCGAGGAGGAATTTCTCGGCGTTCCGAGAAGACGAGGAGAAAAGTATCGGCCAAGGGTTCGATCGCTCGATGCGCCGCGCCGGGAGGCAACCGCGGGCTCCTCTTCTCTCTCCTTCCCTCCGCGCCTCCTTCTCGAGGTACCGAGCGGCCGGAGGGGTCGAGGGCGGAGGGAACGGCGCGGGCGCGAGGAGAGAAAGAGCCGGTCCGCCATAGACGAGCCGCGCCGTGACGTTCTTCCGACCCGTTTGACCCCGCGCGCACTTCTCACCGTGCATTATGGCGGCCGCTCGAGGCCCTCGGCCCTTCCTCTGCCCTTCCTTCGCCCTTTCCCGAGAGTCCAGGACCGCCATTTTGGCGAACCGCCTCCCGCCGACCGCGAGACGCCTCGGCCGGCCTTGATTAGCGGCCGAGCGGGCCCCGTTAGACAAAGGAGTCGCGGTCTCCTGCGGCCCGGGCCGGACCCGAAACGAGGGCGAGTCGTCGAGGAGGTGAGAGCTCCCCTGGACTTTCATAAATCTCGGCCGGGCGTCGGGGCTTATTAAAATTTATGGAAAGGAAAAATTTCGCTCCGCGTTTCGCGGCCGAAACGAAGCGATCCGGCGCGGCTCGCTCTTCATCCGACCGACGGCCGAGGACGAGGCGAGGAGCGAAAGCGCGACCGGATCTCTCGAGATCGATTCCTCCTCGCCCGTCCCGCGCGGGGTCGATCGGGGTCGCGCTCGCCCGCCTTCCGGAACGATCGCTCGAAACGAGCCGAGCAGGTACGATCGACGCGCCCGAGACCGGCAATCTCCGGAGCGCGGCGATAGTCTCGAATTACCGCGGCCATCTCGGGTGCCGACAACGACCGATCCTTTGTCCCGCTGGGCGACCGGTACCTATTCCCGACTTTTCCCCATCAGCTGGCCGGGCGATAACGAACGTGTCATCGACTCGTCGCGGTTACGGGGCCGCCGGTGTCCCCGGTGTCCCCGGTGTCCCCGGTGTCCCCGGTGTCCCCGGTGTCCCCGGTGTCACCGGTGTCACCGGTGTCGAGTGGCGCCACGTGCTCCCGAGGCGGCCTTTCCGGAGGTCCGGAGGAGAGGGCGAGGAGGGACTCCGCGAGGCCCACGCACTCGGGGGCGACGGGCGCGTGCCTCTTATCGGCGAGCCAATCGTAATCCGCGGAGGACTCGTACGCCTCGAGTACGACGTCGTAAACCCTCTTTACACCTGTCCCGGTTGGACTTTATCGCGACCTCGTATCCGACGACGCGCGACCCGTTTTCGGTGGTCCGCTTTGGCCCCCGGAAACGCCCGGAGGGGGCGCGACGACCGCGCGGCGGGGAACCGAAAGGCGTCAACGAAGGGGGAAAGGACGAAACCATTAACTCTATTTACCGTAATTGGAGGAGCTTTAACGCGCCAAACCAAACACCGGTTATGGCCGCCATAAACCTACCCGCAATCACTTAGAGCGCGGTGCGCTTTTTCCCTCCGTTCGTTCCACGGTGCCCTCCTCGGCCGACTCGCCCGCTCCGCGCCGCCTCCCTCCTCCGCGGCCGCTTCCCGCGCGAGTTTCTTGCGCGTTCCGGCCGCGTCGACTGACCTGAGTCATGAGGCGGTCGGCGCCGGTGCCCTCCTCGTCCTTGAAGACGATGTCCGAGTTGTAGTTGGGCACGAGGTCGCGGAACCTGGAGTCGTGCCTGGAGACGCGGCCCAGGCTGCGGCCGCTCGCCGGGATGGTGTTCTCGCTGACGTTGGGCACGTGCTGCTTGAAGACGAGGGGCGTGAGCTTGCGCAGGGTGGGCCTGCGGCCTCCGCCCCTGCCGGGGCCGCAGGCCAGGGCGAGGCCCGAGTCCAGGAGGGGCATCCAGAAGTGCAGCAGCACCAGCGGCACCCAGAGGAGGGCGCGCGCCCTCCGGTGGTGAGGACTGCCCCGGGCCGCCTGCGGCGGGCGCACCATGCTCACCGGGGCGCTATCTTGGCCGCGTATCGCCCCGGACCGGGGTCACTCCGCGCGGAACTCGCGGGGGCATCACCGGTCCCGGACCGGCCCTACATCACCGCGCGGCCCGCGCCGCCCGCACTCTCGAGCACCCTCGAGCACCCTCGAGCACCCTCGAGCACTCCCGAGCCCTCTCGAGCACCCTGACCGGACGGAAGTCTCCGCTGCCGAAGCGCGCACCGACTCGCCGCTGGACCGACTCGGACACGTTTTCCGGACGACCCGGAGGTGGGAAATGTCCGATGGCTTCGGCGTTTCTCCGAGGGGCCCGGGCCTCTCGGTCCTCTCGCTCCCCCTCGGCGCTCTCTCTCGGGCGCCCTCTCCTCGCGGGTCGCGGTCGCCGCCCCCTCCCCCGGCGCCCGAGGCGACGTCACGGGGCCGGGAGGCCGTCCATTGGTCTGGGCGGGGCGAGCCAGGTAGAGGAGGACAGGTGCGCGAGAGGGCCCCGGGACCCGGGACCCGGGCACCTTTCTCCTCTCCCTTCCGAGCGCTCGCGCCACTCCCGCCCGCCCCCCTCCGAGGTCCGTCCTCCGGCCGACTCGGTCAAGGGGCGCCGCTATCGGCCACGGTGGAACCGTGGAACCGTGGAACCGTGGAACCTCTTATCGCGCTCCGTGCTTTCCCGAGATTCCGATTTCGGCGATCTCGACGTTGACTCCTTATCGCCCCCACCTCGGCCGGGCGAAGAGCAGCCGCATCGGTATCGAGCCGCGCGCGGACTGATACCGCGAGGTTCCGCTCGGCGGAAGCCCGGTGCCGAGTCCCCGCCAACCCCGATAACGACGCCTTGCCGAAAGCGACGGGGGGCTCGTACATTGTAAACGGGAGAGTTCTCGGGAACGCGGCTCGCTATCGGACGGTTATCGTCCCTCGGGAGCCCCACCGATTCCCGGTCTCTCTCTCCCTCCGATTCGACCGAGGCGTCGTCGAGACGGCGCCGAGGTCGCGCCGGGTCGCCGCGGTCCCCGGGTCGGTAACCCGACCCCGAAGGTAGGGCCCCGCCGCGGCGCGTAATGGACGGGGCAAATATTTATCATTGGCCGCGTAATTTAAGGTGCGTTTAGCAAACGGAAGACGCGAGGGAAAACAAACAAGACCGGCGGGGGGAGGATGGGCAGGCGAGAGAACGAACCCGCCGCGGAGGAGGGAACGGGGGACCGGGGGGAGCGGCAGGGGCCCGGGAGAAAGAGAGAGAGAGGGAGAGCGCGGCTCAAAGGGGCCGCCGCGCGGGGCCCGGAGTGCCCTGTGAGAAGGCACAAACCCCAATAATAGCACCAGAATTTATATACCTGCACGGACTCGGTGGAGCGGCTCGCGTAGAGGGCCCGGGCCAGGGCCGGCCGCGCGCCGGGCCCGGCGCGGGCCCGCGGCGCCGTCCGGCCGTCCGGCCGTCCCGGGCCCGAGGAAACTCCGCCGATTTTACTCCCGTCCCGACGAACAAAGGCCGCCGCGGTCGAACGAACGTCGATCTCGAGGCGATTCCCGACGATTCCCGACGATTCCCGACGAACCCTCGCGAGCCGGGGACGCGCGCGTCCGGTCGGGGGCGGGTCGGGGCTGGGGGGAAAGTGACTCACGGAAAGAACGGGGAATCGGCCCGGCGAGCGGTGGCATCCTAGACGGCACTGCGGGCGGCGGTCGGGCCGAGATGCGAGAGGGACAGGGAGAGGGAAGGTGCCGGTCCGTGGGGCAGAGGGAACCATCCATCACTCGAGTCTCAAAGCCGTATCCAGTGACCGAGGCCGCCGCGGTCTCGTAGGCTGTCGAGCTACGACCAAATATTGTGAAAGGTCCAGAAAAGGTAGAAACGTAAAATAAATTCGGGTCCGACGCCAGGGGCGCCGCCCGTGGACGCGCCCGGGACGCCTCTTTGAGATGCCGGCTCCCCTCCCGAGGTGGAACCGTTTACGTTTTCCCCGCGAAAATGCGCTTCCCGACCCGTCTTCTCTCCTCGTCGGACGCGGATGAAACGAACCCGCCCGAGAAGGATCCCCGTTTTCCGAAAAGGACGAATCGCCTCGCCGGTTCGATAAGAAACTCGGGATCGTCCGGTCGTCGGGCTCGCGACGGGAGCGAGGAGGTCGGGGAGAGAGAGCGAGAGAGAGAGAGAGAGAGGGAGGGACGGGGGCCCGAACCTTCGCATTTATTTTGAATCCAAAGAAACGAGCTCCCGCCTCTACAAGGCGCTCGGTAAAATAAAAGCCACGTCCCCTCGGAGATACCGCAACGGTCGCGATCCGCGGTTCGGATCCCCGGAGATAAGCGAGCGGCTTAACGTCTGCACGCGAGGACGCGATTTATGGGCCGGTCGGCGGGAGATTCGAACGGGTGTCCCCGGGTGCGATCTCCGAACGGGCCGATCGCGAAACGGGCGGTGGGGGGCGGCGAGTCTCCCCGAGGTATCGCGGCTCGTACGTTAGCACGTGGCCGCGCGGCGCGAAGGAAATCGAGAGCCGAGGAGCGAAAAAGGAGAGGAACTCTGGCGCGAGGGGGCGCGAGGGGCGCGAGGGGCGCGAGGGGGCGCGAGGGGCGGTGGGGAGCGGGGCCGACCGGGCCGGCGGGCCCCGACGGGTCCCGGCGGCCGGGAACGCACGGGGCACGCACGCACGTAGAGCGGAGGCTCGCAGCCGAGGAGGACCACACAGGACGCGGCACGCGCGCGCTCTACCGGGTGGCCGGCGCACGTCCGCCTCGGCCGCCTCCGCCGGCGCTCGGGTGCGCTCGGCTCGCCCCGCCGCTCGACACGGTCGAGGCCACACAGCGCGCGCACGCGCGAACGCTTCCTGGGTGGCATTCACCGGGCGAGCGGGCCGCCGAGCGAAGGTAGCTTCGCGGGCCACTCTACAACCTGTTAGTGTCGGGCATCCTCGTATTATGCCTCGTTCTCCCGGCCCCTCTCTCTCGCTCCCTCCGGGCCCCGACCCCCGACCCGGCCCATGGCGCGGCCCGGCGCGGCCCGTCGCGGCCTTCTAATAAGATTCCAATTTGTCAATTAGGGGGAGGACGGGCCCCCTGACACCTGACTCGATTTCTCCGGCGCGACACTCCGATCTCTCCGAGCTCGATTTCGGAAGGGGCCGCGCTCGCGAGACCGTGGGAAACGGCGGCGCCGCCGGCCCGAGGGGCTTCGGGCCCCCGAAGGTCCCGGACGGGGAGAAAGTGACGAGAAATCGTCGCGCGATTTATTCGTGGGGCCCGTCGTAAACTCGGGACCATATCGGAGGAATTTCGTTCGGTGGATCCGGCCCCCGCAGTTTTTCCGAATTTCCCGGAGGCTCGCCCGGAGGGGACGGACTCTCGGCCGGTCGCGGCCGGTCGCGGCCGGTCGCGGCCATCGAGGTTAATCTCTTATCCCGCTCGATGCGGTTAACCGCGAGTCTCGCGAGTCTCGTTTTATTACGTGTCGTATACAACGTCGTTACATAGTTGCCGGAGGTACGGCCGGAGTAATAAGGTCGTAAGGTACGGTCGAGCCCGGCAACGGGGCCGGCGGATCTCCGCCGGGGCGGCTCGCGCCGTCAATGGAGGCGACGTTAGGCGCTGGAAGTCGCGGCGGGGAGAGGCGGAATCCGCGGAGGCGCGACCGCGGCCGAGTCTCGCGGCCGCTCGTAAAGGTTCGCCCGGGCCGCGAACGTCTTCGAATTAGCGATAAAGCAACGATAAAGCGGCGATAAAGCAGCGATTCCGCCGCTCGGCGGCGTCGGGGCGCCCCGGCTCGCATCGGCTGCTCGTTTTTTGTTTACTCACCCGCGAACTGGTTTTGCGATGCGCGGCCCCGGCAGCGGCCGGGCCGCGGCTATTTCGGGGTACGCAAATACCGCGGCCGGGTGCGCGGCCCGGGACTCCCGGGAGTCCCGGGACTCCCGGGACTCCCGTGACTCCCGAGACTCCCGGAGGACTCGAGCGCGGCCGCGATCCGGGTCCGCGCGGAGACAAAGGAATGCCTCCTCCCGCCCCGGCCCCGCCGGCGCGCACGGCGGGTCCGCGGCGGAACGAGGGAACCGGGGAACCGGGCAACCGGGGAACCGACGGCAGCCCGGCCCCGGCCCGGCCCCGGCCCGCAGAAGAATAAGAGGAGCGGACCGGAGGAATAGGCCATTCCACTTATACGCTGCTCGGATTCAATTAACTCTCCACCTTCCCTCCTTCTCATCTCGCGGCGAGGCGGCGGGCCCACCTACCTATACACGGGGTGTCTCGCGCGACTCGCCCGATTCGGGGAACTCTCCGCGAGCGGACCGGGAAACGGCCCCCGGGGCTCCGGCGGGTCGCTCCGCGTTACGTGACAAAGTTGCCGGCGGGGGTCCTTGGATGGAGGGAGGCCGAGTCGATCCTTCGTTCCGGTCCGACGCGCCCGGACTCGCCTCGGGCGCCTCGGGCGAATCGGGCGAATCCTCGATTCGCCGCCGGCCCGCGGCTTATCGAGGGCCGACGCGCGAGGCGCTCGTAAAGATAAGCGAGCGCCGCCGACGGAACCGCGACGATCTCGTCGCTCGCCCGACCCGACGACGCGACGCGGCCCCGACCGGGATAAAAGGGGAATCGTCGAATCTCTCGCGCCTCGCGCCACCGTTCGCAAGATGGCGGCGCCCCTTCGTGGGAACCCTGCCGTCCGCTCGCGATCGCCGACGAGAAGTCGCTCTACGACGGCGCTCTTCCACCGGAAGGAGTCAAAGTCTAGCCGGAACCCGATCCCGACGGAGCCTCTCGTCCGAACCCCGGGCGCAGCTCCTCGGAGGAGGCCCGAAGAGACCGCCCGGCTCGGACCGAAGCGTCGAGTGCCACTCGGGGAAGGGGCCCGACGAAGGGGATCGGCGGCGGGTCGGCAGTGGCGGATAAATTTTGGGTATTTTCGCGAGTCGTTGGGCCTCGGCTCGGCTTGTCGCCCTCTCGCTGGTGGGAAGGATGCCTCGAGGCTCGAGCGCAGCCTCTCCTCTCTCTCTCTCTCTCTCTCTTTGGTTTCCCACGAGAACCACCGCCGCCGCCGCCTTCTGGAATGTCGCTCTCCCCGCCGGTCCCCTCGGGCCCCCCGCGGCCCCCCCGCGGTCCCCCTTTCCGATTCTCCCTCTCGCTCTCTCTCTCTCTCTTCCTCCCGCCCCCTCCCGGGGCCCCGAAGAACAAGCGCTCCCCCTTTCGATACTTAACGGGGTGCACGGGAGAGAATATACCTACGCTGAATCTTCGCGGAGGGGGCCGGGGGGCCGGAAAGATGGACCAACGCCAAAGTGGTATTACGTCGTCGCGACCCGTGGTTCCTAGCTCGAATTCGACCCCGAAACGGTGCTCGCGGGTCGTCGTCGGGGCAACGGACGTTGCGCCCCTCCGAGAGACCGCGAGGACGACGAAGGACGGATTAAAATGGTGTCGGGATATAACCTTAGATATACGCCTTTTCCATCCGGGGAGGGACCCGTCGTTTCGGTTCTTTTTGGAATGCCGCCCAACCTAGAAGTCGGCGGACCAAAGAGCCGCGCCGGAAGGAGGACGGTCCCGAAAGGATTCGGGGAAAGCGGACGGCTCGAATCGCGGGTAGATTCGGGGACGCGGTTTCAAGGACCGATTCCGCGAGGAACGGAGGCCCTCGGCGCCGGGGGAACCGCGGAGGGTTCCAGGCGGTCCGAGAACGTTCGAGAGCGTTCCTCCTCCTCGCGGGGTCGCGTCGCTCGATAAAATCGAATCGCCCGGGCACCGCTCGATGCGCGAGCACGAGTACGGGTATCGCGTCGTAAGTTGCCGTATCCGGATAATTCCCAAGATTGCCGGAACGTTCCTGCGAGCGGTGCGTCGCAGGACTTCGATCTAATTGCCACTTAACCGCTGATACGAAAATATTGTTCGAGCCCCGCTCCATTGTGTGTCGTTTCTTTTGTAAACTCAAATCCGGCCTCCCATTACACGTCTGGCTAACAATAATGGTGGTTTACACTTTGCTACCTATGTTTGCCCCACACACTCGTAATAAGATGGGAAGCTCATGCGTGATCGCGCGACGGTGTGAGTGGATCGCGTGCATACCGGGTGTCCCGGTTTCGACCACGCCACCCTATTTAAGATGTCCCCCGTTCTCGACGTATTCTCGGAGCGTTTAAATTCCCGCCTGATCCCTCCGCGACGAATAGGCGGAAGCGGTCTTCCCCTCGGACCGGACGCTCCGGTCGAACCGTCTCGTCGCCTCTCGAGAGGGAGTCGAGGACGATCGCGCGAAAGACGCCTCGGCGAAGGACCAAAATTTGGGTAGCGTCACCCGATGTGCAGCGTGTTGTCGCTCGGACCAGCCCAGACGTAACACGAGACCAGCCGTACGAGGCGACCGGCCACTTATAATGCCCGGTACCCGAGCACCCCGGCAAGGAAGACGCCGACGTAACCCTCGCCTCCGGTGACCAGGCTCCGCGACGACCCGGTGACTAACGGCGTGACCAACGCCTATTAGCGCCGGTGACATCGACGCGACCATCGACGCAAAAGTCGACTCCGAATGCGGCGGGTTTCCTTCGCGATCGGACGATCGCGCGCCCACTCGACGTTATCGGTTTTCTATCTTTTCCCGACCGAATGACTCGCGGCTTCGGAATTCTGACCTCGCTGATACGGAACGTCCGCGATATTTCGTACCGCTGAATCGCGCGTATTTCTTAACGGGGACATTTTTTTTCCTGTGGTCAAAATACTCGCGATAACGCCCAGCCTCGATAAGGCGGATTTAATCGATTCGAGCGAGCACCACTGACTACGCGACGCCTATCCGAGAAGTATTCGTCATTTCCTTTTCCTACCTGTCTATTGGTCCAATGGCCGGAGTCGTATATTGGTTTTAACGTAAATCGTGGTGGTTACGCGAAAATGAAGGGTGTGAAAAATTAACAGCAGGTGTAAATCTACATCGCATACCTGGAGCACGTTGGACGTGCATTTGAGGCGAAGCACCTCTGCCGGATCGATGAAAGGTGCTGCCCTCTTCCTACCCGCGTTCGAGTCAGGTAACGACCGGGTCTGGTCGGAAACGCAGAGCGCTGTCGAGAATATCGATTACGACCTCGATGTCGATAACGTCAACGCGTTAGTTACGTGTACACCATAAAATTCGCCGGTAGAAAATATAATAACGCGCTCCGAAAGAATTAAATATCCGAGGTGCAAGGTAAGTCCTGGTTCCCGGACAACCCAGAAGGTTGCGCCCCGTGCGCCTTCGTTGGCGACTCCACGTAAACTCGTTTCGACCACTTTATCCATTTTCCTTCCCGCTTCGCAGTCGGTAAAACCTGCGAGCTCTATTTTTACCAATAGAGCAGACTGTCGGATCCGGCGTCCATTTTTTTTTTAAATCCGTGCAGCCGGGATGAAACGCACGGTCTTTGCAGGTATAGAAAAGCCTAGACGTGTTTTACTTGCAGAAAGTACACGGTACAATAATTACACGATAAAACGATACGAACAAGTGTTACAAAAATGAGAGTGGCTGGACGAGGCGGACTTCCGATGCCCGATGAGTGATGGAGAACCGAAGACGTAGGGACGCGGCGGTGCCTTTAAGCCTTCTTCTTGGTCTTCCTTGCGGATTTCGCGCTCGTGGGGGTCTTCTTGGTCGACTTCTCCGCCTTCTTGGCATATTTATCGATCAGAGAATCGAAGAAGCTGTTCGCCTGCTCCTCCCGGGCTTTGTTGCGATTTTGGATCGCCAGGGCAAGATCGTTCTCGGCTGCGTTCTCTTCGTTTTCGATCTTCGCCATCTTGTTCAGATTTTCGGCCTCGGCTTCCTCTTTGGCCCACTGAAACGTTACATATTTTTTTTTTCAATTATCGTCAAAATATATTTTCTTAATCTAGAGATAATTCTTAAGCGTCGAAATACAAATGCTCTCCAGGAAACATTTAGCTATACATTTTCCCCGAAATCTCTGTAGACGTTCTCGTTACGCGTAATACCGGTTACCGGCACTCGAGAACAGGACCCTAACTCGAAGGCAATGCTTTCTATTTCCACAGCGTGCCGCGAGCCCATTCTCGAGATTATTTGAACGTCAAGTGCACGCACATGGGAGGAAACGAGCGGCGTGTACAAGCTTTGGAGTTAAAATTAATGGAAGGCCGTCGAATCTGCGTATGTTTATCGAGCGGGAGCATCCGCTCGGTGCAACGAGGCGCGTTCACCTCTCCATCGTGAATTTTGCGAAACCCTATTAAATATTATGTGGATTTTCCATCGCAATGACTCGGGTAGCGGAAAGCGTTGCGCTGCTCCAAAACGGCGCGTCGTCTCTTTTCGTAATCGGCGAGTCTTATTTTTTTTTTCCTCCGAAAAGGAAGGTAAAGAGGGTAAAGAGTTCTAGGCAAGTCGGTCAAGCCGGAAATATGTCGGAACGCGCTCACGGGCAACGTCGAGACGCCCCATTTCGGCGTCCGTGGAACCGCAACGAAATCCGGAGTCTTGCGAATTCCGATATTTATAATTCTGGCAAGGTTCCCAAAACGGTGGCCCAACAACGACCGGTGGCGTAACCGGCACGCGTAATCGCATTCATGCTCGCACGGTAGACGGTAGACGGAGTTTCGGCGAGCAGACGGCATCCGTTGTCTCCGAGAGGGTGAAGATCACCGACAGAAGGGAAGGGTTCTCCGCAAAGACGTACCGGAGACGCGTTAAGGTCGAAACGAAGGAATTATTCTCTTTTATCGCCGTATCGCGCGAGATTAAATCTCGCCTCGCTCCGTCTCGATCGTTGCTCGCGTCGAGAGAAAGACCTTGTACCAATTGTCAACGAGGTAATTTCTCGCGGAAAAAAAAAATTGTTTCCAAAGGGAGATCACTTCGTAGCCCCGCTCGCCGATAAGGCCGTTTAAGACAATTTCACCTAGGATCCGGTTTTCCGTAATTCAAGAAATTCCGGGTAAGAGCGCGACTCGCCGGCTAATATTCCCGTCACGTAGCGCAAAAGTAAACGTAACGAAGCGAAAGCGCAGGAAGGGTGAGTGACTCGAAGGAATGCCGCGCCGAGGGGAAGTGCCATTTGACTCGAGTAATTCGGCTGTAAAACATCGGCTGAAAAGTGAAAATCATCGGGGCCGAGTGTTTTACGAGGGCCGGGCCAGCGAAGCGCGAGAACGCAAAGCAAGATCGGGACGGGAGCCGATGAAACGTTTTAGGAAAATCGTTGCGCCTACTTGTTTGCTCTTCCCTTTCGTGACTTACGAGCCGAGGTTTCGTAGGAATTTACGGCCGCGCCGATCAAAGTCAGCGGGAGTCTTTCGCCCTCGGACTTTCCGCGCGCGACGCGTTTTTCCTCGAGACCGGCCGCGACCCTCGGTCCGGAAATTGGAACGAATTTCAAGAATGCACGTCCCTCGGCGATCCGCGCGTTCGCGCGCCGAGTCATCGCCGCGGAATTCAGAGCGAATCGCGTTTAACCGCGACCCCCGGTATGGACCGGAGCGCGCTCGCGGCTCGCCGCATAGGAGTATAGGGCTTCCATTGTGAGGAGAGATTCCACGATTAACCGGGAATTAACGTAAAGCTCCGGGCGAACCAATCCTAGGCGGAGATCGGTATCGACTCCGGATATTTCGAAATCGGGTCGTGCCGCCGCGATAAGAGGATGCGACGAGGAAACGGCGATAAGGGTAAGCGGGTGCCGGGCAGGACCGACCGGGTCCGTTGGACGAAATCGGGCCAGCCGAGGCAGCGGCTCCGATCGCGTCTCGGCGAACTTGACTCCATAAACTTGTCGCCTGTCCCGGTTCCCGGTTCCGGCGGTTTATATCTGGCCGCGTCCCCGGGCCCGGGAACCGCACTCGCGCGAAGGTCGTCGTATAATTGCGCGCACTGCCTGCTCGCACGGCATCGGTAATTATGTCATTAGCGCGCGGATGTAACGCGACCCTCGTCAATTGCTATCGCTTTTAAAAACTGCAGCGTTACGCACGGCGAGCGCGACCCGCAACTGGCCCCGATTAAGAGCTGTGCGGGAAAATCCTTTCGCACCGCCGACGCTCATCGTCCACCCACGCGGAACGAGGCCTTCCTCGAGCGCCCGAATCGACGACGCCCCCCAACGTCCCGATGAAGTCAATTTTTTTTTTTCGGCGTTCCTCGCTCACGCCACGTATCGAAAACGATAAGATAGAAGGCCCTTCCAAGGCATCGGTACCTACTCGTCGAGTTCACGGGCCTAAGGCGCGCCTAGCAGAGGACGGAATCGAGCACTCGAGTTCGTTCGTCGTTCGATTGGCGTCGATCAAAAAATATCGTCAACGTTGTCCGCGATGCGAGGCGAAAATAAGTCTCTTTTCTGCGTCTACGGCGTCGCCTCTGCGCCGATAGCGACGATCGCCGCTAATCGTCGATGCCGCGCACCGTTCACCATTTTCTAGAGTCCTATCGTCAATGACGGCCGATGATCGAGTCCGTACTCCCACTCGTCGTTCCATCGATCTCGCCGAGAAGCATGGCTGCAAAGGGCGACGACGGGGACGCGAATCTTGACGAATGGTTACAAGTGCTCCGAGGCGATGCTTCTCAATATCATGAGAAAGGCGAGGGAAAGAACCACCCCGAAGGGTCCACTGGTGTTTTCGGATCCACCGTGGCAGTTCGGAAGCGGCTCGTCCATTGGCATGCTCGTCGTTATCGTCTCGACGGCCGTCGTGGACGGAGCCTGGAAGCCGTCGTCGTTCCTCGGAACCGATGGATGCGGCACTTTGGGGGCATAATACGGCCCCTGGTAGAAGTCATCCGAGGAGGCTGGATGTACCATCTCCGAGGGTAAAGGCGGCAGCAATATTTCGGGCAAGGTGTCGTAATCGCTCCGCTCCGTGGAAGCTATCAAAAAGTCTGCGCCGTTGCCGTCATCGCTTTTCTCGTCGTCGTACTCCTCGTAAGAGTCTTCTAGGTCGGACCACGGAGGCTCGACCGGGACCGATGGCGTTGCGAAGCTCTCTTTGAAAACGGACGACGTCCGATCATCCTTCGGGCCGGTGGCCAAAGTCGGCGACCCGGTTACCTCCTGGGAATGAGTCGTCTCTTCGTGGAAATCGTTCGAGCCAGATGGTGGAAATGGGCTCAACCGAGCGACGTCCGGTCCCCGCGTTGTCGTTGACCAATGTCGGAACGGCCACGGTGTCGTCGAAGGGGGTGAAGGTGAAGTCGTCGCTGGCTCGAACGTCACGGTTTCCAGAATAGGAATGTCAACGAATTCTATTAGCGGCGCAAGAGAATGTATGGAAGTATGCGTCGTGGATGACAGTTTTTCGGTGGATAACAACGGGGTCCAGTAAAAGGGAGGTCTCTCCGTGTACACCTGGGTGGTTGATTCCGTGGCGACCGGGGAACGGACTTCCGGGATGTGCTCTGGAACCACTGGAGATGCTTCTTCCGATCTCGTTGAGCTCGGTTCCCAAATAAAGGAGCGTTCGGTGGATTTTGACGGGGAACTCTTTTCGGGTTCTACCGTACTCGGTGCCCAAACCGATAAATGTTCCTTTGGATCTTCCGGTCGATTTTCTTCGGGTACCAATTGAATCGGCATCTGCGTCGACAGACGTTCCGTTGTCTCTACCGTGTGAGGCCTTTCTGGCTGCGTAGGACTTGGGGTCGAAGTCGTCGGGGGTGCTGCCGAATATCCTTTGGGAACCACCTCGTCCACGACGGATATCCAAGCAGGATCCCTTTCGAAGGTTACTCCTTGTTCTTCCAAAAATTCGGAAACCGCGTTCGGACACTTAAAGTCAGGATTTTCGCTCAGAAACATTCTCTTAAGGTCGGTTAACTGCGACATGGCTCCAACGTTCAGGCACTGAAGCCGATTTCCGGAAATTCTCAAATCCACCAGGGCTGGCAGATTCGTAAACACCGTGTCCTCGATGTTAGCGATCTCGTTGTAATTTAAATCGAGATACGTTAGGTACTTCAGGCCTTCGAACCAACTTCCTTTCACGTCGGATATATGATTACTGTCTAGACTCAATTGCTGAAGGTTTAACAAATTTCCGAAGGCGTACGGGTCGATCTCGTAAATGCCACATTCGGAACATGACAACACCCATAGGTTTGCCCCGAAACGATTAAAAATTTCTGGCGTGATCCTTGGGATCGACATCTTGCTGATCCTAATTTTTTCTGTCTCCGCAGGAAGAACACTTAAATCCGAAGGATGTCCTCCAACGCATGAGTACTCCAACATATCTTGGTTTTTTACGTGAATGCAGGTGCTCAACACACCGCTAATGCCAGCAATTAACCCTAGGATCCCTGTGGTGATCCACATTTTGAAGAGATTGGATGGTTCCTCAGCTCCGGAACTAGGGCTTCGATTTGTGACCAAAGGTAAATATTTCACGTACGTGTTGTAGACCAGGTCACCTTTTTAGGTTCTCACATTATGATTGCAACAATGGCCAGCCGTTCCGATTGAAAAATACAAACCGACGCGATTGGGATTAATTTTGGAGTCTGACGCAACGATATTCTGCCTCGAGTCGTGATTTAATGCCCGATCGATATACTGACGGGAGTTAATCATCGACAAACTGAAAATCGACGTAGCTAAGCGGCTGTCGACAGGACCGATCTAATTATTACCGCGGACTGAAGAGTGCTCCTGCGTTAGCTGGTCATTTATTTACCAGCTCACGCACAACCCCTCTTTCCCTTGCCCGACCCTTCTCCTTCTACTACCAATCATCAAGTGGTACTGCCTATTGGTAAAAATAGAAAACCATCGAAATAGCGCAGCAGGAGAACGACTCTTCTGCTTAGGGATGAGATCACGCAATTTATTGACGCTAAGGGACACGTTTGGTGCACTTCCACGAAAAATTATCAATAAATGTTCTATCACACTTATGACTGTACAAGAATTTTCTTCACTTACGTAACCCCATATAATCAACTGGTCGATTACTTAATATTTTCGCAATACCCTATTAAACGTATAATCATTAAATTTATTTTTGAGATAATTGGGATATTAATTTTGCTTCTCCTATATAGTCATTACGATTTAGTATTTTGCAAATAAAAAAATCAGCATAAACATTTGATAACCAAATTAGTTCATAAATAAGAAAATAAAATAGTACTAACCTTGCGCCTTCTCTTTTGTTTCTTTTTGTCGTTTTCGTGAGTAAACTGCTTGTACTCAGGTACTTCGCCGGACTCAATCATTTTTTCAATAATAGCATGTAACCTAGGCTCCTCTTCACAATTTGTAAAAGGGACTGTTTCTAAAATATAGTCCATGTCACCTTTACCTGAAAATTCCACATTTATAATAAACAGCTCGTTGATAATCTATGAAAAGAAATTTAATTTATTTGATAAATACTCACTATCCAAGTATGCTCTTTTCAAATCTTTTAATTCCGTTTCGGAATCCATATAGTTACTTTTATAGGTATTTATATCTTCGACGGTTATTTCTTTGAAGAGGAATCGCCAGTAATCTGCCCAATTACGAACGCCAATGTCATCGCTCTCTTCATCGTAATGTCCAGATTCATCATAGATTTTCCGTTTGTCATTGTCATTGAGAATGGAATGTATTCTTCCGAGAACCTTAAATTTCTCTGTAGCTTCGATTTTAACATCTTCCGAAACTCGATCCGGATGTACCAACAGGGATAATTTGTGATAAGCTTTTTTAACTAGAGAAACAAGAGTATAAAGGAAATGATAATAGGCCAAATCTTAAATGTATTAATAAATGGCAGAAGCTATTTTACCAAACCTAAAAGTTAGGTTATATTGGTTCAATTTTACGTACCTTGCTTTTCATTGGCAGTTTTTGGGATTTTCAGTACCTCATAAAAATTGCGAGCACCAAAATACTTTTCACAGAGGTCTAGAAGACTTGTCATTGTGAATATGCAATTGAAAATACTTTAAATTTCCATAGAAATCACGCAGCGTATAGTACGAAGAGTTTGTTACGTCTTGTTTACGCGCGAACTGGCTGCCGTAGCCAGGCTGCGGCGCTGCGATCAGTTGTAGATTAGGCGGCATGTTTAAAAGCCCCATTCATTTAAGTGAGTTCATTATGCTCGTCATGTAAAAGGTAACAGTCACGTAATCTGTAACACGAATTTAGACATTTTGGGTAAACGGTATTAATTTTTCTTATATAACAAATTATTCTATGATCGTGGAAGGAATCATTGACACAGGTAATACTCGACAGAAGTATTTAAGTTCTATACATTTTATTTAAGATTCTAAAAGGTATTTCCACTCCCAATACTATTAGTATTAGTAGAGAAAGTTTTAAAGTTAAATGACTGCAGGTGGAAATTCAGAGAGCGTTGAATTACAATTTAGTGCCTTTAATTTTCCTTTATTAAAAGGAAATGATACAATGTCGATTTAGTTATCCCCGGTTCACAATTTACGAAACTGGATCTTACTTGGTAGGTTTAATAGTAATCAAATCGATTGACCCACACCAAAAGAAGAGAAGGTTTCGTAGTCCTTCGAGGCTATCTAACGTCTTCTAATATATACAATTATGTACCGTTATTTATATTAACTGTAAGCCGTCTTGAAAAGACATTTCATACTAGAATTTTGGCTTTGGGATATGCTCGTTGCCTTTGACAGAGTATAGGTATTATTAAGCCTGTATGTACAGTAACGTTAATCTGGACGTCGATCCTTGAACAGTAATGGTATACTCGATATTCGACAATAAACACCGCATTCGCGCTCAATTATGGCATATGCAAGTCATTCTTAAAAAGAGTACATGTCTCCACCTCTTTTTTACTTACTTTCCATTATCCTTGAATTGTTTAAAAGACTACCTGGAACTAGTCGTGCCTGAACTTTTTCTTGTTGAAAGATATGAGATATGATTGTAAAAAAGGTAGACTTACTGAAATGTCGCAAGTATACTTGCATCCGCTTGAACGCGATGAATATTTTTCAGCAATTGAATAATTCAATTTCACGCGTGCACCGCGCGTTATATTTTGACAAAAGAAGAATTAAACGAAATAAATATATTTAAAAAGGATCGGCACTGTTCCATTTATCCCTATAGCCAATTCTGAATGCTTAACCTACTCTAATTTTCGTTTGATATAGTATAATTACATTTCCGTATGATTTTTCCGTTACGAGATGTACATTATTACATATTGTTTTACCTTATGGTACTCTCATATATACACATTAATGCATACGCTTCATATAAATNATGAACAATTTGAGCAGTTGTCTGTTCTCAACAAAGCGGTAGACTGTGCGATAATTTCTCAAGAAACCAATGGCCAATATATTTGAAACATCAATGATGTAGAAATATCATGATATAGTTACAATTTGTCTGCCAAGCTCGACTTGGATAGTGTCTTTCCCCTAACATTTCATTTTATTCGGATGGAATAAATTTCGATCTAGAGAAGCACACGGTAGGGTCTGTGTGACGAAACATCAGATGCTCTAAAACGTATCTACTAGTGAATTTACAGTAGATCTAGAACAAATACTGATTTTTTCAGGCAGTTCTCATATTATCTCAGTGTCTATCGCGGACAGACTTATAACAATGAAAAATATTACAATTACACGATCTTTATACTCCCCGACGATTTCTCGGCTCGCGTCTTCGAAATCCATCTTCTCGGCAAAGTGGATTTCCCGTAAAAAATAAAAATCAACGCTAATGCTCTCTCATCCTATGCCTATTAATTATTTTATTTACAATGGATGTTTAGCTAAGGATAATATTATTAAAGTTCAGGTAATACGTGATTACCGAGCGAGTAACCGGTGGTCTTCCAGTTCGCTCGTTTCCTTTTTTCTCTACTTTTCCTGGATAAAACACATACAAATTAAAGGGGGCCGTAGAAAGAAGTGAAGGGAGTTAGTCGAGTCACGCTTTTGAATCCGATCTATTCGTTTTCTTAGCATCTTCTGGATGTGCTCACATATAATTTTATAGTCACACATGATTTAATGATTTTAAACCTGAGATTAAAGAAGCCATTGATTAAAAAAAAAAGGATACAATAGAAATAAAATTTATATAGATCGCTCGAGTCCCTTCAATTATTCCTATTTACTCCTTCACGGTGCTTGTACACGTTAAGTCGTATAACGACCGTTGGGCATTCGTAAGGGTTACATGCCATGGGACATAAATCGCAAGGAAACGAAATTCTGAAAATCCAATCACACGAGACCCGTTGGGTGGCGGAAATATTTGTCAAGAAACGAGGAGACCACAAGAAACGGTCTAGATGCCTAGGATTTCTGAAAATCGTTTTCAATAATTTAAAACGAACGACAATTCTGATTTTGTTTGACATTACGGTAGTACACGATTTCCCAAAACCCTGACTCGGGGCCCCACCACGAATTCCACGACACTTCTTGAATTTTTGATTTCGAATAATTTGACGAGTTTACTCTTCTTTATATGTACGACCTAGTTTACAACAACCGGTTCTCGAGACCGACAACGCGAGGTGCAATCTCGTTTTCGCCTCGATTTTCACCCGACTCTTAGGTAACTCGTCAAACCGATCGTTGAGAAGGTTCCGCATTGAACGCGCGTTACGGTAGGATTCTGCTCATATTTCCTTAATTAGACGAAGAGTAAAGAGTTCCTCCTGGTTCCTCGTAATTTTGTCTACTTCGGTGACTGTCATCCACGTGGAGCGCTGCGACCCTTCGCCGTTCTTTTCGACGTCTTCCCGTAAGAGCCGCATTACGTACCTCGAGACCTGCCCCAGGAGTTCTCCATATTCCCTGATCTACCGTGCAATAGATCCTCGTCATCGGTGCCCAAGCATCGACAAGGTCTACGGACCGTTGCGCCCATGCTCTCGTTCGTTATCGAAAGATTCCCCGAATACCCAAACCATCTTAGTCCCCTTATTTCCACTAATTTTTTTGGTTATTCCCGGTAATTAAATTCGCTCGAAGCTCTTTCGACCCATAGGATTCCTTCCAGGGTTATTTCATGCGATTGAGGACCAGGTCGCTGACGACCAGGAGGGCCTTCTGATAAGGACTCTCGGCCAGAGATTGCGCCAAGCGGGCGGCTTCGATGCAGTGCTTTTTAGCTAAGAATCGGGTCTGGTCCAGACCCTGGGATTTATGCACCAGCTCGAAGGCCTTCTCGACATCGCCGGGTTCTTGGAAGCGTCGCATTATCATGGGATTTAATTCCGGATACTGGAATAAAGAGACAAGAGGTCAGTCCACGGGAATGCACGAAAGACGTTCCTGCCACCCCGCGTTTTTTACCCGTTCGCAGGCGAAGAGCACCGGAGCGGTTGCAAGGCCCAGTTTCAGGTCGGCCGCGGTTGGCTTCCCCATGGTTGCCGACGAGGAGACAAAGTCGAGGAGGTCGTCCACCAGCTGAAAAGCCAGCCCCACGTTCCTTCCATATTGGAACGCGACTTCCGTCAGGTGATCGTCCGCACCCGCCAATATCGTAACCTGGATCGAATCGGTCCATTAGTCGTTTTACCCCGGTGCGTTAGAACGAGATCGCAAAATAAGGCCTTTTGGAAAAATTCATGGAGGGTCAGTCGGGCGGAAAGCTCCGAACTCGAGTTCTCCCAATGCGATGAAATTTACGATTTACCGCAAAAACCTGAGAACGAACAGAGAATCCCTCAAATATTTGGGTACAATTTACGAAGCATAGACGGTGAGCAAACTCGGTCGGCGATTCCTGAAAAATTCGGTACTTTCTACGAGTAATATGGACCCACCGCTTTCGCCGAATTCGCAATCAGGCTGGCCGTCTTTCGGTAGGTCTTCGTGAGGTAGTGAGCGAATCTTTCGTTCTCCGTTTCCTTGGAGCCTAGCTGCATGAACTCGCCCTGGACCAGGTCGGTCACCACCTGTAAGCACCCTGGGACTAAGTCACCCACGTATATCGACCGTCGTTCTTTCGTTCCATCGAACGCTCACCTGACTCAGGGCTATGGTGACTTCGTCGTTTCTAAGTCGGGCGATCATCATGGACGCCACCGCGAGAATATAGTCACCCGCCATCGCCACCTGAAACGTCGTCGACGAAGGATCATTGTCGAGCGGTACACGAGAGCGCCGGAAAGAAAAAGCGAAATTCCGAGCCGCGATCCTCACCGCGCTCGCGCATTAGGCGCATTAGCCATCGGCGAAGGCGAACGGTGTTATCCGATTGCGATCCGAGTTTCCTTTCACTTATGGACATCCTTCGGAACGGTGCCAGAACGCCGACGGGGCACCGATACCGCAAAGACTCGCGAAGCTCGAGCGGGACTAGTTGTAAGCGGAAACACGTGCATTCACCTTAAGGCGAGCCCGCGCGATTTCGCGAGAATCGATCTTTGCGAAATCCACGCCGGACTCCTTTGGCCATCCTTTCGAGATTTCGACCATTGCGCGAGGTGGCCAGACCGGTCTCGACAAAATTCCTATTCGGACCCCTTCGATCGGGCGAAAGACAAAACCCGCCGGCCGTTGAATTTTTCCGCGGTTTCACTCGAGACTGGAAAGTTGGTTGCATGCGCATATGCAAATATGGAAGCTATGCGCAAATCGAAGGGTCCGAACGACTCCCGACAATGCGTCGTTACTTCCGATAGCGTGGTGAACAAATTTGCCATCTACGTCGCGGGCACTTCGCGGTTTCGCCGGGCTTTCGAGGGTAATGGGCGCGCCTTTCCTCGCGGCCGGGTCGATTTCTCACCGCGGAATTCTTACGGATCCTCCCATCGGGCGATCGCGGCGGACTCCATCGCGGATGAATTTCGACGGAATTTTATCGAGCGTTACCCTCGTTCGCGGCCCTCGGAGCAGAAAATGGACGAAAATTGGCCGATTAATTCCAGAGTCCGAACGTCCGTGGAGTTCGCCGCGACCTCGTCGAGTCCGAGTCCGAGCTCGGAGTCGAGGTCGAGCAATCGCATCTCGCAGCCTATCGGAAAATTATGTTTATCCGTCTCTGGGAACGTGACGCAACTCGAGATATTACCGCCCTAATGTAACGATGTAATGCACGCGACGGGCAACGCGCACCTCGTCCCGACAACGGTGGCGGAAACGGCGACCTGCCGAGAGATTCCCGCATTCGTGCCCGGGGTCCCTGAGATGTCAACGCCGCGTTTCCTGCGGCGTGGACGAGTCGACCGAGTGGCCGTAATTTGGGATTTCACCGAGGTGGAATCGTCGCCTCTCGGCGCGTAAAGACGCGGTTACTTGCGCGCGACGGCAATTTCTACAGCGAGCTCGCGAGGAGGTTTCTACGAAGCTTATCCTGAAGATGGCGACGAGCGAAACGCGACGACCTTGCGAAACTCTCCGTTAAATTGGACGCGAACGGTCCCCGAGAGGTTGCACTCTTCGCGCAAGCAACGTCGACCGCTCGTCGCAAACGAGTCGCCGAGACGACGCCACGAGAGCGAGAGACACCCCATTAGCGGATCGTTAACGACGCGTCCTTTTGACGTAACCGATCGGGTCGCGTCTCGAACGGGCTCATCGGATTCGACGTTCCGTTGCATCGAACGAAAGAAGGCGCGACCCGAGGAGAAAAAAAAAATTTCTTCCGCGACAAGGGTCACGGCTGGATCGCCCCCGGTGGAACGATTCGCGCTCCGTGAGGCGGATTCACGAGGTAAACTTTTCCCGCAACGGGTGGGAGCGTTCGATCGAGAGTCAAGTGTACGCGCGAGTAGGCTCTCGCACGCGGAAAACGAGAGAGAGCGCGCCGGAGAGGGAGAGCCACGGTTCGTTTTCGATTTCAGGATCGGATCGAGCCTACGAGGAACCGAGAGGGAAGGACGGCCGGGAAGGGAGCGAGAGAAAGAGAGAGCGGCGCGATCCGTGCACTTGACCTAGCGGTTCGTCGCTCGCAGTCAGCGTTTCTTTTCTCCGATTCGCCGTTTCCGGATTCGCGCAAGAAAGTCCACCCGTTGATCCGGGGTCGGTCGATTTCGGAACGCGCCTCCAAACGACACTTTCGATTTCAGGACCGGAACGAGCAAGCAAGCGAGCGCGAGTTCCGTGCACTTGACCTAGCACTTCGCCGCTCGCTCGTTTTCTCCGGTCGCGCGGCGAGTCGCGATTCGAGAGCGTCGGCCGGCCGCCGCTTCCGGATTCGTGCAAGAAAGTCCGGTCGATCGTGAATCGCGTTGACCTCCTTCCGATCGCATTCCGACGGAGCGAGAGTCCCATCGACGCCGGCTCGCGACCGGCTCGCGACCGGCCCGCGACTCTCCTATTGGCGCGACCGGGGCGCCAACCTTGGGCTCACCTTTTTCTGGCTCCAGAGCGCGTTCACGGAGGGCTTCCCGCGTCGGAAGTTCGACTGATCGATCACGTCGTCGTGGATCAGAGAGGCGCTGTGAATCATCTCGACGATCATCGCAACCTGCCGTTGCTTGACCAGGAGACAGCTGCAAGCAAATCGGGCCGAACGCCGTCACTAGGGCCGCGGCACGCGAAATCACCTTTTTCGATTCGGATCGAGACGAACGAGGTCCCGGGCGTATCGCAAAACCGATAGGCAAATTTCTCGTTTCTTGGGACTCGTGACTCCCGGCGTTAGAAATTTCGCGGGCGAAGAAGCTCCGGAGGCGATTCGTATTCGCCTCGGGCGTGGGCGGGCGTGGGCGCGCATCGCTTACTCGCGCGTACTCACTTTCTTTCCTTGTGATAATTAATAGCTCTCGCCATGAGGATCGCGACCATTGGGCGGAGCGCCTTTCCCTGGCCGCCGAAGTAGTACGTCGCTATGGTCTTCAGCTCGTCCTGCGTGGTCTTCGCCGCCAGCTCCTGAAACACACGGGACATCCCCGACCTTGACTCGGTTTCGAGTGAGCGAGCTCGACGGCTCGTGGATCCTCTCGAACCATCGAGGTTTGCGCCCAGACGTCCGCGATTATCGTCCCGACGCGTCGGACTTCCCAGCGAAAGAAAGTGAACAGGCCGCGCGCGGAACGCGAGAAACCGGGCGCGACGAGAGAAATTTCCACCACTCCCGAAGTTCCGTAAAGGATACACTTGAATCCGTCGCATCTAAAGCTATAAAAAGATCGCTCGAGTTCGAGTACGCGGTTACGACGAATTTTCCGAATTTTCCGAATTTTCCGAATTTTCCAAATTTTCCGAATTTCCCGAGATCCGACGTCTCGCGCGACGCGTCATCGTGAGAAGAACGTTCCTTCGAATCGGCGCAACCTATTTAGTAACGGTACGGCATCGAGTCGTGCAACATCCGAGAAAAAGATACCGGTGATTTCCGAAGCGTGCATTACCATGGATCTGGTGCAATTCGATCTACCTCTCTGTGCCGATAATTATGCACCGTGCGACTTACCTGGAATAATCGACCTACATTGTCATACATAGAACGAGCACAATTATCGACGTGGTAATAGCCAATTATGTAATCGTTACGGCAACGCGAGTCAATTATCCGTGCACCTAACGCGTGCACCGCAACCGCCGACGGTGGACATAACCATGCGTTTCCAATTTCTTTTTATCTCCGTTACGACACCTTCCTCGCACGCGCCGCGTACGATTCTCGTAGAAGGAATCCCGGAATCGGATGGGAGCTTTCGGACCGAGCTTTCGGAGTCGTCGGACAACGCAAAAAGGTCGGTCAACGGCGAATCCCCGGGACCCGAACGATTCGGGTTCGATCTACGGCGCGCCCGGTATGCCATCTTGGGGACTGCTTTCTACGCGTTTACGCGTGCGTATGATCTAACGCGTGGCGAGTAAAAGTTCGCCCATATGCAGACCGCGAAGCTAACGGCGGCTTTCGCTGGTAGCGAGTATTTTATGGACGCGCGACCCGAGAAACGCCACCGTTTAACCGCCGCACAGCCGAGCTTCCGATTGGCTTGGCTTTATAAATATACATGACGACGTATCCCCATCGACGACCGTATTGAGAAACGACCGATGCCCGAGGTCTTGCCCGGCAAAGAATTTCGACTCCTCGAGGAACGACGCGTGGCGGACACCGGGCCTTGAAATTCTTTGATTCGCCTCCTTCTCCAGAAAAACAGCGAAAAACCCACCTCTCGGATGTCGTCGTAAATCTCCTTGAGATCGTCATCGAGGAGCCGATAGGGATCCACCTGACAGTCGGGGAGGGAGCCCGGCTGCTGCGTTTGCATGGAGCTCATGGTGCGTACGTTGGCAAACCTGCAGTCCCGCGTTCTGCCGGTATTCTGAAAACGGACGAATCGACTTCGTTAGTCCGTAGCACGTTGGAATAAAATGACAGGACTCGCGTAAAAAAATAAGACGCGTCTCGAACCTTTCGACACCGCTCACCGCGAGTTATTTTAATTAACTCGGCGCATACCGAGCAGTAAATAATAATTCTGAAAATTGTCTTCGCCATAAAATTATTCACCTAATGCAAATGCGATAATTCCTGGCGAGACTTTATGGCCTATGACGTAGCCTTGATAGGCACGTTGATTGAATTCCACGATAATATGCATATTTATTACGGTTCATCTTTTATGGCTCTCGTTATGTTAAGTTCGTTCACGAGTCCGGAACACCGGGGACCGGCGGACGAGAGACATGTATTCGGTCGCCTGACTATAATTTCTCTTCCACTACTGGCCGACGTCTGAGCGCGTCGGGGCCGCTACTACTGATCCCGGCATCGCCGCTCTCGGTCGACTCGACGGCGATCTATTCTACCGAGTCCCGCCTAAATGGAGACCGAGAAGAAACGGAACGATTTACAGGGCGGCTACTGGAGCGTCTCGTTTTTCCATCGTGGAAAAAATTTCACTCCGCGTCACAGGGGACGTAGAAGAGGAGAGGTCCGGCGAGGTGGAGCGCGTTCCACCTTTCGAGGCTTCGGCGATCCTTCCTGCTCGCGCGCCTCGGAGAGAAACCATCGTGCCGCACTCTTCGATGCTCTTTTTTAATCGGGCTCGTTCTAAACGGAGTGCTTACGTCTTCGTAAGCAGAACAAATGCGAGTCGATTGCGTAAACGGACACGGGCCAATGAACCGATCTGCGGTCATAGGGGATCGACTTCCCGGTTTTCCAACGAGAATCGGGTTTTCGGACTCGGGATTCGATCGAGTTTGTCCGAGGTACGCGCGGCAAGGGATACTGGCGTTGAGTAAACGGCGACCAGGGTGTCGCAACGGGTCGACGGTTTCGTAAGTTTTCGTCGACATTGTCGAGGTCGCGACACGAATCGCACGAGCCGAAGAATCCCGATGCTCGAATTTGAAACACGAGAACGAAGGCATTCGAACGTATCCGTCTCTGGATCGGATCGATGGGTCGAACCTCGCACTTTCTCCGAAACGATTTCATGCCTTCCTTAGACCTAACGGCATCACCGAAAGTTACCTCCTCGAGCTAACGATTTCGGTCTAGTGCCGATGGCTAATGATTTCTCGAAGCGTCGCTTTCGGGAAATCCGACAAACGCCATCGATCGAATTTACCATACCGTTAAGTAATTAGCCAAGAATCGAGGCGAAATCGGTAGAGATTCCACGGACCGATTTCAACGACGACGTGCCCACGGCAAGCGTGGATACGATTGTGCAACGATAAGTCTTAAAAAATAGTTAATGCCTGGTCGTAACGCTACATTAATATTACTATGATTCCTGAACTAGAAACACCGTTGCGTCTACCCGGTGACGCAACGCGTGCTCTACCCCGTGATTGGCGAAATAATTCCAGACCTTTTTCCCCGGGCTTTGTTTTCGAACGAGAGATCGCTTTCGGTCAAAATGATATCTCCGCGGCGACGACGCGGTGACGTTCCGAAGGCGTTACGTGGTTTCGAGATTCCTACCCAAAGTAGTTTGGCAGTTGCCCAGATGGTCGTACGTGTCCGTGCACCTATGTGCGTCGCCGGTCCGCGGAAGGAATACCTGTTCGATGTGAAACTCGAATGACGTAACTCTATTACCGTGCTTTAAATATAATTAAGATAGAAATATCGTACAAGTTTCGCGCACCGATTCCGGGATACAGGCGCGTGAGCAGCGACGTCTTAAATAATTACTCTCCCTTTCATAAATTCAATGAAACTTGACGCGATCTCGCAGGAATGTGGACGCCCAAGGGAATGATAGCTCGAGATCGCGTTAAACGAGCGATCGCCCCGTTTTCCAGAGGACGTGAAAAAACATTGAGCAATTACCATGTTCGATGTGTGCCCATGCATAACGCGTAATTTCCAAGTAGCGATACATTGGTCGAGGATATTACATTCACGGAGAACTAGTTTCGCGTTCAGAGGCAAGTTCATTTTGTCCGGTGGTCGGCAAGTTCACCGCATTCCACTTTTACTCGTTGCTTTTCATTCGTCTAGGACGAGCGACAAGGGCATCGCAGTCTCGCCCGATCAAGATTGCCACGAAAAAAGTTACCTTCCTGCACAATTTGTCAGTCGTTGAAAAAATCCTTAAAAAAAGAAAAGGACTCAATTACCATCCGCGTTAAGAGACCGGCTGGCCTCGAGCTCTCCTTCAATAAAGAAAGAAGCCGTGAAAAAAAAAAAGACCTTCCAATTTGCAACTCTTCCTGTAACATTCGTAATCCACGAATGAAATTACGCTTCCGAAGAATCCAAGGAGGCTGCATCGAATCATCGACGACCGTCTATATCGGAACGCGTCGACATCGATCGGTCGCGGTGCATCCTAAGTGGCGCCTCGATCGCGTAAGAATTTTTCCACTTTCACGTCCCCTTAGGATCTGGAGTGTTTAGTACGGCCGAGTGAAAGAAGAATGTGAAAGCGGCCTACCCTCGTGGTTCGTCCTCGGTTACCGTCAAGTCAATGGAGTCGGGGAAGTCAATGGAACGCGTGACGGCTCTCATTTACGAATTCGGACCGTAAGACGATTTCCTGCCGATTACTTAACTTCTTCGTAGGCGACCGTCCTCCGATAAGGCCACTCCCTGCCTTACGGAGTCACAACTTCTAATTGACTCCAAACGAGATACTAGGAAAAATATTTAAAAATTACTAGACGGTAAATTTACCCCCAACACTACATTCCTCGAGTAGACGCGTTTAAAGTTATGCAAATTTTGAGATTCGGGAGATCAGGAGATCCGTGGTCGACGTTTGTATTTTCCTCCGCAAAGAGGCTCAGGAAGAGTTTAGAGGTGTGGCAAAACGTAAAGACTGCGATTTAACAGTTAGCGATTCGCTTTTCCAATAAATATGTCGCATGAACAACGCCGCTACGTGGCGGTGCGGAGGCGCCAATGAGGAAATCGTCAAAAACGACGTGCATTGTCGTACCATAATTTTCCAAGTAGAAATCGCCATAACGGATGCGCACGCCTCGTTAAATCGTAGGAATGACTCGTGGAGAAACCCGCTGAAATCGCTCCAAACTCCCAAAATTGCCTCATTTTCCGAGCATTCGCGTCATAACGACTATCCTAAATAAAAGAATGTCCGCGTCAAAGTGATCGACACGAAATATGCGTTATCCCTAACGAGAGAGTCACCTCAGCACTTCATAAATAATTTTCTTAGATAAATTTACGTTAACGATAATCGAGTGATAGAAATATTACGTCTAACATAGGTTCGTTGACGTAGAAATTTTGTTTACATTAAGCAGGGTAGGATGCTTTAATGGACGGAAGGAAATGCGCGGCGGACGATATAATCTGCATAGAAACGATTGCAGTTCCTTTCGCGCCTGCGACGTTATCCTTCATACAGCGAAGTTTAGGACGTAACTTTAATTAGTAAATCAGATAAATAAATCAAACGGGACATGAGGAAATTCCTGTGTCAGGGCTCTCGAGGAAGGCAGTCATAATTCAGAAAATAGAAATCGCCATGCAGGATGTTCACGTATCGCGGCATCGATCGTAGGGAAACCCATGGATAAAAATCTCGAGGAAAACCGAAAATTTCGACAATTTTCAACGACCCCTTTCTTCGCCCGCGGGGAGCCTAACCTCGGGCGTTCGTGGCCTTAACTTTCAAAGTAGAAATCGCCGTAAAGGATCAGGGGCGGTGAAATTCTAATTTAATTACTAAATTACTTCCCTTTCTAATAATACGTGGAAGAAAACGCTGGGTAAGAAGTACTAGGATTTTTAGTACCTTACGGATAATCGTGCCCCGGCGAAAATTTTATTACGAGTTGATCCGTTTTACTACATGCCCGAAAATAATTCTCATCTATAGGTTTCATGATATTCACCCGGTAATTTTAAAATCATTTTCCTTGGCTCTTTCATCGGCTTTTTCTTGCCCTTTCTCTCTCAGCCGACGAAGCGAACTCGGCGGCATCTTAATGTCAAGAGCGTCAGTCGAGCAAAGAGGTTCATCAATATTCCCTGTTAACGCCCAAGGCGTTAAGTTCAATCAACGATTACGTCGAGAAACGATCGAACCATGAAAGGAGGAGTGCTGCAAGGAGAAGCTCGATACATGCAGAGGACGCATTGGTGCTTGCATCGCATTTGGCACTAAAGACCGCCTAAGTTCCCACTTAAGTCCATAACGACCCATTTTCCGTCAAACGCATCCCCTGGTATCCGTAGAACCGATTAAATTCAAACTCGAACGTTTTACGAGTAAACCGTACGGCTCGGCACGGTAGAACTCGCGAGCCTCCGAAGTTCGGCCGGCGCGTATTCCGCCGCAACTTTAGAAAGGAAAAGATGAAAGAAAGATGCGTGGAAGGGGTCTCACGATCGCGACATCTGGCCTTTTAAACCCGTCGGGTTTCCGAAAACGATTCGAACGCTACGATTTGTCGGGTTTCGAGTCATGCCGGTCGATTAGCATAACGTCCGACCGAACCGAGACCGCTCCACCACTGCCCACCACGAAGTCATAAATTTCGTAATAGTCATTAAAATTCGCCGCTTCAATGCCATTCCTTCGAGAGGTTAATCACTTCCGCTTTCGAGGAGTCTCAACGCTCCCAAGGCTTATTTCGGATGCGTCCTAATAAAGACAAGGTTAGAGGAGAAAAAGGATTCGCGCGGAAAAGTAAGACGCCGTCGTCTCTTCGTCAGGTAAAGATCGGTCGGTTCGTCGATACGAAAGAAGCGCGCGATTGGTTTCGCAAGATAGGTTGCCTCGTGGAAGTGGTCTGTTGCAAGAGACTCTTAGCACGACTGGCACCTGCGAGATATCGAGGCTGCGAGTTGCGTAGGACGACCGCGAGGTCCCTCGCGGAAGCGCCCAGGGAGGAC